AGTTGGGTCTAATCTTCATATGATCCACAATTTTTTCTATAAGCAATGAAGCAGAAAGAAAGCAGTCTTTATAGCATATTTATTATACTGGATTTAAACTAGATCATAACAACACCAACAGTCATAAACAATTATATTTCTACTTACATTCTTCTGACACAATGGCATCCTCATCAAATATTGTTATGCAAACAAACTTTACAACTACATTTTTTTTAATAATAAATAATATTACATACAAACATGCATACATACATACATACATACATACATAAGCTTTAAAGTGCCACGAAAGACTATATGATACAGAAAACACACATTAGAACTGTAGAGGCTGGGTCTTCCTAGAGAACAGTACTGAAACCAATATTCAAGAGGGCAATAAGTCAATGAACACACAGGTCTACATAATCACAGTGATCATCATCATCTTTGGCATTATTTTCAAAAGCATAATCAGGCTACTTAGAAACACTGTATTCATCCATCTCTATAGCACTCGCTGGTAGCCTAGTCCGATAGGTGCTTGGAACTGTAGCTAATGATGTCTGTACAAGGTAGTGAATACTGTACAGAAAATGCACTATTTTCTGGAAATTATATTGTACTCAAAACATGAGCAACTTAAAAATAACTACAGTATACAGTAGTCTCGGTTTACGCGGATTTCTTATACGCGGTTGGTCATTTACGTGGCACCTGTCCAGACGTGGCAATTATTAGTTAAGCGGTACATTCCAGCATTTACGCGGGAAGCGGCGCAGACAAGCTGAGCGCTAGGTCACTCTTACGTCACCGCTGACGTCGGATGACGTATCTGACTGTGATTGGGCCACACATCCTTACCACCCACGCATTCCCTCCGCCGCTAGCTGTGATTGGTCTATTTAATCTTGCTTGCCCAGTCAACAAAACCTTACCGAGTTCTTCACCCGCCACCCACCACAGCCAGCCCAAGTCAGTGATAGTGAGGATATGGACTTTGAGGGGTTTGACAAAGAGGCCCTGCTAGCCTCTGTGGTGGATAGTGATACAGGTGATACAAGTGATACAGGTGAGGGCCAATAATCTGCCCTCTGCCTCGGAACCAACCCCCCATCCCCGTGTGCCCAGCCATCTCTTCTACTAACGTAAGTGTTAAAAAACCTAATATTATTGATATTTCTCTTAAATATTAATTGTGTGTGCATGCCATCATAAAATTAAGATGTTATTTTTACTACAACGTACGTATTGTGTCAGAAAAAGGGTAGTCTGGGGGTCAACCCAGTCTCTATTTCAATTAATCCCATATGTTCTGTTATTTCGTTTAAGCGTTTCTCGTTTTACGCGGACCTCCATGGGTTTAATTGACCGAGTATACCGAGACTATACTGTATAATATTTTTATTGTCAGAAAAATTATTACCAGTGAATAGATTTGATTTAGTTGAGGTAAGGATAGGATAAGTTAGTCGCATTAGTTTTAACTCTATGCAGACAGTGATATCAACTTCTGATCATAACAGCTGGCCAGATTCACTAGTCAAATTTTGAGGATAGTCTCCATACTGCCTTATATCACCACTATCACTATGAGTCATCCTTGTCTCCTTAATCAAATATAAACAGCATCAATGTCTTCCTGTGTGAGGAGCATTGCACGAGCAGAAGATGTACGTCTTGACTCAGCCTCTGTTCACCCTATAGGCCTAAATTTTTTTTTTTACAGGGATTAGCTCACCCGGGCACAGGTCACTGACCCACATCGGGGCCTGGGGGCGAAAATATAATAATAATAATAATAATTCAGATAAGTAAAATTTATAAAAAATACCAATATACAAATAAAATAATAATGATAACGATAATAATAATAACACTGCAATAATAATAATAATAATAATAATAATAATAATAATAATAATAATAATAATAAACCATAAAAAAATATAAAAATAAAAAAAAGATCAAGATTGAGAAACAATATATGTATGTTGTGTTGTCAAGGGTAAGAGAAACAATTGAGACCCTGCAATTGTGTGTAAATGAGGCAGAAAGTCAGATCAGCAACCTGGGACTTGATCACAATTTTTGTGATGCCATATGGCAGCAGGGTCTACCATTAGACAACACATTATGCTTCCAATATTTTCCCAGGCAGAAGAATCTCCCTGTTTGGTAGCTGCCTACTACCTAGTACACTGCCTCAGAGCAGTTACCAAAAGCATCCACAAAGATGCTTGGAAAAAGAAGCATGGAATATATAGATTCAACCAGCATGAAATGTATTGCAACAGTTGCAGGCCATGTCCAGAATAGTAAGACTTTTAGTCCCACAACTGTTGCAGAATATGCCTGCCAAGGGTTAAGGTACAGCTAAATAAGGTAAAGCTGGGTTATGTTTAGTATTGTTACATTGTCTTAAAAAAGGAAAATTACTTCAAACCACAACTCTTTTGGTATCAGCAATACCTCTATGAACATCGCTTCTGCCATTAGTGGACAAGCAATAACAAATAACTTTAAGTAGCCGACATTCACTTTATGTAACACATGCACTTCTACACATGCTAAGCTTAGGTCAAGTCCATGATATGTAAGTGACACAAAAAATTGGGACTGTAGTTATTCATACCAAATCTTATATTTTTCTCTCAGAGTACTGCAAAGACAGAAAAATAGCACACAACGTAAATTTCAATGCAGTCAATTAATATTCATGTATTCAATTTGTTACTTTTTAGTATCAAGTTAAAATTATGAGTGTTTTTGAAACCACATGAAAGTTAATTTTTCATTAACTATGTCAGCTTCCTCTGATTTCTAAGTACTGAAATATAAGGAGGCCCTTCCCATTATACAGAATATTCTTGCCACTTTTACTAATGCTACATAGAATCTTCCTGTAAAATTTATCACTCTTCCCATCATTTCAGTGACAATCTTCAAATTTTCACCCCAAAGACCTAATAATGGTAATGATTCAACGTCTCAAGCTGTAGTAACACATCACTGGGCTGAGCTGGTGAGTACCGTAACAATGTGACAGGATGTGCGTGAGACATGAGAGCTTTTCCCAAGTAAGTATACTCACTTTATTCTGGGTGGGTACATTAAATGAGCCATCTACAATTATACAAGTATACACTGGGTTGTTTTCTACATACAGTGGTCCCTCGGTTAACGATCTCAATTCGTTCCAGAGGGTCGTTCGTTAAACGAAAATTTTGTTAATCGAAATCATTGTTTCAATGGGATATTGGGTAATTGGTTCCAGCTCACTATAAAGTATATACAAAGTAAAGCCAAAAATGCATAAAGTCAGAAACACTCCAAAAATTCCCCTAAATCGCCCTTAAATCACTATATATATCATACATATACACAAGAACTCTTAAATCACTACTGTAATGTGATACAGGTGATTAATTTTATCTCGTGCAAAATATATGATGTTTACAGGGGAGGGAGGGGAGGGAGGGAGGGAAGAAGGGGGGAGCAGGAGGTGAGGTGTATTTTGATTTACAGATAGTGAGTCTGGTGAAGTATAATTTGTTTATTTACTTGAGTTTTTGTTTTTAGCTCACAAAATTCATAGAAATGACCAGGGGAGAATATAATTTACATTGCGGGAATTCTTATAAGATGGTGATTAATTTGAATAGAAACAAGCTAAAATTTGCATTAGACATACAAATTTTTTATCTAATTTAAGAATTTTATTAGAGAGAGCAAAAATTTTATCTTTTGTGCAAAATATATGACCTTTATATTCAAATTATTCGCTGCCTTGCAACAATTCCAGCAATACAAATTATATTCTCCTAACGTTAGCCTGAGATATTATATATGATTAAAACTGTAAGCCTAATGCTTTCCCTCAAAGGTTTCTCAAGAAGGTGGGGGGGGGGGTAGGGAGGGAGGGAGGGAGGGGTGACAGTGACATGTTTGACAGTTGGCACCTGTGGTGTGAAGTATTTAATTATTAATTTTTGTCCTTTAGATTGAGTTTTTGTTTTTTGCTTATAAAATTTAATAGAAGTGACCGGGTTGAATTTAATTTACATTGCTGGAATTCTTATAAGATAGTGATTAATTTGAATGTAAACATGCCATAGTTTGCACTAGACAAAAATTTTAGTAATCATTTTGTACATTATTCTGATGACATGTACAGTTCAGCTTTGCCCTTAGGACAGTGTGTGCATGTAAACGAGTTGCAATAAATGAACAAAGTTACATATATGAGCCAAAAATAGATGAAAAACTTTATGTAGACAGAGCTTGGATGGCTAAATTTTAGAATGACCAATAATTTTAATACTGTATAAAAAAATGCACAAATATTAAAGAGCACAATTTTCTTGATATTTACTCCAATGGAAACGAATGTAAACATAGAAGAGATTACTGAATTGGCTTATTGGCTGAGTACCTCCTCAGCTTATCAGCTGATGTTCAAAACAAAACGTGATTTTCGTAAGGATTTCGTTAATAGAATTTTTTGTTGTTAACCAAATTGAAGATTCTTATGGAAGGTAATTTGTTAACCGAAATTTCGTTAACCGAGGCGTTCGTTAACCGATGGACCACTGTATATGATACTTAAACCCCTATAATGTTTCACATACCCAAAAAATTAAGAAAATACTTTCACTGATAATTATATTTTCCCCAAAGGTACAAAAATCTGTGACCTGAGAGACTATACAAATGAGTGGTCTTCACACACACACAAGAACTATGGAGCTCTATAACTTCTTAACTCCAAATAAAGGTGCTGATGAAGTGGGAAATGAAGCACTGTAACACCAGGAAGTAAAGAGGGCAAAATAACTGCCTCTACATTGCATTTAGTGACAGAAAACTCCCTAAATGAAAAGTGACTGTAAAAGTGTTAGGGATCTTTTATATCAATGTATGGTAAATTGTGCTATTAATGTCTTTAAAAACACATTTTAAAAGTTTCTTGATTAAGAAATACAAACTTGTCCAAATGGAGTATTCATTGAACTTACCATCATCTTTTGTATGCTTAAATGATGTGATGACAACGGTGAAGGAATTATTTACTGAGTACCTATTGCTCTGGCCCTGGTGAAACAATACCTCCAAGTTGTTGGCCACAGTAGACAATACATTTGCACTTGAACCAACTTCTGAAAAGCTGAAATGAAATTAGAGTTATGAAAGGTAAATGAACCTGGTTCTGAAGTCATATAGTAGAGACATTGTTGAGGGACCCATTCTAAAAAATTATTTAAATACAACCTTTGCACTTTTGTTGAACGGTATCTTAACTATCAATCATAAGTTCATAATCTAATCTGTGCAGCTGTATACTTTCAAAAAGCACGCACACACACACACACAGTAGTGAGAATAGTATATAATGTCAAACATCCAGATTCCCACCCAAAGTGCTGCTTGCCTCCCAGCACAAGGCCTCAGTGTTTGGTGCTCATGGGCAAGGTAGCCAATCACATTGACCCAATTGGGAGAGGCCATAGGTTGTATTCCATGTGGTGCTTTGTGATGGATTGAGAAGTCTGTAGGCTGTGTATGTAACACCCTTGTTCTGTTTAAACTTGAAAAAGAGTTTGGCTGGGATAAGAGAGAGAGGTGTGTGTGTGTGTGTGTGTGTGTGTGTGTGTGTGTGTGTGTGTGTGTGTGTGTGTGTGTGTGTGTGTGTGTGTGTGTGTGTGTGTGTGTGTGTGTGTGTGTGTGTGTGTGTGTGTGTGTGTGTGTGTGTGTGTGTGTGTGTGTGTGTGTGTGTGTGTGTGTGTGTGTGTGTGTGTGTGTGTGTGTGTGTGTGTGTGTGTGTGTGTGTGTGTGTGTGTGTGTGTGTGTGTGTGTGTGTGTGTGTGTGTGTGTGTGTGTGTGTGTGTGTGTGTGTGTGTGTGTGTGTGTGTGTGTGTGTGTGTGTGTGTGTGTGTGTGTGTGTGTGTGTGTGTGTGTGTGTGTGTGTGTGTGTGTGTGTGTGTGTGTGTGTGTGTGTGTGTGTGTGTGTGTGTGTGTGTGTGTGTGTGTGTGTGTGTGTGTGTGTGTGTGTGTGTGTGTGTGTGTGTGTGTGTGTGTGTGTGTGTGTGTGTGTGTGTGTGTGTGTGTGTGTGTGTGTGTGTGTGTGTGTGTGTGTGTGTGTGTGTGTGTGTGTGTGTGTGTGTGTGTGTGTGTGTGTGTGTGTGTGTGTGTGTGTGTGTGTGTGTGTGTGTGTGTGTGTGTGTGTGTGTGTGTGTGTGTGTGTGTGTGTGTGTGTGTGTGTGTGTGTGTGTGTGTGTGTGTGTGTGTGTGTGTGTGTGTGTGTGTGTGTGTGTGTGTGTGTGTGTGTGTGTGTGTGTGTGTGTGTGTGTGTGTGTGTGTGTGTGTGTGTGTGTGTGTGTGTGTGTGTGTGTGTGTGTGTGTGTGTGTGTGTGTGTGTGTGTGTGTGTGTGTGTGTGTGTGTGTGTGTGTGTGTGTGTGTGTGTGTGTGTGTGTGTGTGTGTGTGTGTGTGTGTGTGTGTGTGTGTGTGTGTGTGTGTGTGTGTGTGTGTGTGTGTGTGTGTGTGTGTGTGTGTGTGTGTGTGTGTGTGTGTGTGTGTGTGTGTGTGTGTGTGTGTGTGTGTGTGTGTGTGTGTGTGTGTGTGTGTGTGTGTGTGTGTGTGTGTGTGTGTGTGTGTGTGTGTGTGTGTGTGTGTGTGTGTGTGTGTGTGTGTGTGTGTGTGTGTGTGTGTGTGTGTGTGTGTGTGTGTGTGTGTGTGTGTGTGTGTGTGTGTGTGTGTGTGTGTGTGTGTGTGTGTGTGTGTGTGTGTGTGTGTGTGTGTGTGTGTGTGTGTGTGTGTGTGTGTGTGTGTGTGTGTGTGTGTGTGTGTGTGTGTGTGTGTGTGTGTGTGTGTGTGTGTGTGTGTGTGTGTGTGTGTGTGTGTGTGTGTGTGTGTGTGTGTGTGTGTGTGTGTGTGTGTGTGTGTGTGTGTGTGTGTGTACAGGTGTTCATGGGCTGGGTGTGGCTAAATATCCCACACGTGGATTGGGGGAGTGGATTTGGCTGCTGAATTCATTAAGTGGACTCTAAATCCCCAACCTTGTATGATAAGAGTACGGGTATATACAGTCTTAGTGTGAGGTCCAGATTACCATAGTTAGTTATCAGGCTTTGTAAGATTCAATGTAGTTGTCAGGTATAAGTTCAATTAAATAAATTAAGTTTAAGTTAGTAATCCCTTTAAAGATCGTATTAATTCTTCGATTAAATAATGAGAAAGTTCTAATTACAAAAGGTGACCAAGTGTATGAGAATAGACTAAAGAGTAGGAGTATACTGTTCAAGAATACTGAACAATGTACAGTACTGTATATATATTTCTATATCATACGAACAATGTGCAGACTCTTCACCTTTATTTACATTATCCAATTCCTCATAATTTAGGGACAGGGTAGCCATCTTTCTCTTGCCGTCTATCTCCTTATTGCATGGCTCTGTCTTGTCCTGCCATTATGTATACAGTCTCCCTCTACTTCCTCTATATTACCTTCAAAGCTAAACCTTCAATCCGTCAGAGTCAATACATAGCCATTTCTCCAAAAAGAAAAAAGCTCACACTTACTGCTGATTTTGTTTACGTGTCCCACACAACTCTTGCGTTGTCTTGCTCTTGATACGCTCCCCAGAAAAAATACTTAAAAGCTTCGACACAATATGTGTCCCAGATGTGCTGAGCTACAGGAGAAAAGTTTGGAATATTTATATATTGCTATACAGTATATGAAGATGGGTCACATAAGCCTTTGGCCCATCAGGTACAGTGTAGATACAACAAAATAAATATTAAGCTTTGGAATACAAGAAAACAATGTGGCTAACACTGCTCTTGGCAGTCTACATGTCCTCGACAAATCTAACAGGAGAATTGATGGGGTGCTCTGGGCCCAAAGACAGTGACTTTCAGGACAGGAATTCTGTATCCATTTGCCTGCTGCATCCCTTAATATATGTAGATTTGTAAATACCCAGTACTACAGAATCACAGGATTCCACTTGTTGTAGGTATGAATTATAATTTTAACTAAACCAGACAGAAAACTTTAAACATGTGTCTAACAGCAGCTAAGATGTAACTTCAGGAGCTGAAGGAAATATGAACATCCAGTATATATGTCTCTATGATATGGTATATTTCAGTGTCAACAACAGTGAATCATTCATTATTCATCACTATGAATTACAAATTGAAATTGAAAAATGTGAACCTTGGAAAATCAGTGCCCCTAAAAGTTTCACTTCACTGGACCCTACCTTAATATAGTCCTTCTGACACACCCAGCCATGAGTTAGCTTGTCGTGTGTTCCCTGGATCTTCATATGTTCTATCACAGCTGCTAGGCCAAAATCGTCCGCTGTGTTTACATTAATCTGGAAAAAAGGCATCAAAACTTTATTTTATCCCTTTTCTGTTTATATTAAATGGATGGCTGCTTCCACATTCTGCTATTCCTAACCCACATGATGACATACCACACACTTTTTGCTGTCTCTTTAATGATACAGTATTAGTAAGAGTTTATCTTCAAGTTAAATCAATGCAACATCAAACGTTTATAGTATAATATTAAACTAATCTTATGGTAAAGTTACATCAATGAAGCACCATACAGTATACAATCTGATGACTCAACTAAGCACAGTACTGTACTCTATACAGGCAGGTATGACAACCTAGAAAAATAAAGACTGAAGCAAACTGGGAAACAAAATATGGTTCATGGTTGTGGTGGTAATTCTGATACCTGTTTGTTGAGGATATATTTCCATAAGAAAAATGTCTGACAGACATGGTTAAGTGTCAACATTACTACTTTGTCCTTATCTTATTTATTCTGTTAATTTCAGTTACTTTTTTGTTCAAGAACAGTAAACTCAGATGCAATTATTTCATGGGTAGTTGTATTGCATACTAGTGAGTGTCTAACAAGAAGGATTTAAATAAAACACATCCCCTGTCTTTGATTATCAGAGTGAACTACTCAAAGTTAGCACATACATGTACAGTACCATCTTTGCATATCAGAAAGAATAATCTTTAAGTGACAACACTGCACAGAGAACAACATGAAAGTCCAATTATTTATATTTTTGTAAAGTACCATTTGGAAAAGTACACCTACAGGTACAGTCAAAGAAATAAATATCTTCCCAACTTTTGGTAAATACATTGCGGGAAAGTTCAGCCATCTGACGCACACATCTGTGTACCTCATAAACAGTTGGCAGGCCTGTGGAACCTTAGAAAGGGGTAGCCAGTTACACCATTGATTCACATAATTACTTTCTCTGAAGACCATTCATCATTGGGCACATGTGTCAGAACTGTATTCCACAACTAGAATAGTACTGCTAAGTTCACTAGTATTTTGAAACATCAGTTCGTTGAACAACTCAAAACTTGGATATACTCTGTACAGTAGACAGGTGTAGTCATGGTCAGGCTCTTGGCATAATCTGCCATGTTTCAATATTTATTGGCCAAAGCTGGAAAGATACAGTACTGTACTGTGCTTGTTTCTTAGACTGTACTTTCCGAATGTGAAAGTTCACGAGTCAGCCAACAAGCGATGGCGTCTTTCTTTTGATGTACAGTTGCTCAAAAAGTATCTGAAAAATACTGTTCATGATAATATGACCCATCAGGCGTATGTTTTGGGAAATGGTTGAGGACCAGGCGTAAAGGTGGTAGACCTGCGTGCCACAATGGTTGAGGACCAGACGTAAAGGTGGTAGACCTGCGTGCCACAATGGTTGAGGACCAGGTGTAAAGGTGGTAGATCAGCGTGCCACAATGGTTGAGGACCAGGCGTAAAGGTGGTAGACCTGCGTGCCACAATGGTTGAGGACCAGGTGTAAAGGTGGTAGACCTGCGTGCCACAATGGTTGAGGACCAGGCGTAAAGGTGGTAGACCTGCGTGCCACAATGGTTGAGGACCAGGCGTAAGGTGGTAGACCTCGTGCCACAATGGTTGAGACCTGGGTGGTAGACCTCGTGGGTTGAGGACCAGGCGCCACAATGGTTGAGACCAGGCGTAAAGGTGGTAGACCTGCGTGCCACAATGGTTGAGACCAACCAGGCCAGGCGTAAGGTGGTAGGGCGTGCCACAATGGTTGAGGACCAGGCAGGCGTGCCACTGCGTGCCACAATGGTTGAGGACCAGGCATAAAGGTGGTAGACCTGCGTGCCACAATGGTTGAGGACCAGGTGTAAAGGTGGTAGACCTGCGTGCCACAATGGTTGAGGACCAGGCGTAAAGGTGGTAGACCTGCGTGCCACAATGGTTGAGGACCAGGCATAAAGGTGGTAGACCTGCGTGCCACAATGGTTGAGGACCAGGCATAAAGGTGGTAGACCTGCGTGCCACAATGGTTGAGGACCAGGCGTAAAGGTGGTAGACCTGCGTGCCACAATGGTTGAGGACCAGGCATGAAGGTGGTAGACCTGCGTGCCACAATGGTTGCCATGTAATTTATAAGACGTTTCTGCCGTTTGTCATTAACATGTTTCATATGAATATAATTAATATGGCTATATTAACAGGGAATGGCAGTCTAAAAAGATATTATCCATGTTAGACACATACAGTAAACAATATGTGCGTGGTAATGCTTAAATGTTCCACTGCGCAACAACAACTAAATGCATGTGTTGACTGTATCCATATGTAGCATTTGGTATGTATACATGTAGTATTAGATAACACGTTATGTTATATTAATAGGTAAGGTAAACAGTAATGGCATCTCACGTTTATTGACTTGGTGTAACCACCTCCCGCGTCCAGAACACATTGTTTGGGTTCACAGCAACATGGCAACGCTACCCTGTTGTCGATACTGCATTTCACATAGGGCATCAAACACGCTATGTATAGTGATTATACTGCTTTCATACAGGTATGACTATAATGCAATGCTTACAGTTTACATTTTGATGGATACTTGTAATTATAAAGATAAACTACCCTGGTTATAAGCAGTTGCGAAACCTACGACTACTCACACTTATCAACCCTACCGAGGCAACAGTGCCCAGACAACAGGGGTTGTATTGTGCGTTTTGACATCCATCAGACCCCACTTTTCAGATATTTTTTGAGCGACTGTACTGTAGTTGGCATCAATCAAACTGGCGATATGTTCACTAGTCTAAATCAAACTCTAAAAATAATGATGAAAAGGTCTGAGGTTCTCCATAAAGCAGGTTACCATCCAAGAAATGTTACATGAACATAATTGCAAAGCCACTACCATCACCAATTCTTTTTATTCATTATGGAATCTATCAAAAAACAGATTAGAATTGCAGTAATAACACAAATGTACTGTACTGTACTATGTTGTCCCTACAGCATCTACTCCTGGTCTCCTCCACTCAACTAATAATGCACTTTGATTGTTGCATCTTTTTTAGTACAGTACATATGAGGCGCCCCGCATCGTATGGATTTTTCGCGCCAAAATTTGAAACCGAGAAAACTGCATTTAAAGCCTTTCCAACTTCAAACATGCAGTTATTTGAGATACAGTCTTCATTTTTTATGCATTTTGAAGCTAAAGACTGTACTTGCAGATGGTGGGTAGTGCATCATGAAATAATGTACTGGGTTGTTGCAATGTTGACTTGAAGCAACAAAACTCCCACCCGCTTATGGCTTTTTTTACTTTAATCAATATCAGAGTGTAGATCCCACTCACTGGAGAGGCCGTGGCGTAGATAACAGACGCTCATTGTCATTGGCCAAGATGGGGGAGGAGGCTGTAGGCTGGCAGCTGTGATTGGCCGCCTACTCCTCTCACTCACTCACTGACAGGATGAGAGCACCTTACGACATGAAAGCCAAGCCCATAATTTCCTGTCTGCCACAAATTGATGTTCTACCCTATTTTCAAAGGGCTTTCAACCTTATTTACAGTGTGCTCGGGAGATCTTATCAACTACCATCATATAGAGCTTGGCTGAAAATAGTGCTTTCCAACAAAAAACGGGTTTCGCCCGGATGGTCTGGAAGCACTTTACGATGCGGGACGCCTCATATTACAGTAGCACTAGGAGCTTAAGCTAATGTCTTCCAGTAAAATTTAGGCAAAAGCTATTATTTTCTTGTATGCAGCTGCACTATAGAGCACTGACTTTAATCCTTTATAAATTAGGACTTTGTTTGTTTAATTAATATTATTACTTTCTTCACCTGTCATCATCACTTTTCCATATCATCCAGAGGTTTATACAGATTAGAGTGGAAGACGAGTAAGATAATACCTAGACAGAAACACAGTACAGCACTGTATAGCAAGTGAACTGGCTAATGATGGGAAACACATCTTTTGACAATTCCAGCTTGTGTGGTGAACTTCCTTATTTCTGTTATTTTGGACATCTTTTCTTTATTATGATAACTTTTCAGAATAAAAGAATTCTGAGGTCATGTAAGCAATAAAATTAATCTTTACAATTCCATGAATTAGAATCTAATGTCAAAATTGACATCAGATGAGACTTTAAAGTGAAAATATCCAGAGGAATGATATTTAGAACATGAAGCCTAGAAAGAGAAAAAGTGTCACATCAACCTTTACAGGTATTTCATGTTGCCATACAGGATGTTAAAATCATTATTCATGGGAAATCCTATGGACAAACCTTGCATTTGTGGATTTTGTGACTAGATGGAGTACCGTTACTGTCTATTAAGTACCCAACCTTTAGTATAGCTGCCTTCCAAGGTTTAATGAATATGGAAGCCTCCTCTTTATCATGTTTGCACAGACCCATGGATTCAAGGTGATCTGTGGATACAAAATATAAATTAAAAACACTTTTAATTTATATATAAAATTATCAAGGAATAACTTGAGGAAAAAAATTGCTTCAATAATGATCAAATTACATGCACTGTACAGTACAGTTCAGTACAGTACAGTATTGTATATCATGCCATCACAGAGACTGTTCCAAATTTTCTATGATTGTATAATGTTCATTTTCAAAAATGGCATCTATCTGGGACAAGAAATATTTGAAAATCACAGGATCAATATAATCAGTTAACTTACTCAACCTAATTTGTATACAGTACTACAATATTTTTTTTGTACTTCTGTATATAAGATTATGTATGCATAAAAATGAGTAAAAATAAAATGAAGAAAATTACATACTGTACAATATATCTAACCAAAATTTTTAGTTAAAAAATACCCATAGCAAAAAATTTCCCATGATGTAAAACAGTTGCAAAAGAAAATAAATCTATATGTAAATCTTCATCTATATTAGGTGTAAGAAGATTTATAGTGAATGAAATTCTATTCTTCAAGTAGTGGCATTAAGTAAGAATGTAGGAGTGCAGTATACAAGCTCAGGCAGGATAAAGGAGCTTACTGGTAAGGTTAGCCTATAGCAAGTATATACTGTACCAGGTAGCTATTGTTCAAAGAAAATGACCCACGAAAATGCATGAATTTTAACCTAAAAAATATTACACTTACATAGTCCAACCCCTTACTTTTTATATAAAAATTTGATCATTAAAACTCAAGACTATACTCGAGTATACTGTACTGTATATGGTAGTTTTAACCACATATTTTCCCCTTATCTTCAAAGTTCAGCCCACTTTGATAGACACTACTGTCGCTGGTAGTGGTTCATATCTCCATAAATAAACATCAGCGACAAAAATAAAGGTCATACTGCATTCGTTTCAATCACCATGAGAAACACAAGAAAATTTTTTTTAGTTATTAATTTCACAATACTGTATGGTCACTAATGAAACTCTACCCAAAACATACTTAAAGGAACTGACTACAGTATATAGGTACGTAGTGTACTATGATGTACATTCGCAACAAAAAGTATCGGTGCATACTGTAGTGTGAACAATTTGAGACCAGTGACAATAGGTATTGGAAATGGCGAGTTGTTCCAGCCGTATGTTGGCAGCCCTGATTGTCAGCCATATGGCAACACCTAGTGAAGGGGGGGGGTTATGAGGATACACTTACCAACCTTCCCGACATAACACAGTGTATACGTATCGTTTCGTAACTCGTCGATCTCACCCTGCACCAATACTTTTTGGTGCGAGTGTACCTGTGCCAAAGAATTCTTGATACCTGTATATGATCACAGGTTTAAAAGCTATAGTGAAATAAAGGAGCTAGTGGATTTCTTAGAACAATCACAATGGTTAATATTTAGAAGTTGCTAAGCGAGGAACTCTATAATGATTCTTTCACAGGGAGAAATGTGTAGAGCATGAGAAATTAAAAGTATTATTAGACTTTTGGACAACACAGAAATCTTAGGAATTTTAATTTTACTATAGGTAGTTTTGACAATTGATTATATATATATATATATATATATATATATATATATATATATATATATATATATATATATATATATATATATATATATATATATATATATATTTCATTAGCCCAATAAAGCACGCGGACTTCTACATGCAGTCAACACCTCAACCCGCCAGGATTCAAACCCATTGGGCTAATGAAATATATATGGATCCTCGTGTTTCGAAGCCGGATTTGGTAAAACGTTAGTCTGACCACCTACATGATACGGGTAGTCCCCATTAGAGGTTCACAGCGCCATAAGCTCGTTGAACAGGCTTTGTGTGAAATATAACAAAGTCTAGGACTACTTTTGTATCCTGGTGGTCCAGCGGTAGCGTTCCCCGGTCACAGTCATGGGCTCGTGGGCCGTGGGTTCGAATCCTGGCGGGTTGAGGTGTTGATTGCATATATATATATATATATATATATATATATATATATATATATATATATATATATATATATATATATATATATATATATAACAATGAAAATCCGCCGTTTTTATAATTGTTTTCAATCAATTTCGTCCATAGGTTAATCATATATATATATATATATATATATATATATATATATATATATATATATATATATATATATATATATATATATATATATATATATATATATATATATATATATATATATATATATATATATATATATATATATATATATATATATATATATATATATATATATATATATATATATATGAGTGGGCTATTCCGTAAAAAAAATGGAAGTTTGGATGTCACATGATACTTGTGAGCCAATCGGTGAAGACTTGTTGGCAGTGCTCTAGAATTTTTATACACCGAGGAGGAGGAGGGGGGGGTACGAGAGGATAGGTGAAGTCTTTCTGGTTTCTCTGATTAGATTCGTTTCTTCAATTTCTTGCGTGTTTTCGCCCTACAGTATTCCTCTACTTTAAAGCCCTGCCCACTTTGTGCAACCAATATTTTTGGTAAGGGGGTGGGGGGGGGGGTCATATTTACACTATAAAATAAATTGTAAAAACTTATTTTCCATAGTAATTTCGGTGCATGGCAACTTCTTAATATTTACCCAAAAGTATCAACAAGTGGATACCATTACAAGGTGGTAACTTACAGGTCTCGTAGCCCCCTGCACACACCAAACTCTGAATATACAAACACAACACAAAGACACTATATAACACGGACTCCATCTTCACTAGTGTCTACAGCGCTTCTTCTCTTATTATGAGTCAGTTTCCTCAGGTTGCATGCCATGAAGTAACACTTTCCAGTAAACACATCCAAATGTCTTTACCTATAACGTCAACAAAAAAACAGAGATAAACAAGGATCTGAGTCTTTATCGTCCCTCATCACATCGGTTCACAATAACCTTAAGAGGTCTTTCTGAAGTCCGCAAACCATGTAAATCTGATAAAATTATTAAACAATGTAAGACATTTGTTAATCTCAGTATTAATGTTTTGAGGGCACTCATTTTACATGCATTTTTTTTTTAATTTCAACGAAAAGTTTCTTTGTTTGTTTGGGACAGAAAACATAAACAAGATTCACTCCAAATATGACTTGTATACAGTACCACATTTGTTCTGAATACTGCATTTATCCATTATTTTCAGTATGCATATATCAGTTTTTGATGCAAATATATAAATCTTAAAAATAGGTAAAACCCTACTTAACAGTAATACTCAAGGTCCTTTAGTTAGTATATTTAATGGTTATTATATCTGGTTGATTTTCGGATTTCAGTTGAGGAGAAAACATGAATCGATTCTGGGTCGGGTGAGAAGGTTTACCCACCTATACAAAGGTTTAACAAATGATGAAGCTCTTTAATGTTTCTTTTCTCTTTTTCCTGGGTGAAGAAAAGGAAGGGTATTTAGTCATTTAACTCCAGATGAAATTATGGGAGTTTCCTTGGAATTCATAGAGAGGGATTAATCATAAACTTGTACTTTGTTTAAAAGTGGAATGTATATCAATAACATGACATGACGTCACTTGTAAACAAGTGTGTTTACCTTACGAGTCACAGGAAGAATCAGTGGTAGAGGCACGATGGAGGGAGCGGTCAACACAGGGTGCTCCAGTCAAGAGAGGATTATTAAGGACACATCAAATAAATTTAAATACCAGTGTAAGTGGTGTCTTTGCCATATTGAAATAAGTATAAAGTTACTATTTATATCTACTTTAGTACAGTTGTCGAGGTAAATGTGCACAATGGTTCCACAGATTTGATAATGGTTTGCTGCCCACAGGATATATATATATATATATATATATATATATATATATATATATATATATATATATATATATATATATATATATATATATATATACCGGGTATATTTTTTTTCCGAGTGTATATTGGTTTTATAATTGACCTAACGTAATCTAGCCTAACCTAACAAAGAATCCTAGAGATAATGGTAAAAACGAATATTAACCACATAATATTTAAATGGTGAGGGGGAACAAAAAAAAAGACACCGTTTTTAATGCATCACAAATGGAAAACCTGTGGTAATATTGTACTTTGTAATAGTATTACACGTCAATCAGGAACTTTAGGATTTTATTTGGTATTATTGCGTTTACACACCGTTCATTCCTACCACTAATCTATTATTATATTCGAATAAGACGTCTAATTATAAGATAATTTTCATCTATTACATTACCGGCGGAAATGTATAATAACGGAGATAGCTTTTCCAAATAAATTTCTATTTTCTTCCATTATTTCCCGCCATTATCGTCTGCCTCTCACCCAACACTGCGTGTCTCTCGCGTCTCCTTCATAAATCATGACGCGCATGCGTACCCGTACACGTCACGCGGCCAATCAAAAGCGTTTTTGCTAATTCAGAGTATATTTGGCCCAATCAAAATCGAGTTTTATTTTGGGTCTCTCATATTTTGAAATTCAAGTTCAGTTCCGACCATGGAAGTCTGCAATGGATGTCACTTGAAGTATATGGAGCTGATTGCGAGGTTTTGGAAAAAAAAACGTAGAAACTATTGCATTTTTTCGATCGCATGGTGTTCTTCCAACCTCAGTAAAGTGTACTAAGAGCAAGACGGAATGTAAATATCGCAAAGACCAACATATGTGGCGTTGGGTAAGAATCCCAGAATGCAACAACGAACAAGAACCAGGCCAATAAGGTAAGAAATAGGTGATTCCATCATATGGTGAGAGTCAGTTAAGTTAGGTTAGGTTAGGTTTTGGTTTTTCTAGTGTTTTTTTATGTATTTTTTAGTCGCTTAGCCACTTTTTTCGGAAAACGTCAAACGAAAAAAAATCGCAAAAAAAACCGGCTAATTTCTGGCAAAATTGAAGGTCATATTAGGTCTAAAAACACAAATACACCAGAAAAATATATTTTTTACTTGCTAAAAGTGAACGGTGTGACATTGCAAATTTACCTTTTATTTACTGTAAGAGACAAGTGCTTTCTTACCACATGAAAATTATTAAAATTAGAAGATATGGTTTAGGCATGGAATTTTTTTTAAATGAAGTTTTTTCATGTTGAATACATTAGTGATAATGGAAGTACAGTATATGGAAATGCATGATTGTTAAATTATGACTCTGTGGGGTCACTCCGGGGTCACCATTTGTGGGGTTCAGGATGTTTGGTTCACACTCAGGATGGAATGGAGAAAGGAAACTCACAATGTGCTCTCTATATACATGTTGTATTGGATGTACAATGCAGCTTGGTGCTGGGAAGGCAGCATGGTTACAAGCGTGATGTAGAGAGAGCTGGTTGGTGAGGACGCTCAGAGAAGGACCAGCCTGTGGGTCGCCATGCTCGCCGGCGGGAGCGAGGGCCGCCAGGCAGGCGGAGGAGAAGCGAGGACCGCCAGGCAGCGGCGGAGGAGGATGTGTTGCTGGCTGCGGCTGTAGGTAGAAAGAGGACAGGTCACCACGAGGTCAGATCTTAAATAGCGGGGGTTGGCGTGGCTTAGTAGTTGACCCCCGCTCCGTGATGTATGGCGGCGCTGGTTGACCCAGACCACGAGGGGAATTGGTGGGGTCGGCTACTCAGCGACAAACAGCGTTTGTAGGGGAGAAATCCACTACAACTCTCTGCCTTTACTTATCAAAGATGGACAAGGCTTTAAAGCAGAGGGAAAATGTGGAATTAAAACATATCTAAAAGAACCTAACGTAAACTAATCTGGACAATGTACTCACCTAATGGATAATTATTCTGCACGCGCACTAACATATAAGCCAGTTTACACAGTAATAATCTACCTTCCAGCCATGACATATTGATAATACATGCCACCCGTGGTGTGCCCTTCCACCAACTTTAAGTTAAGTTTTCATAGAATGTAAAAGCTTTCTTACCAACCACCTAAATGGCTAGTAAGCAAAGTAATAAGTTAGATTACCAAAAGAAATTGAGAGAAACATGCAAGCGGAATACAATTGACGCAATGTATAGGATTTGTACTTTTCAAATTCTGTATTTATCTCCCAGGTTTTCCAGTAAGTAAAGATGCTCCATGCTCATTGTCTAATTAATGACATAATGTTTGTGCTCCAACTGTTAACAAATGTTTCCCAGCGATCGAATTACCCTAAATTCTATGCAACAGAACACTTCCCAGCCTACTTATCCATGGGTAATCTACCTAATCTAACCTAGAATAGAAATATTAAACTTCCACCCAAGGATAGGTAGGAAAAGTTGGTTAATCTTATACAGTATTTGATAAATCATAATATAATTTAATAATAACTTTTGCAATTAGTGTTGGTGTGTATAAAAAGAAAGACACTGCTGCTGGGAAGCTACCTTGTTCATGTGTATCACCAAACCAATATTGTTACAAAAAATTCCTTACCAATACTATTACAAAAAAAAAATTCTCAAAGTTGCTGCTGCTGTTTCTTAGTCAGTAAGAAACACAGTACAGTAGTGTTAATGTCTGTGAAACTTTCTTACTCATGTAAACCTTAACTTCACAGCTGCAGCTTTCCTCACGGGCATTGCTGGTGTGTCATTGTTGGGAGGATTTGGCATGACATTAGGAATGGCTAAGAAGAAGGACCCAGAAATGTTTAACAAAGGCATCATTGGCACACGAGAGCTGCGTGAAGCTGGTGGGGCACTTGCTTTGAGAGCTCTAGGATGGGGCACACTCTATGCTGTTGCGGGATTTTCTGTATTTTGCTTTGGTGCTTGGAAACTGATGGGTGCAAAAGACGTGAGTATCTTGGAATAATGTACTTCATATAAATGTGTGTGTGTGTACTACTGCAGTAGAAAAGTTGAGAATTGTATCAGCCTAGAAATAATATTAAATTGTTATCAGTGTTGGATGAAGCTCTAAGTTCATGAGTAGTCCAACAGTAATTTAATATATAAAGGTGTATTAATGTATGTGGATCACAGACATTATTATACCTATGGTTAGTATTTACTATATACTACTAGTATTAGAATATATCTCTGATGAAATACCATTTTTATCTTTCAGCTCCAAGAATTCAGAACAAAAGCAGGAGGTATTTTACCCAGAATACCCAAGAATAACCCACCTCAAAGCAGGACAGAGTTTGAAGGATTAAATGACCTCCTTCAGTACATTATCGATGAAGATGAGAGAAAAAAACATGAGACAATATCAAAAATATCAGAACCATTCATGAATAAAAAATAGTGTCTTACAGCTACAGTTTCATATTTGTGTTGCAGATATGGTTATCTGTAAATAGTGTAAAGTGTTGTATCTTCTGATGAATTTATGATGTGTAAATACAAAATACAAAATGAATGGAATGAAGTGGACCATGGTAGGTGTTCAACGTAGGGTGAAGATGATTGGTTTTTTTTGGATACAAACTGGAAAGAACTTACAATCTTTTACAATATTTTGTTTTGTTATATAGTTATTAGCTACTGTATAATGTAGAAATTAGTTTGTGAATAATATAAATGTATTGTAATATGCAGCACTCAAAATTTTATATGTCTCACTTTGCCACAGTCAGTGTACAGTAATTTGAAGATGAATAGATTTATTATTGTGCTTACATAAGCTATGGGCCATCCCATACCCTTCATCCCTCCAAGAATAAAAAAAAGTAAATAACAATAACAATTATTTCTTATCTACTGTATTGTATTTGCTTGACAACCATAACTTCTATAAATTACTGTTGTAGGGATCTTCCATGTTATTCCTGTTTATATTGTCCTGTAATAAATTGATATCTAAAATAGTGTGTAGAGATGTTATGATATACCGGTGCTGTACAGTACTTTCCTTTTCTGCAGTTGTCTTCCACTTATCGTCCCTTTCTCTGAGATCAACGACACACAAAACAGGGAGAGGATAGAAACATAGGCAAATAATATACTGTACTGTTATATCTTTTCCATGTCATGTTGACAAATTACTTTTTTTTTTCTTTTTTTTTTGCTTACTTTTATCTTTACCACTGATCAGCTATTTAGCTGCTTGGGCGATTGGTCATGTGTCTGATTTTTGGCAAGTACTGGCTCCTGAATGTATCTGAACTTGCTCCAGTGCTGGTCAAGTCTGGCCTTGAAGGAACTCACACTCGGTGCCATCACAACACCCTCTGGCAGGTTGTTCTACGAGTTCACAACTCTCACTTCGAAAAAGTTAGCCTTCACAGTTTTCTGGACTTGTGGCTTCTTCACCTTGAGCTGTGATATCTTGTGGGGCGAGCGTCCGCCAGCTCCAGGTAAGAACACTTGACTGAGTAGTGCCCTTTGAGATGTTTATACACCTCAATTACCGGTGGGTCCCCTCTTGCCTGTTGGTAGTATAAGCTAGGCAATTGCAGGCACTCCTATCTCTCTGAGTGCTGAAGTGCCAGCACCAGTCTGGTGGCCCTCCTTTCGACATTTTCAACCAACTGACAGTTCCTAGCATGTCTCGGGGACCAAACGGAGTGACAGTACTCCAGGGGGAAGCTCCTCGCTTATGAAAATCATTACGAGGGACAGACCGTCTAGTTATCTAAACGAATTTCTAATAAGAACTAATAATTTAGTTACTTGGTTCACCTTCTTACAATGGCCCAAGAACTTCAGTTCATTGTCAACATACAGACCTAGGTCCCTTTTGCATTCAGTCTAAATTAATGCGGTTCTTTGTCCCATTGGGACATATGATACGCCTCCTTACCAGTGGTATGTCCCAGGTGAATCTTCTTGCACTTGGTGACATTGAATCTTGACCATTTCTTCAAGCTCACAGAGATCTTTTTGCAGCTCTTCGCAGTCTGCTTGGTTCTTAATTTCCCTAAATAACTTTGCATCGTGCGCAATCATTTGTAAGGAATGTACAGCTTCTCGCATATCATTTATGAAATAACAGTGGGCTCAATACACTGCCCTGCGGTACCCCGCTTGTCATGAGTGCACATGACGATTTCATGCCATTAATCACCACACACTGCTTGCGATCATAGAGTCTCCAATCCACGCTAGGGCACTCCCCCGAATCCCGTACCTTTCCAGTTTAATTTTTAGCCTTTCATGGGGTACGCTGTCGATAGCCTTGGCAAAATTTTGGTATATATTGTTGATATTGCCACCCTGTTCCAGAATACGGGTCCAAACATCCAGTACCTTGAGTAATTGTGTTCATCATGAGTATCCCAGCATGAAATCGTGTTTGCAATCCTTTACAAGGTTGTTTCGTTGTAGATATTCCATCGTGACATCTCTTATAAAGCTCTCCAGTATTATACATACAGTACTATGCTGGTCAGACTCACTGGTTCATAATTATTCGTGGAGTGACGATCACCTTTCTTGAAAATAGGATTCACATAGCCATTTTCCAATCACTGGGGATCTTTTGCTCATCCAGGCACTTACAGAACAGGATCTTCAGGGGCTCAGCAAGCACGTTGTACAACTCTCTTAGTACTGTGGGATGCACCATGTCAGGGCCATGATTTATGAACCTTTAGCTTTGACTATTTATTTCTGATACCCTCTTCTGAGAACACAATGTGGGTCAGCGATGTGTCGAACCATCTGTCCTCAAACGCAGTAAGAGTGTTCGGATCCTCCCTTGTGAACACAAGGAAAAGAAACTGATCAACGCCTCCAGTTTGTCTTGGTTAGAATCTGGATAACTACCATCGTCAAGCCTCGGGTCCAGTACTCCTACCCGCAATTTTAATTTAGACTTAGCACTCTGACATGATGACTTGTGTTACCAGTAAGTACCGTTTTATATTGCCACAATGAATGAGTCACTTAGCAATACTAAGAAAGACCTCGGTAGCAACAGAATATTTTACAGTGTGACAAGTGATTTAGAATATTTGTATAGAGGTTCTGAAGATGCCATCAACCCCTCAGGATACGAGGAGATTGGTACAAAAGCAGGGGGATAAGCCTCGCCCCCTCAGGATCACACTTGTGAGTGAGGAGGATAAATGGGAGGTTATTCGGCAGGCAAAAAACTTAGCAAGGAGCGAGGCATCTTGGAGTGTATTCATTCACCAAGATCGCACGGTAATGCAGAGGGAACAGCACAAGAAGCTCCTGCAGGGCTTGAAGCAGAGAAGGGAGGAGTCAAGGAGGAATGGGGACGTGTGTACATGGGTTATATTCAGGGGAAGGGTAGTGGAAGCCGACACAGAGCCAGGGGGCAGCAACGCACCCTCCACCCGGGAGGTGGCACCAGCTCCGCCTACCAGCCGGGAGGAGGCGAGCGCCGTGTAAACAATGACATTTCTAACCACACACTGCAAAATACAGTGTACTTAGCAAACGCTACAGCTTCTGAGAATAGGGGAAGGAACCGAAGTTACTATTAAGAGCAGAGATGTTACCAAGAACAAATTCTGGCTTGAATGTTATGTACACTAATACTGACACGTTCCTTGAAAAAGAGAGAGGAGTTTGAAACACTACTAGTGTGATCCTGAGGGGGCAAGGCTTGTCCCCTCTGCTTTTGTCCCAGCCTCCTCACATCCTGAGAGGTTGATGGCCTATTCAGAACCTCTGTACAAATATTCTTAAACTGTATCTTATCGTGTGTTATCCTACTCTCAATTCTCTTTGCCTGGCTTTCAGGGACTCCAAAAACTATTACATTGTTCCTGCTCTGGAAACATTCCTGTTGTTCCTCCTCTCCTCTAACAGTAGGTCCACTAATTGCCATTTCTTCGACACACTTCTTCAGAGTCCTAGCTGATGTAGAACCTTTTCTGACCCTGCATTACTCTCCGCCACCTCTCATGGCCCTGTAAAGGCGTCAGCATAACTCCTCTTTGCAACCACCTCCATTCTATCGGCTACTTCCTCAGTCTTAGCAAAGATCTCTTTCCCAACTTGTTCTAGTTTGGCAACCAGCAAGGCTCCAGCTTCATCTATTTTCGTCCCTAGGGAACTATGCAGTCAGGACAATACCAGCAACAGCCTTCATGCTTTACGGCAATTTGTATTGTCCAAAACTCTGTATTGGTCATGTCTGTACCATGTACATCCGTCGTCACCCTGCATTAATCACATGTCATAACCCTTATGGTTGTTGCTGTTGGAGGGGAGGGGGCAAACTGTACAGATCAACACCTATTAAAAAAAAAAAAAAAAAAAAACTATCGTACTTAGCTGCCCTCTGCTGGTTTTAACCTCCCCTTATTCATTCAGTGCTGCTTCCATGACAGTGAGTTATCTTCTGATTTCCCCCCTATTTTTTTCCAGTTCTCCTCAACGAGTTGTTGGTATCTGTGTGCTATCCCAATGTACACTGTATCTTGCTATTGATGACTGATCATATGCCCACTCAGTCCTTTATTAACCCTAAAGCCCCAGGTTAGGGTGCTGCTGGCAGTACCCCCCACGCTGGGTTAAATCGAGAAAAAAAATCAATATTTCCAAAATTAATTTAAAAAAAAAATGGCGGGAAAATAGGCGGACGTTCTGGAACGTCACCCGGGACTGAGGGTTAACACTTCTAATTGTCGGTTTAATAATAATAATATTGATCCTTATTATTACTGTGATAATTTCTTTTAATCTGTGTCCTGGTAGCAGGGCCTTAACGTCAAAGTCCCTTTAAAAGCCCCGTTCCGCTGCCTGGGTATAGGACGTTATGGCTAGTGCCATCCACAGGGCAAGCACAATTTATTTCATCTGAGCAAGAGATATACACCGCAGTGGGATGACTTCCTTAATAATCACATCAACTAATTTGAAGTCTAAGTAAAGTGAAATATGGAGGTGATCGTCCCCTTGTGGCAATTCAATGTTTTTTTAAAAAGGAAGAGAAAAATAAACATAAAACATAACTGCCTCCTGTTGGTGTTTTAACCTCTTTGGCACTGTGTTTCATCATTTACTCTTTTGAGAGCCTCATTTATTTCCTGAAGGCCTCTGACATCTGAAAACATTGGTTAATTCTCAGAACCCCTCACACAATAATGAACTTTTAAAATTCCTGGAAGCCTCCATTACCTTATGGAAGCCACTACGGGGTATTAATTTCTGAAAGGCTCATTATATTCTGGAAACCTCTATCAATTCCAAGAACCTGGACCACTTCCTGAAAGCCTCAAATAATGTACTAGAACATCACACCCCTGAGAGATGGGCAGTGTCAACTGAGTGCCCACAACTTCATTCACTCCCAAGACAATAATAAGTACCTGTATTAATGAATCGGGCAGGTTAGTACCTCTACTACATACAGTACTGTATACTCAAGGCTAGTGCCCCTACTACATATATTCAAGGCTAGAGTGTCTACTATATACACTATTTACTCCAGGATAGTGGCTCTACTAACTAATGTATATTCAAGGGAGAGAGGTATTACCACATATACTAAGGGCACTGCAAAACATACTCAAAGTAATGTAACTGTTCAATTAAATATCTTGATTTGTCCAAATCTTGTCCAGTTGTTTCTCAAAGGTCAGCATTACTGTTTTCTACTACTGTGTGTTTTCAAAAGGATCTTCAAACACATTCAATCCATTCCATTAAGTAGATAACAGATATACAGTACAAGTGACTGTTAGGTGAAGAACTACTGGGTAACTCCAACATGCCTATGAAAAATATTGAGCAATGATGTCAATAAGAATGTCTATTGAAAAAATTACACATTAAAGCCCCACTAGCAAGACTTAGTGACACACAAATACATATTTGCTAAACTGGCCATGATAGCTAACGCAGACGGTGGACGAACTTAAATGGTATGACTAACTTCACTAATTACGTGGCCAATGGTCACATACAAAAGACTCACTGTTTACAAGGCAGCCTCCATCAATAACTTTGTCCAATGATTGTATGGAGTGCTGGTCTAGAGCAAACTATGATTGTAATCTGTTTTTCATCTTTCTTCCACTCCTACATGATCCAGAAGACTTCGTTCTGCAGACTTCATCATAAAATCACAACAACAGCAATTCATTCTATTTTGTCCTGAAAATTCAGTTTCTGATTTACTATTAATTAATAATCTCTCTGTCAAGATAAGTTAGCTTCAGTACAATTTATCAAAGATTTGACTCATCTTCATGATAACTTAATTCTTAAATGTAAAAAGGATGTGGCAAACATAAATATTCATACAACCATGATTTTAATTTAATAAAAATAAAGTTGTGCTTCTAGTGTATAGTATGTAAAAATACATATGCATACATTTTAGTTCAAGAAAAACTATGCATAAACATGTACTGTATAAGTGCATTAGCATACATTTTAATGTAAGTACCTGAGCCATAATGTTTAATATTAATACACAAAGTCTTAGAGTGTGTGGTCATAGCCTTGTCCGTTAAGCCACACTAAAATGGCATCATAGTTCTTTTCCATCCAGGCTGTGTTGAGTGTGGCTCTCTCGAGTGACTGGTCCAGAGCCCTTCTGGCTGACCCCAGGTGATCTGCATTGTCAGATTTAAACTTCATCAGCTGAAAGACAAATAAAACATCTGAGGAAAATTTATCCATGCAAAATTAACAACAATGCAGATAAAACATCTTGCTATTTTCTCTGACTCAGGAATGGATGTTGCTGAATCCATCGAGCTAAAAATTGGAGAGGGGAGGATAAGGAGGAGAGAGCACAGTCCTATGATGATAAAATATCTCACTTTACCTTGTAACAGTCATGTAAAAACATAACAAATACACTTCTTTTAACACTGGGGATAAAGAGGCTATCTATTAACTATAAATTCCTATGCCAGACAGCTATAGTCATTAGTCTCTACGTATTTGATGATGGAGTTTGGTAACTTCCTCCCTCTTTATAAAATCCATGATCTACCCCCTGTTTCTCTTAGTCTTGTGTACTTGCTTCTCACCTCCTTGAGTTCCAGCTGAGCGTTGAAACCTTGGCTGGCAGCCTTGGCTATCCTGGAGAGATGGGATGAACCTGGTCCCAAACTGAAGAGAAAAAATGGTTATGCTGCATTCTTCTAACAGCATCCCTTCCACTATGGCACCCCTTTTGGCTAGCCTTCTAAAGTAACATCTCATATTTTGCGCGATTTTCTTTCGCGTTTTATAATTTCACGAGCACTACCTAAACCAAGTCTTATATTTGGCGTAAAATATCGTGAATTTCATGAGATCCAACCAGGTGAACGCTGTAATATTTTATCTTGCACTATAAGTATGTTTTTGGGTTGGAATAATGAGGAACAATCTTTGGAATGATGCGAATAAGGTGCAAAAAATGAAAAAATCAACGAATAATCGAACACAATAATTCGGAAATTTTCGAATAATGTCAAAATGTACTGTACCTGTATACAGTACAGCACTGTATTTTATAATTTTATAGTATACAATATACTATAAAATTAGAAAAATGAAGAACATGGGGCGTACCAACGGCAAGGAGGCATAACATATGTCCCAACGGGATGAAGAAACTGCTTTGAGACTGAATGTAAGAAGGACCTATGTGTGTATGTTGACAATGAGCTGAAGTTCTCAGGCCATTGCGAGAAGAGGGTAAATCAGGCAAATAAATTATTGGGTCTTATAAGAAGGTTGTTTAGATATCTAGAAGGTCCGTTCCTCGTAACGATCTTCAAAAGTGAAGTGCTGCCCCATCTGGAGTACTGTCACCCCGTCTGGTCCCCGAGATATGCTGGGGACTGTCAGTTGGTTGAAAATGTTCAAAGGAGGGCCACCAGACTGGTGCCTGCACTTCGGCACCTCAGCTACCCTGAGAGATTGGAGAGCCTGAACTTGCCTAGCTTATACTACAGCCGGGCAAGGGGCGACCTAATTGAGGTGTATAAGCATTCTCAGGGGGCACTACTCAGTCGAGTGTCCTTACTTGGAGCTGGTGGGCACTCGCCCCACAAGGGGTCACAGCCCAAGATTGAAGAAGCCACAGGTCCAGAAAAGTGTGAGGGCAAAGTTTTTCGGAGTGAGAGTTCTGAACTCTTCGAACAATCTACCAGAAAGTATTGTGTTGGCACCGAGTGCGAGCTCTTTCAAGACCAGACTTGACCAACACTGAAGCAGGTTCAGGTACATTCGGGAGCCGGTGCATGCCCAGTACTTGCCAACAGAGACGTGACCGATCGCCCTAGCGGCTAACGAGCCAATCAGTGGTGAAGCGGATAAAAGCAAAGTAAAAAAAAGTTTGTGTGGGAAGTGCACATCTGTATTGAGGTAGTGACATAGAGGTATACCTCCATGGGTAGTAGTGAGCTGTAACTGGCCAGCCACACTATCCCTCCTCCCGTGTGACGTCAGGGCATACAGGCAGCAGCCACACACTTCTCTTGAGTCAGTTTCATGACTGCCCGGATGAACAATCAGGTCAATTAAGACAGAATTTGTATCATTTGGAGGTTATAAATGGGAAAATCAGAGGTTGATGTAGAGTGGCCAGTCTATATTGTATTTTTCCCATTAGTTTATGTATTTGAATTTGGCACAATTTTTCCATTCTACTATATACAGTGATCCCTCGGTTAACGAACGCCTCGGTTAACGAAATTTCGGTTAACGAATTACCTTCCATTAGATTCTTCACTTCGGTTAACGAAAAAATTTCTGTTAACAAATTCCTTATGAATTTTTCCCAACATGTTTTCGCTTGCATTTGGCTGTTCACCAGCTGTAGTATTAGTCTGCCAATACAATAATCGGTTCTAGGGCTTAAATTCGTTACCATTTTAGTAAATATCAAGAAGGTTGTACTATTCAACCATTTTAAAAGTTTTATATTAATTTTTTTAGTAATTTTAACAATTATTGAACATAATTGAAGTACAGGAAACTAGTTTTTTGTGCACCAAACAGCCACTCAACACACCAAGCTTGGTGTCAGTTTGTTTATCGGTTCAGAGGAAGGAACATCTTGTTTGAGACTCTTCAACATAAATGCTTTTTTCTGTGTGTCCAGTCAAATTATTGGTCATTCTGAAGTTTATTTTACATAATGACAATATATAATGCAGTGCAGTGTTGATTTAAAGAAAATAATCTTGAATTACACCAAGTGAACTAAAATTTTATGGGTGAAATGGCAGCATGGGGTGACTACTCTTCCACCCCAATGCCTTCTCTTCTCCCTTCTCCTCCACCCCCACTTCCTTCTCTTCTCCCTTCTCCTCCTCCACCCCCCGCTTCAAATTCACATCAGCATCATCATCCAGGAGCCTTCTACATACACACCTCAAAGTAAGTGTACTTTCCTGCATTTTTTTTTTACTTTAGGTAATTTTCGGTGGGCTGTAACCAATTAACCAAAAACCCATTGAAACAATGGTTTCAGTTAACAAAATTTTCGGTTAACGAACAACCTTCTGGAACGAATTATGTTCGTTAACCGGGGTACCACTGTATTACTCGCGAAATACAAGATTTTACTGCAGTTCAGCTTATTTCATTAAATTTCTCATAAGCATGATTAATTCACTTTGAAAATCTGTAAAAAAAATTGTCATCCCAGATACTGTACAGGGTACTTTCAAAACAATATCGAACTCCTTCACCCCTTTCAAGACTCACTATTCCAGTATGACAGGCCACTGATCCTGGAGGAAGTTCCAAGCCAAGTCACGACCCACAGAGTTGTAAGCTACAGCAGTGAACACACTTGAAGCATCTTGCTTTCTGATCCCACTCTTTTCGGTGAAAGCCATCTTGAGGTACCTGGGTAATTACTATACATTTAATTTTTAAAGAAATTGTTATTTATAAAATATTAAAATTCTGTATTATCATAAGCAGTTGTAATATGAAGGTCCTCATCAATTCAATAGACAGTTCTTATGTGTAATGGATACAGTGAAATACAGTATTTGGAATATAATTTTCTGAAGACCAGCATGATTGGTAACCATACACAGTACATCCAACCTTACCTTGCCAGGATCCACACCTCCTTAGTACAACCCATGGCAGACAGAAGCATTGCCTTCTCTGAGCCAACATTGGACTTGGTATAGCGTGTCCAAGCTGCCTTCCATTCAGCTTCCCCTCCACTGGCCACACCAGTACACATCACTGTGTCTTGCACATTCACTGGCACAATGCTGTCAATAACATGAATAATCAATTATAGGTTCAATAGTACAATGTTGTTGTTCATAACAAGCATTTAGTTGGATGAATAATGGTAAAACAAAGTTGATATCATGAACATTCAGATGAGTGCCTGAGGGTACAAGATTATTATTACAGTAATAGTCTTAAAGAAGGCTGAGAAAAGGTGGTGTTCTTGCTAGTGTATTACTGTATTTGTATTTCAGGATGTATCAGTTTGCATTATGATGTGTAGGGTGAAACACAATATAAGTTAATAGGGACCAACCTTTCATTGGCAGGTGAATTCATCCAGATAGAATACAGATGAACAGCATTTTTAACACAGGAAGGATGACCCAACTTGCAGGCATACTCGAGGACAATGACTCGCTTAAACTGAGTTAGATGGGGGTCGTCTGGATGGTCATCAAACCCAACAGAATCATACAAAGGCACCATTAAGGACCGAATGTATTCCTGAATTGATAAAAGATGGAGAGAAAAACTTTAGAGGATGCTGTCTCTAGCATGACAGGAAGACAGGTGTTTACTAACCCTTTCAGTGATGTTACTGTATGAGACATGATGATCGATGAGAACACTAATACCATTAACAATACATTTATTTTTCAAACCATTCCTAGAATTTTCATAAAATAAGAGTACAGTACGGTACTCAGTCGGTGAGAAATACCCACAGCACAAAGATATAGCACTGAAATGGTTTATGTTCTTTATGTTCTAACTTACTCCATACACTCATATCATAGATGGATTTAAGAGCCATTACTCAGGGTGTTGAGGAAATTTACATAATGCTAAACACATTCTAATCTCTTATACAGTAATGTCAAATATTTCATTGGATAAATATTACAAACGGTAATATTTTCCTATCAGATGGTCTTAAGGAAGCTATTACAGGTTTTTCCCCATGTTAAGAGTCCCCTAATGAGTGTAGATTAAAGAGATATTTTTTTTTACCAATTACCCTTTTCAAAGTTAAAACTGAGGGCCACACAAATTATATTTTATCTCTTTTGTTACGGTATATGCTTTAGTTGTTCTACACCTCTTCACACACACACACTCTCTCATAAAAAACTAAATGCTAACTCTAAACACATAAGCGAGGTTTGTTGTATGCTGTACTGGTCTAGTTTTTGTAAAAAGTGGACCAATGGCTCTCTACACTTGAAAAAATTATTGACAAAGGATTGGTCATTTGAAACCAAATTTGACAGAACATTCTTCATGCTCAAAAGATATTTATTAATCGGGTTATTAAAGGGGGGAATTGGACTCCCTAAACTTAGCCAAAAATAGAGCCAGCATTATATGCAGCCATTGTGCACTTGTACTATGAATGGTTAGAAGCTGAGGGAAGTCCACAACTACAGTACCTTAATATCCAATAACACAGCCACGGTGTTGAGATTCAATGCTTCCCTAATTAAGAGCTGCAGACCTCTCTATTTTCACAGTTCTTTCAAAAGAACATAGGACCAAGAGGTCACATCCATCTTTTATTTTATAGAATAATTACTGGTGCTTAACTACTTTGGTGTATCAAAAATCTGTGCTTATAAAAATTATAAACTCAAAATACAGTCCAGCACATACAATATTAATACTGTACCAACTTATGAGTGTTTCCAGAAGACTGTTTAACATATATCCCATGTCACCATTCAGCCACAGTAAAGCATCATGCTTTTTTCAGTTATTTGTGCTATATTCTTATATACATTATATCTTTATATTGGCATCCAAAGAGTCTCCAAGTGTTAGTTCGAGAGATAATGTTGTAAATAGGAAAGTATTGTACTGTACCTGTATAGTACAATATATAATTGACTTATTATGGGTACTCCTCAACATGCCTGTGTATGAATTTAGGAAACTTTTAGAAAAGCCAAACAATTTCATCAGGCTTGTGGCTTTACAGTTGGATGGTTGCATAAAATTAAGTTACATCATAATGCATTAACTACCTTAAGACAAGTGGTGAGCAACACTGTGAAGGTTACATTATGTTCTGACCCCAATCTCTGCTTCATGTTTCTAAAACCTATAAAATATCTAAATTCCACACACTACTTGGTCCAAAGGATTATGGATATTTGATAGTCTAATTAATTTTCTAATCTTATAAACACTTATAAATAATCTTCAAATAGTCTTCCATCCTTACTAAATAACTAGTTACATGCAAGAAGCAAACCTCTAAAACGAACTTTTGTTCCGTAAACATACCCTGAGAGCTCCATACCCTGCAGCACGCTCAAACATATTAATAAGGTAGCTGAAGGAGGTGAGGGCAACTCTCCAGGGCACAAAGTCCTCCTCTTTCTCTAAATAAGTAGTTGCTGTCAGCACTGTTGAGTAGTCTAGCAGACCTAGATTTATAAGAAAACACTGCATTTAGAATCAGGTATCACAAAGTACATCAACAAACCATGAATTAATGTAAAGGCTTTAACAGCTACTAAAGATCAAGGTGATACAATAAACAATGGAGAAATTGCTGAAGAAAATATCTGAGTAAACCATGAGAGATTTTGTGAATTAACAGGGTTTTTTAATACAGGTACAAAGGGTGCCACTGATATCCAAGTCCCCCCCCCCCCCACCATAACTCTAGACAGTGATTAGAGCAAATGTAGATCATTGAACACTTGTGAGATATTATTGTCATAATTATATTCTCCTACCAACTTCTGTTAAAATACTGTACATCACTGTTAGTGTGATTCATTGTGTTCAAAGTTCCTGGATGCATGAATGGATGGACAGACAGACAGAGAGATGGACACTTAGATGGAATTAAAAATACTTAATAAGGATAAACAGACACACTTTACACCCCCAGCTGAGGGTAACACAAGTCACAGAAAAGATTGAATTTGAATGCATCTCTAAGAAGGGTCACTTCTTATAGATAAAGTCACATCATCTAACTCATCATAACAAAGTTTTACAATATAATCAAACACAGAGCCATGGTCACCTTTAAAACTACTGTATCTGCATGTGGACTCACCTGCTTGTGCCAAGTTGAAAGCATCATCCAGTAACTGGGCACGGTTGGCCAGATGAATGGCTTTGTGGTCACTGGCCAGCTGACCAGTGAGGAGTTGCCAGGTGATACTATCATAATTAACTCTGTAGTAACCTGACACTTGGACATTGACAATGACCCAGTGTGTCAGGTTTGGTAGTCCTGTTAATGAGTAAAATACAGTATAGAAGAATATTACTGTGCTCAATTTAGTACATACCCATACTGTGAATTACCATGAAGAGTACCAAATAATTAGCCTGAATACCAAGGTTGCACTTATTACACGGAACGTACAAGTTGAGCAAATGAAAAAAGTTCAAGTTAAGTGTGATGTACAGTACTGTACCAACACACTGCCCTACAGTATAAATATTGAGATAACAATATTGTTAAATGTAAGAGGATGCAAATTGGTTGTATCAATAAAAAGAAAATGTATTACATGTTCCACTATGGCAAAGACACATCATTAACTGAAACCAAATATATTTATGTTAACAAGGAAGTGAATTTCTCAGATCACTGTGGGACGAAGGAGACAGTAGCTAATAAACTACTAGGACTTATATGAAAATCTTAATTACTTATTCTCTTTACCACTAATCAGCTCTCCGGTCAGTCAGGCAGTTGGTCATTTCTCTGTTACATTATAAAATTTTGTGATTAGCACTATGTGTGAGCTCATTTAAAACCAGACTTGACCAGCAGTGGCACATATTTAAGTACAGTAGCTACATTTAACAGTCCATACATGTCCAGTACTTGCTGACAGTGAGGAACAAAACAGACCAACCAGCTAAGAGGCTGACAAGTGGAGAGAAAATAAGTAAAATAAACAAATTAATTATTACCTAGAGAAAAAGCATCCACCTTACTTTTTCTGCACCAATTCTGTAGTGGTCATCTGTGTTAAACCAGTTCACTACCTATAATAATGGAAACAAAAATAATATACCTGAAATTTCCAGAGGCTTTCTATCTTGGGCCATCCAGAATTTTGGGTTTGTCTGTTGAAAGTTTGGATTGTTCTGGGTGGTGTATGATATTGGCACCCACCAACCTGGCTGATTGCCAGAGGTCTTGTTGATTTCCCCAAGATAGAACCATTCCTAAAATACATATATGCTGTACTGTACACATGTGTCCAGTATATGGTTATGGATGACTAATTTCATATAGATATACTTTTACTTTACTTTTTACTTTTATCCTCTTCGCCACTGATCAGCTCGTTAACCGCTTGGGCGATCGGTCACATCTCTGATTACTTTAACAGATTTGGTCATAATAATAAAAACATTTCAGTGTTTCATAAAAGGAATGCTGAGGATGTTTACTAGTACTGTAGGTACCTGTGTGAGAGTAGCAGTTGTATCATTCCTCATAACAGAGATGACAGGGTATCCTGCCTGAAGTGTCCAGCTATCCATGATAGTTTTGACGGTGAGATCTACGGGCAAAATACCATCTTCATGAGCTGCTTCTGTCAGATGCTGCCAGAGATCATCCTGTTCAGCATTGTCAAACTTGCTGTTGATGAATGTAGATTTAAGTTGGCAGGAACGACACAGCTATGCTTCATCTACAGCTACAGCTATGCTTCATGTTGAAAGCAAACAAGGACTACAGTAATACCCCGCTTTACGCGGGTTTTTTACGCGTTTCTACATTTACGCGGTAACCCGCCAGAACCGGAATATTCACTTTACGCGGTGCATCTACTCGTATACGCGGGAAGTGGCGGGGGCAGGGTGCGCACAAGGTCGCCCAGTCATCAAAACATTACCGAGTTCTTCACCCGCCACCCACCACAGCCAGCCCAAGTCAGTGATAGTGAGGATATGGACTTATATGGACCTTGAGGGGTTTGACAAAGAGGCCCTGCAAGCCTCTGTGGTGGATAGTGATACAATTGATACAAGTGATACAGGTGAGGGCCAATAATCTGCCCTCTGCCTCGGAACCAACCCCCCATCCCCGTGTGCCCAGCCATCTTTTCTACTAATGTAACTGTTAAAAAACCTAATACAGTAAAAGTCCAAAAATCCGGATGCCAGAAATCCGGACCACCTGAGAATCCGGACTTTTCGAAAACTCAAACTTAACTTTTTTTTTTTTTTTTTAGCTGGCTTTTGTGTGCATGCGTGAGCGCCACAGCTGCACAGCGACCACGCGGTCGCCACTTAAAACGAGCTATCAAACTGTGACAACGTATGTAATTTTGAATCCTACTCATTCCATTTACAGAGTACTGTACAAGCCCATAATAATCACTGGGGAACACACTTTCGGTTGCATGAGTTCTGACACTTGATTCTGGTAGATTTGAGGTCACAGATTCTGAAAATGGCATTCGTTTGTGCAGATCAGGTCTAGTTTTGATGCTACGCGGCAATTTACATATCAGGTCACAGATTCTGAAAATAGCAAAGGGAGGTAATAAGCATTTAGTTTACATTCATCAAATATAATTCTTAATTACATCAGTGCGTCAAATATAGATTTGTGTGTGCACTAGTGTGTGCATTATTATTTTATTTCATTAAAACAATTATTTTATTTCTTTTCCAGGTGTGATCATTCTGTAAACAGTGTTGACTTGAATCAAAGGAAACATGGCCTCTATAGCAAGTAGAAGGAAATGTGTGACGTGCCCGGATTCATTCTGCTATATTTGTGGTGCATTCACAGCTCCAAAGCAAAAAAGGAACATTAGTGAATTTGTGAAGAGAGCTTACTTTTCCTACTTTAAAGTGAAACTTGGAGATCAAGACAAACCATGGGCACCGCATAAGGTATGTCATTCCTGCGAAGAAAACTTGCGTCAATGGACTAAAGGAAAAGACAAAATAACATTCGGTATTCCGATGATATGGCGTGAGCCACGGGACCATGTCACAGACTGTTACTTTTGCATGACTCGTGTTGCTGGTTTCACTGGTAAAACTCGTCATCTTATCACATACCCTAGTCTAGATTCAGCAATCAGGCCTGTGCCCCATTCAGATGATGTTCCAAAGCCTATCTTCACTCAACTTGCTTCCGTTGAATCTGACAGTGAATATGACACTGAGGTCACAGAGGAGTCAACTAACAGAAATAGTGACTCAGATTTTGCAGGCATATCAACAGAACCGCAAACATTTAGCCAAGCAGAACTCAATGACTTAGTTCGAGATCTGGGTCTGTCTAAAAAGCTGTCAGAATTGTTGGCTTCACGGTTAAAAGATAAAAACTTGCTGAAAATAGACACAAAGGTAACATTCTTTCGCAACAGAGAAAAGAACCTCTTACAGTTCTTTGATTCTAAATTTGACTTCGTCTACTGTTGTGATATTTCTGGATTAGTCACCGCGATGGGAGCTCCAGGTTATGATCCGAAAGAGTGGCGCCTCTTTATAGATAGCTCTAAGCGGAGTCTGAAGTGTGTTTTATTACATATAGGCAACATCTTTGGCGCAATACCCATAGGACACTCAGTACACCTGAAAGAAAAATATGAACACATCAAAACGGTTTTGGAGCTACTCAAATATGAAGAACACAAATGGATCATCTGTGTTGATCTAAAAATGGTCAATTTTTTGCTAGGACAGCAAGGTGGGTATACAAAATTTCCTTGCTTTATCTGCCTCTGGGACAGCAGAGCCAAAGACAGACACTGGATTCAGAAGGAATGGCCAGTTAGGGAAAGCCTCAATGTTGGGGAAAAGAACATCATTTATGAACCCCTAGTGGAACGTGAAAAAATTGTTTTCCCGCCCCTTCACATCAAGCTGGGCCTTATGAAACAGTTTGTCAAGGCGCTCGATACTGACAGTGACTGTTTTAAGTATCTGTGTGAAGTGTTCCCTGGTTTAACGCTAGAAAAACTCAAAGCAGGTATTTTCGACGGCCCTCAAATTAGGACGCTGATTAAAGACCAAGCCTTCACTCAATCCATGACTGATGTTGAGAGAAATGCATGGGGAGCATTCGTTTCTGTTGTAAGGAACTTTCTTGGAAACAGGAAATCAGAGGACTATAAAAAGCTCGTTGAATCTTTGATGGAAAGTTTCCATGTGTTAGGTTGCAACATGAGCATTAAGATGCATTTCCTGAACAGTCATCTTGAACTGTTTCCGGCAAACTTGGGGGACGTGAGTGATGAGCAAGGTGAACGCTTTCACCAGGATATCAAAGTCATGGAAGACAGGTATCAAGGTCGCTGGGACATTCACATGATGGCGGACTATTGCTGGAGCATTCAGCGAGACTGCACTGAGAGGCGATATTCAAGACAGTCCATTAAACGCAAGTTTGTGCCTGAATAAATCTGGCATAGTTCACAAAAGCAACTGATGAATCCAAAATATGCTTGTCAAGGTAAATAAAAGTAATTAAAAATTAATTCTACGTGTTTGGTAATTCCTCTCTGTGTGCTGGTTTAGATTTATAGCAGTAGTATATGGTAGTCTAACTATATATAGTAGTAAATGGTAGGTAACTCACCGCAACAAAACTAGACCCGATAGAAAAAAACCGGTGCCATATTTGAAATCAGTGACCTCAATTTACCCAGAAACAGGTCTCAAAATGTATGCAACTGACAAAAAGTTTAATTTTGTTCCCCAGTGAATGGCTCCTAAAGTAGATAACTTCGTTGTGTGAAGAGAAAGAAGAACACTTTGAAATTGAGTGACAAACTTGAAATAATTAAGAAACTAGAACGTGGTGTGAGCAATACTGTTCTAATGGAAACATATAACATTGGAAAGTCTACAATTTATGATATAAAAAAGGCAAAGAATAAAATTTTAGAATTCACAGCTTTATCTTTAACACTGCTCTTTTAGATAAATGAAGCATGCTATATTTGCTAATGAATAAACTATCAAAATGTACCTGTTCATCTCTTCTTTATTTCTCCTGAAATTTGAATTTTAAAAGTACTGCCTGAGAATCCGGAAAATCCGAAAATCCGGACCGACCCAATCCCCAAGCAGTCCGGATTTTTGGACTTATACTGTATTATTGATATTTCTCTTAATTACTAATTGTGTGTGCATACCATCATAAAATGAAGAAGTTATTTTTACTACAAAGTTGGTATTGTGTCTGAAAAAGTGGAGTTTGGGGACGGCCCAGTCTCTATTTCAATTAATCCCATGTTTTGTTGTTCACTTTACGCGGGCCTCCGTGGGTTCAATTGACCGCATAAAGCGAGGTATTACTTTACATTAAAATGTGGTACAGTATTACACACCAGTAACAATACTGTAGTAGTTACTGTGATGCATGTCAAGTAACACAATAACATCACATAAACTTCATTACTTGTGCCAACAGGGTCAAGTGAGTTGAGTGTCTCCTAATTATATATATTGGCAGCAGAACTCATGATAAAAAAATAAGACAAGTTTATATGAAACATACATCCACCTGACAACATAACACCACTAAACAATAAAATAACTTACAAAGCATTAAGGCAGTTTGTGATGCCCTTCCTAAAGGTCACCTCTGACAAGAAGCGATGCATCATCCATATAATAGAAGCACCTGAGGAGAGAGGGGCAGTCAGTCACAGTTTGTATTAAAGATGGGTGTAAATCAATGCTGAGCTCATGAAGGGCAGATCCAGGGGAGGGAGGTCCTGGGGACACAAACACACATATACACAGTGTCATGCCAAATTTGAAACCCTGACACAACCCCTTTAAGACATATTATAACAAGGTATTTTACCTTTTTTGTATGATATTGTATCAAATATCTCGCTGATATCATCTGGATGGTTGACCTCTACATTGATGGGGTGTGACGACCGGAGATTGTCGAGCTGCAGGGCTATGTGGAGATTGCTTGTCAAGAACTGCTCCATGATGCCCCACGTTGGTTCAGCCTACATAAACATCATAATAAACATTTAGAAATGTCTTGATAACCACATTCAAACAGTACATAGACATGCCTTTAGTTATTACCTTCCCCAATTGCTGTATGTGTAAATTATCTCAACTTTTCTTTTTTTCCCCCAAGAAATTTTAAGTTTCACTTTTTAACTTACTGTACTTCTGAATTCATAATAATCCATTCTTCAGTTACCTCCCCACCCCTTCCTCATGATATCTTACAGGTTCTACCTTTCAAAGGACCTGGTCTCTGGTAACCTATCATAAGTGATCTATAGCAGCCAAATAACTTAATATAAACTGGCCCAAGATACCCTAACATTACTTAACATATTCTAGCCCTAACATAACCCAGTGTACTTTAACCTAATTTATTTTAGTCATAACATATTTCAACATAATCTAACATATATTAGAACCAATATAATCCAACTTGACCTAATCTACTACATCATTAACATCTAACTTACCCCCAATATAGCCTAACTTCTAACCAAATCTGCTTTAACATAACTTAACCTAACCAAATCTACCCCTACAATAACATAACTTACTCTAACCTAATTTACCCCTAAGAAAACCTAAATTAACCTAACCAAACCCACAGTCATAGTATGGTCTAAACCTCACATTAATAAACTGAGTCATACTCACAGCATTCAGCCCCACAAAGCCCATAAAAGTAGCAAAACCCTCCTTGAGCCAGAGGTCTGACCACCAGACCGGGGTAACCAGGTTCCCAAACCACTGATGGGCAATCTCATGGGCTAAGACATGACCCAAACTCTGCTTGCTTTCTGCTGAGGACTTATGTGGATCATACAGAAGTGCAGTTTCCCTGGAGAGAGAAAGTGTCAAATGAGCAGGTCAGTTTGTAACTATCTAACACCCTCTTACTAAAATTATTGTAAATACTGTACCTGTATATACAGCAGGTATGGCAATTCATGAAACAAAAGGTGCTGGATGTTTGGACTCAGATCCTGGAACGTGGTGGCAATATCGATAACATATATCTGGACTCTTTACTTATATCCTCTTTGCCACTGATCAGCTCGTTAGCTGCTTGGGCAGTCGGTCACATCTCTGATACGCACTGTTGGCAGATAATGGGCATGCACTGGCTCCTGAATATATCGGAACCTGCTCCAGTGTTGGTCAAGTGAATGAGCTCACACTTGGAACCTTCACAATGCTCTGGCAGATTGTTCCAAGAGTTCACAATTCTCACTCCCCCCAAAAAATTTGCACTCCCAGTTTTCTGGACTTCTGGCTTCTCCAACCTTGAGTGTGACCCCTTGTGGGGCGGGCGTCCGCCAGCTCCAGGTACGTACATTTGACCAAGTAGTGCCTCCTGATATGCTCATACACTTCAATTAGGTCGCCCCTTACCTGTCTGTAGTATAAGCTAGGTAGTTGCAAACACTCCAATCTCTCTGGGTAACTGAGGTTCTGCAGAACAGGCACCAGTCTGGTGGCCCTCCTTTAGACATTTTCAATCAAATGACAGTCTCTAGCATACCTCGGGAACCAGCCAGGTTGACAGTACACCAGACAGAATGTGACAAACAACTTGCCAAGGCTTTTGACAGCGTCCCCCAAGAAAGGTTGAAAATTAAAATGGAAGGGTATGGAATTCAAGGGAGTGTCTAGAGTGGATCGAAGACTTCACAACTGCAAGCAGTGTGTGGTGATTACATGCCCAGTGCTTGCCAACAGTGCAAAAGAGACATGACCGACCGCCAAAGCGGCTAACAAACCGATCAGTGGCAAAGAGGATAAAAGTCAAAAGTAAAAGTAATGGCACAAAATCATAATGAGTGCCCCCTGACAAGCGAGGTACCACAGAGCAATGTACTAGGCCCATTATTTAACAATAGTTCGTAACTGAGACACGACCAGCCACTCAAATGGGTAATGATCTGATCAGTGGCAACGAGGATAAAAGTAAGTAAAAGAATATTATTGGTGGAATTGGAGTAAAATCAATAATATTAATAATAATAATAAAATCACAGGATTAAATAAAACATGAAAATTCAGGTTTGGCTCCAGGAGTCCTGATATTATTCTGGCACCTATGCGTGTGTCTTATACAACTACAGTACAGTGCAGTACTAGTGATGTAAACCTGTGGGCTGAAGGATTTCAGACAAGTCGAAAAATCATATCTTTTTTTTTATAATTTCCACATTAATGTTACATTCTAACTATCTTATATAGTTAAGGTATGGTAAAGACTCAAAGAAATTTAGAAGTCCTTTTAGAAATTATTTTTTATACTTTAGCTAACGGGTAATTATGTGCATACTATTTTCGGTGTTATTTTTGTGTGTTGACTGAATTCTTAGAGGACAATGGTATAAGCCTCGAGGATGATTACCTAAAGCCCTCTTCCTTCAAGGGCTATAATTTAAACTACTGTATCATCCTCAAGGGGTTACAACATAAAATCATCATCCTCAAATGGCTAAGTGGCCAGTTTAATGCTTTTTAATATCTCTGACCTCAAAGAAAATTCAACTTATGAGCTTCCAAGAACCTGTGTGATCCACTGGATATAACTCATAAGACTTACCTGTAAAGAATAAGCCCCCAATTTTCCATACCACGAAATTTAAAATCTGGTACACTTGACATATCCAGTTTAGGGAGTGGGAAGGGAATACTGAAATAATCCTCAAGGAAGGTGAGAATTGTTGGAGCAACATCACGAACATATGTGGCTTGGTCAAGGGCATCCTTGCGTGTCCAAACTGAAATAAATATTAATAACAATGTACAGTACTAACACAAATGTAAACAAACAGCTAAACAGGTGTATTAACATAACCTGTTTCTACATCCTCATGATTTTGTTGAACTTAAGAGTTATTATTAATCACACACTCTTATCATCAGCTTTATGCCTCATAATAATAACAGATATTTATGAATTCCTTTTTGACAGAAGCTGGCAGAAGACAGGAAGTAATGAAATATTCTTTTTACTTTTACTTTTACTCTCTTCGCCACTGATCGGCTTGTTAGCCGCTTGGGCGATCGGTCACGTCTCTTTTCATTTATATTCTTCACCAAAAGATCGGCTCGCTAGCCGCCCGGGCAATCGGTCACGTCTCTGTCACGCACTGTTGGCAAATACTGGGCATGCACTGGCTCCTGAATGTACCTGAACCCGCTCCAGAGTTGGTCAAGTCTTGTCTTGAAAGAGCTCACACTCGGTGCCGTCACCACACTCTCTGGTAGATTGTTCCAAGAGTTTACAACCCTCACTCCGAAAAAGTTTGCCCTCACGGTTTTCTGGACTTGTGGCTTCTTCAATCTTGAGCTGTGACCCCTTGTGGGGCGAGCGTCCGCCAGCTCCATGTAAGGATACTCAACTGAGTAGTGCCCCCTGAGATGCTTATACACCTCAACTAGGTCCCCCCTTGCCCGTCTGTAGTATAAGCTAGGCAAGTTCAGGCGCTCCAATCTCTCAGGGTAGCTGAGGTGCCGAAGTGCAGGCACCAGTCTGGTGGCCCTCCTTTGAACATTTTCAACCAACTGACAGTCCCCAGTATATCTCGGGGACCAGATGGGGTGACAGTACTCCAGATGGAGAAGCACTTCACTCCTGAAGATCGTCACGAGGGACGGACCGTCTAGATATCTGAACGACCTTCTTATAAGACCCAATAATTTATTTGCCTGATTTACCTTCTTCTCACAATGGCCCGAGTGTACTGCGCACCTCATTGTCATTCCTAAAAACCCGTTTTAATTCATATTACGCTACATAATATTCAAATCCACCGCGCTTGTAGAATCTCAGGAGAGACGTGTATTTCCCATCGGTTTTACCCTCAGGATCACTCTCAGTAAGTCCCGCTTTCGAACACAGTTGTCACTACGTTTATTGCACTCTCTACTGGCAAACGCAACCTTAAATTAGTCTGTTTAAATCAACTTTAGTAATTCGCCAGACCTTTGTCAACTGAGGGTCATCTTTGAATGAGTAACAGTTAGTTTGTTTGTGATTATTGTCATTGCGTGAGTAGCGATCACTGGCAACTCAGGGGTATATAAACTCAAGATGGCCAGGGAGCGCGTCCCCTGACGCTGCCCCGTTTGTCTCCAGGTCGAGGGTGGGCTAAATTGAAACCCACCGGTCGCTCGGAGCCGGTGGATACCCAGCAGTGGTCAATATAGGAGCGATGGCGCTGATTCGGCATGATTAATCGGCTCTACTCTACCTCGTGGGCCGAGGACCCCAAACCCACCTCGGGTCGGAGTGTAACCGACCACAACAGTAGTTGTTAGAGGCGCCAGTGCTATACCCTGGGACAGGCCTTGGAGTTATGGTCCACAGTGTGGTTGTATGTGTTTCTTACCAGTATGTTTATAAGAAATAAATCAATTAAGACATGTTATGGTTTCACTCTTCTTTACCCTTATCGATCTGGTCAATGGAAAACCTAACCCAATGCCTAGTCCACTCTGCCCGCTACCTAACGAGCTACATGCTGTCCAGAGGGGGTCTGGTGGCAGCGACCCTTAGAAATTAAGATTAGAGTTAAGTTATCCCCTTAGATTTAGTGACCCCAGAATCTGGCAGTATACGAGAACTTCAGCTCATTGTCAACATACACACCTAGGTCCTTCTCACACACAGTCTCAACTAGTGCATTTTCTTCATCCCGTTGGGACATATGATACGCCTCCTTACTGTTGGTACGCCCCAGGTGCATCCTCTTACACTTCGTGACATTGAATCTCAGCAGCCATTTCTTCGACCATTCCTGGAGCCCACAGAGGTCCTTCTGCAGCTCTTCACAGTCCACTTGGTTCTTAATTTCCCGAAATAACTTACCATCATCGGCAAACATTTGTATGGAGGAGTGGACAACGTCAGGCATGTCAATTATGAAACAAACAAACAACAGCGGGCCCAATACACTGCCCTGTGGTACCCCACTTGTTACAGGTACAGATGACGATTTCGTGCCATTAATCACCACACACTGCTTGCGGTCATGTAGAAAGTCTTCTATCCACGCAAGGACATTTCCCCGAATTCCGTACCCTTCCAGTTTGATTTTCAGCCTTTCGTGGGGTACACTGTCGAACGCCTTGGCAAAATCTAGGTAAATATTGTCGATATTACCACCCCGTTCTAGAATATGGGTCCAAATATCCAATACCTTGAGCAATTGTGTTAAGCAAGAGCGCTCCGGCATAAAACCGTGTTGGCAATCTTTTACAAGGTTGTTTCGTAGTAGATGTTCCATCGCTGCATCTCTGATAATACTCTCAAGTACTTTACATATTATGCTGGTCATGCTCACCGGTCTATAGTTGTTCGTGGAGTGACTATCGCCCTTCTTGAAGATAGGACTCACATAAACCACTTTCCATTCACTGGGGACCATTTGTTCATCCAGGCATTTATAAAATAGAATCTTCAGGGGCTCTGCAAGCTCGTTGCACAGCTCTCTTAGCACTCTAGGATGCACCATGTCAGGGCTGGGACTCTTATGGACCTTTAGCCTGGAGAGTTTATTTCTAATACCCTCTTCTGTGAACACAATGTGGGTCAGTGCTGTGTCGAACCGTCTGTCATCAAACGCAGGAAGGTTAGTTGCATCCTCTCTTGTGAACACTGAGGAAAAGAAGCTGTTCAATGCCTCAGCTTTATCCTGGTCAGAATCTGCGTAACTACCATCTTCAAGCCTCAGGTCTGATACTCCTACTCGCGTTTTCAATTTCGACTTTGCATAGCGGTAAAACGCCTTTGGGTTTGACTTGACCCCGCGTGCAACCAGCCTCTAGAACTCCTTTTCAGCCCTCCTACACTCTATCTTTGCTTGGTTTCTGGCTCTTGCATACATCCTCCTGTCTTGCTCATCGTTTGACCCAACCCACGTCTTGAATTTCTGTGTTTTCTTCTTAATTTTGTCGACCGCCGCATGGTTCATGTGTAGGAATCCCCTCGTATTCTTAGAAGCACTGGGTTTGGTCTTGGGTATATATTTATCGATCAAATGGGTCATTTTACTAGTTATGATATTCAGCGTAGTGTCTGCGTTCTTGTACCTTAATAAGTCAGGCCAGTTGATACCCCTCATCTCTTCCCTCATCCCATTGTAATTTCCCTTGTAATATTTGCACCTTGGCCTGGCCTTATCTTGAACTAGGTAACAGTTAAATCTGAATGACAACACTGTATGGTGACTGGTGCCAACTGGGGCAAGGTGTTCCAGTTTGGCCACCATACCCTCCTCGTTTGTTATGATGAGGTCAAGTGGCTTGGGTGTTTGCTCCCCTCTGTAATGTGTCGGGTCTCTCACATGTTGGAACAGAAAATTATCTCTCAGAGTTTCTACAAAAAGAGTAGCAGGGTTATTCAAATCATTCGGGATGGACTCGTTTCTCCAGTCGATGTCGCCATAGTTAAAGTCCCCCATGATAAGGAGGTGGCTAGGGTTGAGCATCGCCGCATTGTTTATTAAGGTTCTTAAGATCCTTTGATTTAGTGGGCCACAGTTTGGGGATCTGTAGATACACCCGACGATAAGTAAGTCCCCTCCCTTTAATTTAATTTTACACCACTTGGACTCTTCAAAAACATCCTCTCCCTGTACCCTCGCCTGGCTGGCTCTAAGGTCTTGCCTAGTGTAGATAACCACACCCCTCCTGCAGGATTCTTGAGTTAGGTTCGTAAATGAGTCATATCCAGCAATACTGAACTCACATTCCTCTGGGTCGATTCTCCTGTTCTTGTACAACAGTTCTACAACTCCTACAATATCTGGTTGGTGTACTCTTAGTTGTGTTTCAAACTCCTCTCTCTTATCAAGGAACGTGTCAGTATTAGTGTACATGACATTCAAGCCAGAATTTGTTCTCGGTAACGTCTCTGCTCTTAGTAATAAACCCGCTCCTCCCACATTCTCAGAAGCTGCAGCATTTGCTAAGTACACTGTATTTTGCAGGGGGTGGTTAGAAATGTCATTGTTTACACGGCGCTCGTTCCCTCCTGTCCGGTAGGCTGAGCTGGTGCCGCCTCCCGGGTGGGGGGTTGAGTGGTTGGAGGGTGCACTGCTGCCCCCTGGCCCTGTCTCGGCACACTTGTTTCCACTACCCTCCCCCTGAGTATAACCCATGTACACCTGACCCCGTTCCTCCTCGACTCCTCCCTCTTCTGCTTCAAGTCCTGCAGGAGCTTCTTGTGCTGTTCCCTCTGCATTCCCGTGCGGTCTGGGTGAATGAATACATCCCGAAATGCCTCGCTCCTTGCTAAGTTTTTTGCCTGCCGAATAACTTGCCATTTCTCCTCCTCACTCACTAGTGTGATCCTGAGGGGGCGAGGCTTAGCCCCCTGCTTTTGTCCCAGCCTCCTCACATCCTGAGGGGTTGCTGGACTCTTCAGAACCTCTGCGCAAATATTTTGAAACAGCACCTTATCGTGTGTTTCCTTACTCACAGTTCCCTCCGCCTGGCTCTCGGTGACTCCAAAAACTATTACATTGTTCCTGCGCTGGAGCCGTTCCTGGTGTTCCTCCTCTCCCCTAACAGTGGGTCCGTTAATTTTCATTTCTTCGACACACTTCTTCAAAGTCCCAATCTGCTGTAGAACCTGTACTGATTCTGCATTACTCTCCGCCCCCCCCCCCACCCCCGTGGCCCTCCTAATACGTTAGCAACCACCTCCATTCTATTAGCTACTTCCTCAGTCTTAGCAAGGATCTCTTTCTCAACTTGCTCCAGTTTGTCAACCAGCAGGGCTCCTGCTTCATCTATTTTCGTCCCTAGAGAACTCGTTCCCTTATGGCTTGCAATCGCTTCATTCACCTTGACTATGCAGCCAGAGCAATACCAGCAACAGCCATCATGCTTTACGGCAGTTAGTAACTTCCTAAACGTTGCATTAGTCAGGCCTGTATCCTCCATCTCCGACCTTTCCCTGCAGTAATCACATATCAAACTCATGGTTGTTGTTGTTGTGGGGGGTGGGGGTACAACCTGGACTCCAAGTAATTTTTCATAATTTAACTTGCCATTTTTCATCATCAAGCTAGCCACTTTCATGAAATACCATCCTGCCTTAGCCTTATGAAGACAATGGTTTATGCTGTAAAACTTTGTGAACAATAATTTATAGATTTTTTTTTATCCTCTTCACCACTGATCGGTTCGTTAGCCACTTGGGCGATCGGTCACGTCTCTGTCATGCACTGTTGGCAAATACTGGGCATGCACCGGCTCCTGAATGTACCTGAACCCGCTCCAGTGTTGGTCAAATCTTGTCTTGAAAGAGCTCGCACTCGGTGCCGTCACAACACTCTCTGGTAGATTGTTCCCAGAGTTTACAACCCTCACTCCGAAAAAGTTTGCCCTCACCGTTTTCTGGACTTACGGCTTCTTCAATCTTGAGCTGTGACCCCTTGTGGGGCGAGCGTCCGCCAACTCCAAGTCATGACACTCGACTGAGTAGTGCCCCCTGAGATGCAAATTAGTGGAAAAAGGTGAAGAATATGGGTTAAGAGTTTCCAAATTGAAAATAAATCCTAAAATAAAAATTATGGTTGGCAACAGGAACTTAAACAAGTGGAAAACTTTGTATACTGTATTTAGAAAGTAACATCAGCTGTGATGGTAGAGGTGTGAGAAAAAAGAAAAGAAAAAAGAATAGGTCAAGCAAAAACAGCATTTAATAATCTAAAAGACCTAACGTAAAGAGACGTTAACTTTAATTTGAGAAAAAGGCTGCTATATGGGTCAAAAGTGCAGACATTTTCAGCAGACACCAGAAAGAAGTTAGACACCTTTGAAATGTGGTGTTATAGGCAAATGTTTAGAATAAGTTACACAGACAGGAAAACAAATGAAGAAGTACTAAGGTTAGCAAAAACTTCAGGAGAAATACATGAAATATACAGAAAACGGAAAATGGGATACTTTGGTCACATAATTAGGGACGAGAGAATAATAACAGAAATATTATTGAGCAAAGTTGAGGGTAGGAGGGCCAGGAGAAGGCAGAGATTAGGATGGATGAATGAAATTAAAAACTGGGTCCCCAAAGAAATACAAAATCTTGGAGGATTGGTAAATACAGCCTGAGAACATTTAGAGTGGAGGACTGTGGTCGCCAACCCTCTGATATGATGATGGTACTCCGATTAATTTATTGAATTCCTCAAAAGGCTAAATCATTATGCTCAATGAAATAATATTTTCTAGGTTAGGTTAGGCTAGGTTAAGTTTATGAGGTTTATTAAGTTTGGGATAGGTTAATTTAGACATACAGTATGTTAGGTTAGGGGTTGATTTGGCCAAATTTCGAGTCCAGTTATGGGAATTCATGAATGCCAAGGAAATATAAACTAATATAAAATAACCTAACCTTTAAAAAGAGTATGGTTGAGTGCTGATGATTCCAGGTATGAGAAGTCACTGATGAGGAACCCAACCAAGTAAGTGGACATGGGCAGTGTGGTGTTGAAGGAGTCCCATACCCAGTCCTCCTGTCCAGCTCTGGTGCAATGGAGAGAAGTTATTTATTGCCAACATTCATTTCAGGGTAAAATTATAATTAGTAGCATCTCCTTCCATCATAACTTATATACATACTGATCATCTTACTAGCCACTCAAATGGTTGGTCCCTTCTGGAACTGTCACCATCAATCAGCAGGTACTGTACTGGTCTTGTTCAGGCTCTTGAATGCACTGTACAGTACTGTACTTGAAAATGCACCTCAGCTTTACCGAATTATCCTCATGCATATTGCTTTGAACATCATATCTATAATAGCTTAGGAATCTCTTTTATAAAACTTTGAAGCAAGCCAAGGCTGTACCCACCATCTAGGAATTGATCACTACTGCACTCACTAATCTGAGTTCTACCATACACATTCTTGTCATGTCTCATGCATGCCAAATAAATATCTCCCTCATTCCTTCCTCTAACTTTAATATTTAAGACCATAAACTATTACCGAGGATACAAGAGTTGGCTATCTTCTCTATCTATCATCTTTAATCCTCTCTCACTCTTGTGTGGGATGGCTCAAGAGGAACAGAAGCCTAAAAGAAAGGGAGGAATAATCAGTGAGAGCAGTACAAGTAAAAAAAAAAAAGGATAATTATAAGAAAATTAGTATAAATACTGTATTCACACACACACATGCACACTTCCCACTGTGATTCACATCAAATCACTAAATCTACTAAGCTAAGTCATCAGAAAATCTCAAGTCCTATAATAATAGTTACTGAATACTGTAATATACCTCCTCAGAAGAAAACAAATATGCTCACATGGGTTGGGTGTTTATGAGAGGCATGTTGGAGAGGGCTGTCATATTGGTCTGCCTTGCCAGATAAATGTCAAAGGTGGCCTTGAAGCTGGGCTCATCAAAGCTTGGGAAAGCTCTTCGTGCATCAGTAGGAGAAAACTGCGAAACTGCCAATAACCTGGACATATTGACAATAAATGAATATCAGACTTTTGCAACTACCTATTATCTATTTTTAATGATACTTGTAGCTTTGCTTGTACGTACAGTATTCGGAATTGTGGTTTAAACCCTCATTAGTAAGATGAATACAGGTATCTGTACCATCTTCTAATAATTATATACAGTACAACCTTAAGAACAAATGCATACTAAAATGAAACCTCAGCTTGGGCAACTATAAAAGTACAATAACTTAATGTGTTCACTGTACATCATCACTGAAGCCTATGCTTGTGTGTTCAGATCTTCATCCATTTGTTTGACACTAATTAGTACTGATGCAAGCAGGCAGGGGAGCTCTGTATGCATACATACAGTCATATGAAAACAATAGTGACCCACAGACAAATTAAAATGAACACACACACGCACCTCTTAGTGCCCTGGACATCAGTATACACAGAGCGATAGAAGCCAACCAGTTTATCATTAAGGAAGCCCTGGAACTCCATGTGGAAGACATAGGTGGTGGTTGTGACCAGTGGTTTTTCTAGGTGCGCCGTGTAGAGCTGGAGTAAAGGGTCAAAGGTCTGTTCCACCACTCTCACCCTCTCGTTAAATGCATCCTCAGCAATCACCTGAGCAGGGAAGAGGTACAAAATAAGTGTTGAGAGCAACAAAAATAGGATACAACAAGTACCCAAAATATTTTATGTGCCTACTTTACTTAATTTACCTCAAGGCCACCAACTAGAGGTGGGTGGCCATGCCGAGGGAAGGAGGCCAGTGGCCTGTGTAGGATCCCTCCATTGTTCTCGATAATTTTGTCAAGGGCTATTTTGAAGCCCAGTAATGTTAGTGATTCCACAGATTGGGCTGGTAGACTGTCCTATAGGTTTTAGCACCACACTTGTGTGTGAAAAAGTATTTACTAATGATCGTTCTGCATGATAACTTGGCGAGCTTGTTAATGGTGTATAACATAACAAAGAAATGGCCTGGGTTCACATTTTCCATCCCTTTCAGGATTATGAATGTTTCAATGAGATCTAATCTATTGTGCCTTGTCTGAAGGGTTGTTAGACCTAAGACCCTCAGTGTTGCACCTTTTCTTGGGATGCTCGGTCTTTTTGTAGCTGTCTACCTCATACAGTGATACTTTACTTTATCCTCTTTACCACTAATTGGCTTGTGTGTGTTTGCTTCTTTTCCCAAGCATGTACCAAGTTCATAAAATCCATTTCCATTGCTGGTGTTGTCTGACCATTAAATGATAGGAATCCAGAAAAAATTCACAGAACCTAACCTAACCTATCACATACTGTCAATAAATGACTGATTTAAAAAATAATACAAAAAATTTAATTACTTTACTTCAAGATATTGAATAAAGTGCTATCTTCTTACTTTTACTTTTATTCTCTTCGCCACTGATCGGCTTGTTAGCCACTTGGGCGATCGGTCACGTCTCTGTCACGCACTGTTGGCAAATACTGGGCTTGCACCAGCTCCTGAATGTACCTGAACCTGCTCCAGTGTTGGTCAAGTCTTCTCTTGAAAGAGCTCACACTCGGTGCCGTCACAACACTCTCTGGTAGATTGTTCCAAGAGTTCACAACTCTTACAATATTTGTTTGTTTTATTACGTTAATTGTTTACAATATTTAAATAAAATGTGACCTTTTTCCTGTGACTTTATTTCCAATCACCAATGATACACATCAGAGAGTCAGCCAATGATGGGACTTATATTCATCCAAAACTTAAATAACAACCTTACCGAGACAGACTCATTCCTGGTGATGATGTCGGCCATATTGAGGACCACCCTATCTGTGGGCTGCAGGACCTGGAGATGGATATCAACACTGCCATGGATGCTAAAGTTGCCATTGATGAAAGGCTGTAGCCGGATGGTGTAGTGGATGGGGCGCAGTGATGGAGGCAAACGGGCTGAGTTGGTCGTTACTTCCCTGATGTTATCAACTTGAGGTTGAAGGGTTAAGCCATCCTCAAGGAGTGTACCCAGCACTGTCACCACTTCTACCCCAGACTCTTCATCCTGTAAAAAAAAAAAAAGATTCAGGTTGCCTGTTGGGTATACAATATAATGTTTGTATCTACAGTAAGTAAATACATGAAAAACTATGACGTACATACAGTACTGTACATATGAGGCTTATTTACTTTTCAATTTACATCGTTGCTGGGATAAGTATTTGGAGGCTCCATCATTTCTGTGAAGTTTTCCTTCATGAATCCAGTATTAATACAGGAGGAATGAAAAGGCCAGGAGAAAGCCTACTACCATTGGGACGAAAAAACTGCATTGAGACTGAATATGAAAAGGATCTGGGTGTGGATATTGACAATGAAATGAAGTTATCGGGCCATTGTGAGTAAGAAGGTGAATCAGGTAACTAAATTATTAGGTCTTAAAAGAAGGTCTTTCAGATATCTGGACAGTCCATCCCCTGTAACGATCTTCAAGAGTGAGGTGCTTCCCATTCTGGAGTAGTCACCCTGTCTCTGGTCCTCGAGATATGCTAAGGATTATCCGTTGATTGAAAATGTCCAAAGGAGGGCCACCAGGCTGGTTCTTGCTTTACGGAACCTCAGCTACCCTGAGAAATTAGAGCGCCTGCAATTGCCTAGCTTTTACTACAGACAGGCAAGTGGGGACCTAACTGAAGTGTATAAACATCTCAGTCGAGTGTCCTTACCTGGAGTTGGCGGATGCTCGCCCCACAAGAGATCACAGCTCAAGGTTGAAGAAGCCACAATTCCAGAAAACTGTGAGGGCAAACTTTTTCTAAGTGAAAGTTGTGAACTCTTGGAACAACCTGCCAGTGTGTGTGTTGTGATGGCACAGTGTGTGAGATCCTTCAAGACCAGACTTAGACAGCACTGGAGCAGGTTCAGATGCATTCACGAACCAGTCCATGTCCAGTACTTGCCAACAGTGCATACCAAGCATGCACAGGCCCATTGAACTCTTGAATGTTCGTACAACCTAAACATAAATCCTTATTTATTTAATAGCCACCAACTAGAGGTGGCCATGTCGAGAGAAGGTGGCCAGTGGCTTGTGTGGGATCCCTCCATTGTTCTTGATAATTTTGTCAAGGGCGATTTCACGGCTTGGGCTGAGTAGCCGACCCCGCGAATTCCCCAGTGTATGCCTCGTGGTCTAGGTCAACCATCGCCGCCTTACATGACGGGGGTCAACTATTAAGCCATGCCTACCTCCGCTATATAAGACCTGACCTCATGGTGACCTACCTCTCTTTTCTACCTACACCAACCAGCAAGCAACACCTCCTCCACTCCTGCCTGGCGGCCCTCGCTCCCGCCGGCGAGCAGGGCGACCCACAAGCTGGTCCTCCTCTGAGAACCCTCACCAGCCAGCTCTCTCTACTCAGCGCTTGTAACCATGCTGCCTTCCCAGCACCAAGCTGCATTGTACATCCAATACAACATGTATACAGAGAGCACATTGTGAGTTTCCTTTCTCCATCCATCCTGAGTGTGAACCAAACAACGTACCCCGCAGGTCTGCCATCCTTTGTGTGAACAAGTATTTCCCTATGTTTGTTCTGCAAGATAACTAGGAGAGTTTGTAATGTCCCCTGGTGTTGGCTTGGTGGTGCATGACATCACAAGGAAATGTTCGTATACTTGCTTAAATAATGAAGAAAATTTGATCTGAGAATTTTGTGGCAGTCCTCGTTCCTCGTTGTAGTTGAGTTGCCAATTCATTAATACAATTGCTTCATTATTTTAGCAAATATACGAACATTTGGAAACTTCTTATGACCTTAAATAACAATGAATAGTTTATTATTATAATAATTCTACCTTTGGTTTGTTTAATATTTATCCTGACAGTGATACAGCCGAAAACAGATCCACCAATCACAGTCACCTTTACATACAGCCTTATTTTACCAAGTATTGCCAGGTAAAATTGCGAGCACGAGATCCGGGATGGGGGGTTGGTCCACCTCTTTTGGCTGACTGTATGTGTTGACTTTCCGACTCCGGGCGGGGATGCCGGTGCTTGGTTGTTTAATGTTGATGGCCAAACATGGCATCGAATATAGTGCTCTCTAGCACTTTACATATCATGCAAGTTAAGCTCACTGTCTATGGATACTATTCACCCCTGGTCAGTTCACTAGTTAACCATGCCATTGCATAGTCCCCTAATTGGCGCTAGTGAACTCACCCCACACTGCCATTTTAATGCAGTTTTCAGATATATTTATACTTATAAGTCAACCACTTAAGTGCATTCTCACATCGTCTGTTACTGCGAATACTGTATTGTCCCAACCTTTGGTTGTAAGCAGCTTGTGTGGTCGTTGGTTTGAGCGGATTTCTTTTTAAGTGTGTGTGGCTGCAGTATCTATCTGAGCTCTCTCCTACAGCCTTGCTTATTACCAACAAATCAGTAAGAGTGCTACAGCGAGATGTTGCCTCTCATGTACAAAGTTTCAAATTAATCTCTGCTTTCATTACGGATATACAAGTCATTCAGTATGTTGGTAATTAGCCCGAGGCATATGGCAATTAGGACTAGCTACACGCCATCGTTCCTACATTAGAAGTTGTTTGAGCTGTATAATTATGACAGCGGGGGACAAATTTTAAGTAACAATATATTACCGGTAAATCTAAACACCGAGAACAACAGAATTCTTATAGAATAGCCAGACATTGCCTGTTATGTTACGGCATAAATATAAGGAACAAAAATTGTGGCGTAACTCCTCTTGACAGACTACGAAGTCCAGTACATGGAAGTGACGAGCAGGACATTGAGGAACAGGACATAGGATAAACTCCGCAGCAGGGTGTTTTGTGGTGAAGCCCCCACCCTCAAACACCAGGTGTGACCAGTGCTTTGAAGGCCATCCAATACTGCGAACACCCACCTGGTTACAAATGTACATCTTGTGTCACAGGTGTTCTTATTTTACACCTGCGTACACGTTTATTACAACTAGCAGCATTAATCAATACTTGGATCTCGAATAAATGGTGACACACTTCTGGGACTGCCCACACATTACTTGGCATATACAGGGGAAAGCTGAACGAAGTAAGGTTATGACGCACAAAGATGAGAGGGTTGGGTGAGGGGGTCATTCACCTCATACTAAAATTCTGTTATTAGCACAATAATAGTAATAAAAGCCCTATGATGGGTAGTAAGCTAACCTAACCTCCCCACAGTGGCGTTGTTTGGTGTTGTAATCATTGGGTGAAATAAGGTGGGCGGCTAATCTTCAGGTTATTCTATCTGTCATTTAATAGATTTTGGATTTATCGTTTACCCTTCCTAAAACATGGAACTGGGAAAATAGTGGAACAGGTGGGGGCAGGATTACTTGGGACGATAACACGCACACAGAGTTGCCAAGAATATTAAGAATGGGGGTTACAGGAAGGTTGTGGGAGGGTGGAGAGAGGCTGGAGAAGTGAATGTAAGAGAGAACGAACAAGGCCAGTGATTGCAGAATTCCCCACCAAGCAAAATGCAATTGTGCAGTAAATAAATATATGTAACCCAACCCAATTCCGGTAACCTAAATACAGCATAACCTAAGCTAATTATGATAAACCAACCTAATTTAAATGACTTACACTAGTTCACATAGCTAAAACTAAACATATCTGACAAAATAATTATATTAATTTATCCCAATTGAAATATTCCACCCCCGTTTTACCGCTTTGGTGAGAAAAGGTAACAGATGGTTTGCTGCATCTCCCCATTGTTGCTGATGAGTTTGCCCTTTATGCATGGTTCCAGTATTAACACAGTGGGAAAATAGAGTACCCAGAGAAAACTTGCCATGTTTGGTAGGGTCACACTGGTTAACACTCTCCTCACTTCCCATTCCAGGGATTAAACCCGGGGCACAGTATTGAGAGTCCTGTTTGCCTGACCCAAATAACCTAACGCCTAACGATTAGGTCAAAACCTACCCGTTAATTCCTAACCCAGCTGGAGGGATTCTCCGCTCCTCACTTTCACCTGCAGCATATTAAAACACGACTGACTCGATCGATCACAGTACAGTAAACTGAAAGGTGATGACGTCAAACTCCAACACCGTTCCCAGTGTGGTGTATCAGTTCTTGTTCTTTGTATATAAATTTTCCTCAATTTTACCTTATGTTTCATACATCTAACTGTTAGATGTATGAACCATTGGCAGAAATATTTAAGTGACTTGTGCTCCGTCGTCTTAGAAAGAGCTATACAGTGCTTATCCATTTTTCCTGTCACTAAATGTTCTTGTGTCCTTGAATGCTTCCGTGAATTGTGAACAATACAACTGCTACAAATAAGAATTGTCCGTCGCTGGTGAACAGACTCCAGTTATAGACCTCTGGAGGTTGTGTCTTACATCCTTATTTCGCTGGTATTTCACCCTTGAATTAGACTGTTTTACATGTCTCCACTAGCTTGCCCGTACTGGTACCTGTGTGGCAAGCATGTTGTAGAAATAAGGAATGGAATAAAAGTAGTAGATGGGTGACGGTAATTTGTTATTTAATAGTTGAAGCTAGGCATAGTTTATCCTCTCACCATTTGTGTCTCCCCATACAGCATTCTTTTTCTTCATTATGTCCAACACATATACAAGTGTTTTTTTTTACTAAATTGTATTTTCATGTGAAGCCATAAAAATTAAACTGCTTTGTTGGAGGTTCTACAACAAATAACTATTAAATACAATACGTAGAACGAGACGGTGAGATCATATGCATTTCTCAGTCGACATGAACTAAAATCAGGCCAAGCCAAACTCTATCAGGTTCAAGTCGTCTACTCTCAGAAATTATACGTATATGGGTATAATTTTAGTTTCGGTCATCCCTGTATTTAGATATCCAAAATAACTTAACTAACCTAATCTAACCTAACCGATTCCACCGGATGACCTAAACTAAAATAATACCTGTATATATGTTCCGTGCGATATAAGACTTCCAATTTCGGGATCGCCGCGGGCATTGTTGGAGTTCTCATAATGTGCTCCATTTTTGGAATTCCCATTATGACCACGGTGATTTTGAGAATCCTATTGTGTATTTTCATTGTGACGGGTTAAGTTAGGCGTACACAATGAATATTATGAGTGAGGCGTATAACAAAATAATATTCCCATAATTGGTATACATTGCAGGATTCGCAAAACGGCCATGATTTTCATAACACGCAGGTCAATTGACCAATTTCGGAATCACCCTGGCCATTAGGCCGGTTGGCCTGTGCATGGCAGCTCCTGTCGAGTTACTGCCACTCCCTATCATCCATGAATCTATCTAGCCTCCTTTTAAAACTTTCCAGCGTTTCAGCACTTACTACAAAGTTGCTAAGCTTGTTCCACTCGTCCACCACCCTATTTGTGAACCAGTTTCTTCCTATCTCCCTCCTAAGCCTAAACTTATCCAACTTAAATCCGTTGCTACGAGTCCTATCCTGCTCGGATATTATAAGAACTTTATCTATATCGCCTTTATTGATTCCTTTCACCCACTTAAATGCTTCTATCATATCTCCCCGCACTTTTTGTCTTTCTAGGGAATGCAAGTTAAGTTTCTTTAACCTATCCTGATATGGAAGGTTTCTAAGTCCCGGAATCATTTTCGTCATTCTTCGTTGCACCGACCTCCAGTGAATTGATATCCATTCTAAACTAAGGGCACCAGAACTGAATCGCATAATCGAGGTGCGGCCAGACTAGCGCAAGATAGAGTTGCAATAAGACCTCTGCACTCTTATTACTTACACTTCTAGATATAAAACCTAATACTCTGCCTTATTTCGAACATTAACGCACTGTTTTCTAGGCCGTAGGTCCGGGCTTACAAGTACCCCTAAGTCTCTTTCACAAGTCGACTTCTCTAGGTTGATGTTGTTAAGGCTGTATACATTGACAGTATTTGTTCTTCCAATATTCAGTACGCTGCACTTGCTGTTGTTGAATTTCATTTGCCATTTTTCTGACCACTCCTGCAGTTTATTTAAATCCTCCAGTAGTGCATTTGCATCCCGCCCTGAATTAATCTGCCGCCCTATTTTGGTGTAATCCGCAAACTTGCTTATGTCACTGCTGATCCCAGTACCTGTATCTAGATCGTTTATGTAAATTATGAACAAGAGTGGGCCCAGTACTGACCCCTGGGGAACCCCACTGGTTACACAACCCCACTCAGATTTAACACCATCTACGCTGACCCTCTGATGCGGTACTCTGTCAAATGCTTTGCTAAAGTCTAAGTAAATAACACCGTAATTTTCGTCATTATCTACTACCTCGAAGACTTTCCTAAAAAACGTCAGCAGATTTGTTAGACAAGATTTTCCCTTTGTAAACCCATGTTGAGAGTCGTAGATTAATTTGCTTTTCTCTAAATGCGATCGGATGCTATTTGCTATAATTGATTCAAGAAATTTCCCCACTACTGACGTCAAACTAATCGGCCGGTAATTTGACCCATCACCCTTTTTCACGTGAAAAATATATTTTTTCGTTAGTTTTTTTGCTGTTTTAGATGATTCTGACATTTATCTTTGGGGTAAATAATTTTTTTTTCTTTTCTTTTTAGCTATTCCCACCCTCCTTCCACCCCAACAATGCGGGGTTTTGGGTGGGGGGGGGGCTGAGAACGAGTGATTTTCACCCAAAATAAATGTCAGAATCATCTAAAACACCAAGAAAACTAGAGAGAAAACTTATTTTTCCTGGGGAAAAAATATTAAACTAAACTAGGTCTATGTACTAACCAAATCTTACCTGACCTAACCGGCCACGTAAAATTCGTGATTATTACAACAAATAAATCGCGAATATCGCGTATATTTTTGGAACGCCCCACTAAATTCAAGTACAGTATATTCTTTCGTTTCTCGAAGAGATCTATTAAATGGTAAGAGAAAAAAATCTTAAGGTGATGGGTGGTTAACGAAAAATGACCAGATTCCAAAATGGGGATTCTTATATCGCACGGAACATATACAGTATATTATATTCTGTACATTCATGGTAACTCTCTTGCCATCTTGCTTGTGTGAATGAAACAAGCGGTCACTCTATTAGAACAGCGGGAGACGATAAACATATATAGAGCGCAAGGTGTTCTTTAGGGAAGAGTAAAAGTACAATCTCCCTTAAACGAGTTTGGATTTGGTCACACTGTTCCCTCACTCCTTCACCACTGTCGTGGAATTTTATACAATACCTGCCAATTTATATTTTTACATATGAATAAACCATGCAATCACATTATTCACTTACCTGGCCATCCACGGTGGCTAGTTCACCAATGAAGAGGCTACACGAGAAAAACAGTAGTAATAGATTCATTACTATTAACTACAGATACTCTCACTTATTGTCGATTTGTATCACTTGTTACTACGAAAACGTAATGAATAGATATATCCCGCTTTGCATGAATATTAAGACAGCACATCTAAATCTTGATACATAATGTTTACGAATACTATGGAGATGCTGGAGACTTCTACAACGGTCGTCTCAGTGTCTTGTGGAATGGCGTGATGCGGGCGGTAGTAGTCAAAGGAGATATTGCCATTTGGGGTACGTCTATAATCATTAAAATTCCCGACTCAAAACTAGCTATATTTTAGACAGATTTCGTATTATACATAGCAGTGTGCTTGAGTGATTCCAGCAATATTTACAAGTGTCCAAGGTTTGATAATGTATAACAGAACGCGAGTTTTAGTGCTACCGACCTCTGGCAACCGAGAAAAGGAAACTTTTACTTTTACTTTTACTTTTATCCTCTTCGCCACTGATCGGCTTGTCAGCCGCTTGGGCGATCGGTCACGTCTCTCATTACTTTTCCTTTTCCTTTATATTCTTCACCAAAAGATCGGCTTGCTAGCCGCCCGGGCGATCGGTCACGTCTGTCACGCACTGTTGGCAAATACTGGGCATGCACCGGCTCCTGAATGTACCTGAACCCGCTCCAGTGTTGGTCAAGTCTTGTCTTGAAAGAGCTCACACTCGGTGCCGTCACAACACTCTGGTAAATTGTTCCAAGAGTTTACAACCCTCACTCCGAAAAAGTTTGCCCTCACAGTTTTCTGGACTTATGGCTTCTTCAATCTTGAGCTGTGACCCCTTGTGGGGCGAGCGTCCGCCAGCTCCAAGTAAGGACACGCGACTGAGTAGTGCCCCCTGAGATGCTTACAGTGCCGGATTTAGACCTGTGGAGGCCCATAGGCAGCCTCTTTATGGAGGCCCCCCTCGTTATAACTACCCAAGAGGGTGAGGTGGCGAGTGAAGCGAGCCTAAACATCTGGGAGTTCCGGGGGGCGCTGTAAAACCCCCGGGAAAATTTTGAAATTTGAACACTTCTTTGGAGAATTTTCAAGCCATATGCAGTTATATTGAGGAAATTAGAACATTGAGAATTTTGTAATTTACTGTATATTTATTGATAGTGTACAAATTCCCAACACATACACACACACACACACGAAAGTGAGACATGACTGGAGTCATTCATGTGGTTTCAAGTAATGAAAACGTGGATAAGATATATATATATATATATATATATATATATATATATATATATATATATATATATATATATATATATATATATATATATATATATATATATATATATATATATGCTGATAACCATAAGGAAAGAAGAAAACACGAAGTTCCCAAGCGCTTTCGTGTAATTCACCCCTGAAGATGTGAATTACACGAAAGCGCTTGGGAACTTCGTGTTTTCTTCTTTCCTTGTGGTTATCAGCATATACCTAGATCACGCGCATCTACAGTGATTTACTTGCATATATATATATATATATATATATATATTATCGAACAGCATTTATTATGTCCATACTTCTAGACTACATATAAAACAGAGTATTGAGAGTAACGGATTTTTAGTGCTTTTATAATCACATAATTGATTTATTATAACGTTTATTATAACGTTCCATTAAGTTAAATCACCAAACAAATGAATTTCAAGTAAAATTAAATAAAAATATTTCTTATAACAGAAAACGTAAGTATTGACATAGTAAGGTAAGCGATTGAACGACGCTACGGCAGTGTTACCAATCGTAGAGTAATTATATGTGTAGGGAAATTCAGCCTAGCTTCTTGACCTGTACGGCCTAGGGTAATTTTACTAAAAGAGGACAAAACATAGAGTAATCAGTACCAGTAACCAATCATGCATTTTTCGCTGGTTATAAATTCTAATTTCCAAATGGAAGAAAAGCTCTAAATTTCCCACATAGTTAAAAAGAAAACTAAATTGGCTCCTTTACTTTAGTGGAGATGAAAATTTGATACAATTAAAAAGGAAAACAGATACTGAATTTTGGATATGTTTATCTGAGATAAGAAATGTTGAAGATGAACTACAATAGTTTAAAAAACTTGTCATGCTTAGTCAAACTGGTACTTGCCCTTCCCCACTCAAATGCTGAAACTGAAAGACATTTTCAATGTTAGAGAACACAAAGAAAAAAAGTATAATAATAATAATAATAATAATGATAATAATAATAATAATATGGGTCCACAATTACTGAATGCCATTTTCATTACAAAATCTGGCATGAAAGCAGTAGAAGATTGCAGAAGTAAGAAAATTAATCCTGAACATTATAATCTACATAATGTATTCAAGAACTTTTTAAGTGTGAAATATTTTGGCTATTTTCTGGAAGAAAATTTTTAGTTGGGTTTAAATTTAATATAAGTATGTCCATTTTCCAGGAGAAGCTTCATATCCTGTGGCATAATTATTATTTTATGATTCTGATCATGGTCAAAAGTATTAATAAATTACCTTAGTTGATACCACTTGTTCTTATATATCTTCATCTACATTTTGAAAGAATAATAAAATCATATCCTTAGAAGTATTGTGGGGTACGAGATATAGGTTCACACTCAGGATGGGAAACTCACAATGTGCTCTCTGTATACATGTTGTATTGGATGTACAATGCAGCTTGGAGAAGGTCGTGCTGATCGTGCTCCCGCTAGAGACCAAGGAAAATGGCCGCTTTGGATCGTTGTGCCGTGGGGGAAGAGGAGGGGAGTGTGGGGAAGGACGACCTCCTTGCCACGCTGTTAAGGCAGCTGGGGCAGTTGAGGAGTGAGGTTGACACTCGAAAGGGGGAAAATGAAGCCCTCAGGACGGAACTCCTTCAGGTAGGTGTCCTGCCTAGCAGGACACCTGCGAAGGAGGAGCAGGCGTGGAGAGTGGTTGTCTCCAAGGGGACTAGGGTCAGGCTTAGGAAAGCTGACCAGGGTGTGGAGTGCAGTAACCCTTACCAGGTGCTGCAGGAAGCTGGAGAGGAAGAGAAGAGGCAGGACGGTATGGATCAAGGAGAGGAAAGGGCAGTTGTACAAACCCTGCCCACAGGTAAGGTCGTGGTAGTTGGTGACAGCCAGGTGAGGTTTATGGATAGGGCTTTTTGTGCGAGAGATAGGAAACGTAGGACTAGGGTATGTTTTCCTGGGGCTGGGATAGGGCATGTAGCCGAGAGGTTAGACAGAGTTTTGTCAGGGGAGGGTACCAATCCAGTAGTGTGTCTTAGTGTGGGAGGAAACGACATAGGTAAGGTTAGGAGTGAGGAACTTTTCAAGAGGTATAGGGAGGCGCTGGGGAAGATTAGAGATAGGGGAGGGATCCCGATAGTATGTGGTGTCTTGCCTAGAAGAGGGGTTGGTCGTGAATGGCTGTCCAGGGCAATTGCTATTAATTGCCGACTGGAAAAACATTGTGCAAACAATGGTTGGGCATTCATTGATGACTGGCAACGATTTTATGGCAACGACTACCTGTACTGTCGCGACGGAGTACACTTGTCTCGTGAGGGGGTAAAGACGTTGTCTGCATCCCTGGAGCGTGAAATTGTCACTCCGAAGGGGGGGTTTCGCCAGTAGAGAGGGGTCGGGGAAAATGGGAGTCAAAAAACAAGCAGGTCCTGGGAAGTAGTGAAACAGAAGTAGATAATGCTGAAAATATAGTTAGTCATAATAACAAACATCAAAGTAATAAATGTAAAACAGATAGAAACGGAAGAAATATATTGAGTGTTTATTATACTAATAGTAGAAGCCTGTGTAACAAAATGGACCAGCTCAGGGCCATTGTTAGTAAAGAGAACATAGATATAATTGCAATAACGGAAACATGGATAAATTCAAACAGCAAGCATTTTTTAGCAGAATTTCATATTCCAGGATATAACCTATTTAAATTTGACAGAGTAGGAAGGAGAGGTGGCGGTGTAGCAGTGTATATCAGGGTGTCATTAAAAAGCTGCAATAAATCAAACATTAAAACAAATAGCGACAATGAAAGTATTTGGGTAGAGATTGGTGAGGGCAGTGAATCCGTAGTCATTGGTGTTATATATAGACCACCTAATTTGAGTAGGAACGATGGTAAATTGCTATGGGAGGAAATAAAGAAGGCATCTGATAGAAACAATGTATGTATTCTAGGCGATTTCAACTTTTCAGGCTTAGATTGGAAAAATCAACTTAGCGATAATGAATCTGAAGATTTTCTAGAAGTAGTACAAGATAGTTTTTTATATCAATTCATAAACTCGCCCACTAGAGGAAATAATATCCTCGATTTAGTTCTCAGTAATAATGAAAATCTAGTAAAAGATGTTGGGATTGGAGACGAACTAGGAAACAGTGATCATAAAGCCATATATTTTAACATAATATGGGATGGCAGGAAGAAGGAAAATTCGGCCTTGATCCCGGATTTTAGGAAGGCTAATTACGGTAGCTTAAGGAGAGACCTAAGGGATGACCCTATGGTCAAAAGATTAATCCCCCCCACACCTCCGGAAACTGTCAACTTAGGACGGGATAACCCCGAATTTAATTTAGCAGCTACTTATGAACAATTTATTGCGACAATCAATAATGCCCAAAATAAACACATCCCTAAAAGAAAATTCAGATCGATACGGAACCAACCAAAATGGATGATTAATAGACTCTTAGATCTTCTAGGGAAAAAGAAAGGAGTATATAGAAAAGTTAAGAAAGGCGAAAATCACTTGCTTGGTTACTATCAGAACCTAACAAGACAGGTAAAAACAGAAATTAGGAAAGCAAAGAGAAATTATGAAATCAAGGTAGCAAACGAATCGAAAAATAACCCCAAAGCTTTTTATCAACTGTATAAATCAAAGGTTAGAGATACAATAGATCCCCTTAAAACTACGACAGGAGAAATGACTGATGATGAGTTAGAAATGTGTAGTACGTTAAATAGTCATTTTCGCTCCGTATTCACAAATGAAAACCTAGCACAGTTTCCAGAAGTTCATAAGGTATATAACGACAGTATAGAAAATATGTTGATGAATATCAATATTACTAGTAACGATGTGCTTAAAGTAATTAACAAACTGAAGCCTCATAAATCGCCTGGTCCAGACGAGGTATATGCTAGAATATTAAAAGAATGTAGAGATGAGTTGAGTAATCCATTAGCAGTTTTATTTAATAAGTCATTAGAATCGGGCTTAGTGCCAGAAGCTTGGAAACTTGCAAATGTAGTTCCGATTTTCAAAAAGGGTGATAAATCAATAGCATCAAATTACCGTCCCATTAGTCTCACGTCAATCATAGGCAAGTTGCTAGAGTCAATTATTGCTACAAAAATCAGAAGCCACCTTGAAACATTCAACATAATTCATTCTTCTCAGCACGGGTTCACCCAGGGACGTTCTTGTCTCACAAATTTGCTTAGCTTTTTCTCAGAAGTATATGAAGCGGTAGATAATGATAAGTCATATGATATAATTAATTTAGATTTCAGTAAAGCATTCGATAGAGTCCCTCATGAGAGATTGATAAGGAAGGTAGAAGCACATGGAATAGGTGGATCAGTATTAAAATGGATTAGGTCATGGTTAACTGGTAGGAAACAAAGAGTCAGCATAAATGGATTAAAGTCAGACTGGGGTGCGGTCAAAAGCGGAGTTCCCCAGGGATCTGTATTAGGCCCTCTGCTGTTTGTTATATTCATTAATGATCTTGATTTAGGCATAACTAGTAGGATTAGTAAATTTGCAGATACCAAAATGGGGAGAGTGATAAATTCAGACAGTGACTTTGAACACCTTCAAAGAGATCTAGATACTTTACATGAGTGGTCAGTAGACTGGCAAATGAATTTTAATACTGATAAATGCAAGGTACTACAGATAGGGAAGACGAATACAAACGTTAAGTATAAACTAGGTAACGGAAATAGAAAACTCAGTTTGTGAAAAAGATCTAGGTGTATTTGTTAGCAACGACTTGAAACCTAGAAAACAATGTATTAGCGTTCGCAACAAGGCAAACAGGATTCTTGGGTTCATATCTAGGTCTGTGAGTAACAGAACTGCTGACGTTATCTTGAAACTTTACCTAGCATTAGTGAGGCCACACATGGATTATGCGGTTCAGTTCTGGTGTCCTTATTATAGAATGGACATATATTCTTTGGAGAGAGTACATAGAAGAATGACAAAAATGATCCATAATATTAGAAACCTTCCATATGAAGAAAGACTGAAAAGCTTAGGCTTACATTCATTAGAGAGGCGTAGAGTTAGGGGAGATATGATAGAGGTGTACAAGTGGGTAAGTGGGATTAACAAGGGTAAAATGGAAGATGTTCTGAAGCTCAGTAATAACGAAATAACTAGAACAAATGGCTTTAAATTAGATAAATTCCGATTCAGAAAGGATATAGGCAAGCACTGGTTTGGAAATAGAGTTGTGGATATGTGGAATAGACTACCGAGTGCTATAGTAGGATCGGGGACGCTAGGGAGCTTCAAGACGAAGTTGGATAGGCACATGGAAGTGCTGGGATGGGTGTGAAAGGGATCTGCCCTGTATGGGCCAGTCGGCCTCCTGCAGTATCCCACTTTCTTATGTTCATGTTCTTATGTACAAGCGTTGAGTAGAGAGAGCACGGGAGTGAGGGCCGCTAGACAGGAGCGGAGGAGGTGTTGCTTGCTGGTGGCTGTGGGTAGTAAGTGGTCACCACGAGGTGTGGGTCGCCATGGTCGCCGGCGGGAGCGAGGGCCGCCAGGCAGGAGTGGAGGAGGAAGTGTTGCTTGAAGACTGGCTGTAGGTAGAAAAAAGGTAAGTCACCACGAGGTGAGATCTTATATAGCGGAGGTAGGCGTGGCTTAATAGTTGACCTCCGTCATGTAAGGCGGCGCTGGTTGACCTAGACCACGAGGCATACACTGAGGAATTCGCGGGTCGGCTACTGAGCGACAAAAGCGTTTGTAGGGGAGGGATCCACTACAGTATAATTATATAAAATTTAATTTAATATAAGGAAAGGTATCTAGACATTTTTAATTATATATATATATATATATATATATATATATATATATATATATATATATATATATATATATATATATATATATCATGTAGATCCACAATGAAAACGTGGATAAGATAAATCTTGATAAAATCACACGGGAAAAGGGATTTAACTATTGAACATGATACTAATACTTTCCTCAAATTGATAGAGTTATGCAAGACTGACAATGTGTTTAGAGCAAATGGGAAGTTCTACAAGCAAATATTTGGCATGAGCATGGATAATTGTCTTTCTGCTCCTCTAGCCTGTATTTATATGGAGTTTTTTGAGTCTAGATTACTACCCAATATAGTGTACTTTATTCCTCCATGGTATAGATATGTAGATGATGTTCTTTGTCTTTGGCCTAGAAACAGTGACCCATTGGAATTTTTAGACAAGCTTAATAATATTGTCCCTAGTATCACATTCAAAATTGAAAGAGAAATAAATGAATCCCTTCCATTTCTTGATATGCTTATCATGAGAAATGGCCAAAACTATAAATTTAAGGTATATAGAAAGCCCACACAGGTAGACAGTTTCATTAACTTTTTATCGAATCACCTTGAGTCTACCAAAATGTCAGTTTTTTCTGCTATGTTCCTAAGATGTCTGCGTATTTGTGACTCTGAACTTATTGACGATGAATTGAAACACATTCGTTCTATTGCACAGAAATTTGGGTACCCTTCTGTGTTTGTTGATCGTTGTTTTAAAAGGGCTAAAAAAATCCTTTCATTCCTCTCAAACCAGACAAGTTCCTACACTTAAGAATATTTTGACTCTGCCCTATCGTAATGTTGTTTTCAAGTATGACTCAACCATTACCAATATGTTAATCAGGAATAGCCCAAGTTTGAATGTAAATGGAAGTGTTTATTGTATTCCATGTAGCATATGTAATTGTAATTATGTAGGTCAGACAGGAAAAACACTGCAGCTCAGAATCAAACAACATAAGTATAATATCAGAACTGCATCTGAAAGCAGTGCCTTGTTCGTTCATGTTAGGAATAATAATCACCCCATTGCTTGGGAAAAAAGCTTAGAAGTATTCAAATCATCTTGTGTCACAGAAAGACTTCTGGTTGAAGCTAGTTTGATTAAGGAATTAAAATCAATAAACCTTAGTGATGGTCAGTTCAAAACTGATAATATGTTACATAAATTTATTTGTCAGTGGCCCAAGGTTAAAAATGCTTTGAAAACCTTTGATCTAGATGTATGATAGTTATTTTGTGGGTCCCTTTTTTCTGACCTGACCTGGCTAGTCACGTCACCACCCTTCTCTTAAGCTCCTCTACGTGTGTGTTGGTGTGGGGATTAGTGGATGTCATCATTATGACCTGACCTCATGTTTTTAGGTCACCCTGTATATTTAAGCCTCTCTCTGTCCATGTAATCCAGTTGCCTCTGAAGATGTCTTGAATAAAGACGAAAGCTAAGGTACTCCGTTGTTTCCATTTTCCCGTGTGATTTTATCAAGATTTATCTTATACGTTTTCATTGTGGATTTACATGAAATATATATATATATATATATATATATATATATATATATATATATATATATATATATATATATATATATATATATATATATATATATATATATATATATATATATATATATATCTAGGGTAATTTCATGCCTATGTTGGGCTGAGAATCCTGGAGAGGTTGGCAACACTGCGCTACAGCATCACAGAGTAATAGAACAATATTTACTATTCATTGATCCTACATATAGAAGAAGAATTATAACCATGTTCTTTCATACGACAACTGGTTCAATAAGCATAACCTTTTCAAACCTGTTTGAGGTATAGCCATCGTGTACATCTTGTGTGAGAATATAAAGCCCTATTTATGACTTAGGAAGAAGAGAGAATTACAGCAAGACTTCAACACTGAGCACTGTAAAGATGGATTCCACAAGCCCCAAAGTTAAGGTAGGGTTTGGTGATAGTTTTCTACAGTCTGATATTTTGAGTGGTAAAGAATTTTCGGCTGAACATTTACGGTAAATAATTAATTTCTTCGAGTACAAAGTAAGTAGAGGATGTAACATCATTTTAGTGTCATATGATCAGTTTTTCACTGTTTTATCCTGCAATATCCCTCATCCATCATACCCTGCCCTCTGCAGGTAATTTATGACCATGGGTAGAGAAGAACTAAAGAAATAAAAATTAATACTTAGAATTAAAATCAAAAGGTGCCTCATCATTATTATTATTATTTACTGTCATCCAAAGAACATCTTTGGAAAAATATTAAATCGAATAATTTCCTCTGGTGTTACTCATCTACTCCAGTCCTACCGACGTTTAGCACCGGAAGGCCTTAATAGAATTCGTTTATAGTTTCCACAGTTGTTTGGATGAAAGCAAGGGTCATGGTGGAGGAGACTGTTAATAGTAGAAATAACTTATAGAATTGTACCAAAATTTCTGGAGATGTTATTTGCATGATTCTTAACAAGAAAATGGAAATGACAATGCACAGAACCTCACCTAACCAACCTAACTCAACCAATAGTACCTAACCTTACCTAACTTCTTAACCAGGGGACTATGCCTGCTGGATACCCCACCATAATAAGCAGAATGAGACATACAGTAAGTCCGATTTGAAAACGAACACGAAATACAAGATGTTCAAGATACATTACACAGATTTTGGAAAGTTAGAGAGCAAGCAATGAAGGAACAGAGTGAGCAATGAAACCAAAAGTAAGATAAGGGGTGCCATTGAAAAGGCAATACCCTGGGCAATAATCACATTACAAGATAACCTATAATAATTGAAAAAAAAACCAGTATTTATGGTAATTATGCCCCTTATGTGAGGCATTGTCTTTATTTTTATATGTTCACAGAGACCGGATTCACAAATTTTTAATTTAAGAGCGGATGAGAATATTTGGTACCATGGTAGATTTGGCGGTGATTATTTACGGTAAAAAAAATTTCTTCGTCTACAAAGCATGTAGAGACATGAAATTACTGCCATATGATCATTTTTTTTGCTGTGTTTTACCTTGTAATTTCCCTCTTTTTTTTTACATATCCTGCCCACTATTGTAATATGGGAATTATGGTGAAATTGCACACTGTCATTTCAAGGGGATCGCGGGGGATGAGGAATTTCCTGCTCGGTCCAGCCAGCCACTCACCTTAACCTAACCTACCTTCTCCCCCACACAGAATTAACCTCCTTCTACTCATATTTCTTATTATATAAAGTTATATTTTCTTTATTTCTAAGTCACATCAGAGCTTTGTATTATGGTATTATATTTTAATATTTGAGGAGGGGTTCAGTATATAGTAAATTAATCCAGAATAGAGATGTACTACTGGAATTCTGAGGAGCAGTAAATAACTCGGCATTTGATAACTCAAAATTTCATACAACTCAGCATGGATATGGTTTTGGAATGTATGTATTAGTATAACTCGGGAAATGCCTAGATATATAAAATTATCTGGGAAAATCTCGGCATATCTGGCCACCTGCATCACCTACCATGGCTCTTTGTCACCTACCATGCCTCTGTGTCACCTACCATGCCTCTGTGTCACCTACCATGCCTCTGTGTCACCTACCATGCATTTAAGTCACCTACTATGATGTTACATTCTTCTCCTGCAGTGCTGGTAAGCAACTTTTTTACATTTAGTAATTACATGTTCTACACACATAAGGGACATTTTTTTTTATTGTTGTATTTTTGTAGGAGGGGGATTTTTTTTACGGGGATTAGGCACCCGGGCACAGGGCACTGACCCACATCGGGGCCTGGGGTGGCAAAAAATGTAAAAAAAAAAAATAATAATAATAATAATAAATAAAATTTATAAAAAAAATTGAAAATAAAATAAATTAATAATAATAATAATAATAACAACAACACTGTAATAATAATAATAATAATAAAGAAATACAAAAATGAAAAAAATAAGATCCAAAGTGAGAAACAATACACAGTATGTATGTTGTGTTGTGAATAGTAAGAGAAACAATTGAGACCCTGCAATTGTGTGTAAATGAGGCAAAAAGTCAGATCAGCAACCTGGGACTTGGTCACAATTTTCGTGATGTCATATGGCAGCAGGGTCTACCATTAGACAACACATTATGCTTCCAATATCTTCCTAGGCGGTAGTACCTCCCTGCTTGGTAGCTGCCTTGATAAGTCGGAATTTAGGATAACTCGGCAAGGCCAGAGCCCATATGTGTCGAGTTATCGAGGGTTTACTGTATATAGTGAAGTTCGGTATAGAGAGGTAATACTGTACAGTACAGTACTATGATTTTTAAGAGTGAAGGAATACTGTATCTTTTTTATCATTTTATTCTCTGCCATCAAAAAGTTGGTGTACAGTATTGAGTAAACATTTAAATACTGAATAAGATATTGAAGGTTCTCTTCTTATATTTCAGAGGTACAGGCGTGATGACAGACACTCCAGTGATGAAGATGGTGATTATGAACCCTACATCCCAGTCAGGGAACGCAAGAAGCAGAAGCTAAAACAAATATTAAAAATATCACAGGTGTGTTAGCAGTTGTTTTCCAAAGTTACTCTTGGAAAGGACATTTTTAATACAATGGAACAATAAGCATACAAGAGTCTTTTAATTTCAAGATATAACAAATAGGACAAATGGTCTTTCGTCAGATTTTCTTTTATAGTTCTTCAATAAGCAATGCTTGTATGAGTTATGTGTTGGTTTTCTACACAACTGAAGTATTGTACTTGTGTTCTATCGATAAAAGCAGTATCTGTCTAGTTTTGCTGTTGGACAAAAGCACAAAAAAAAATACAGATACTGTATCCCAGAGTATTTTAAACTCTATATCAACAGAAGGTTGGATCATACTGTATACACTATACAGTCATATTTGGTATTCAGTATTGTGTATTGACTGCTAAACTGCAGCAAAAATGGCTTGATGTAAGAGGTGGAGAAGTCATGCACTATTAAACCTCCAGCTGTTGGCATTGAGTATTTGCACTCCCCATTTATGTACCCATTTCTCCCTCCCCACCTTTCCTTTATATTGCTATGGTACCTTTACCCCCCTTCCTTTTCCTCAGCACACAGATGCATAACATACATAAAATCTACCAATGCGGATATTTATCTTCCACACTGTTTTATATTTTTTCTCCAAACAGGATGATGATGATAGTGGGGCCTATAGTGGCCATGAGAGAGATGGAGGGATACAAGAACAGGATGTTCAGGAACTAGCACGAAAGAATAACATATCTCTCCTCGACCAGCACACAGAACTTAAGAAAATTGCTGAAGGTAGTATTTTACAACATAGCAAAATGTATGAACAATGATACAGTAATTAAAAACAGTTAGTTGGTCCATAATTATGGCAAATCTCTTCTTTTACTGTGTTTAATGAATTTGGACACATGATTGTTAAATGCTGAAATTTGTCTGTTTAACCCATTCACTGCATGGGACAGCTTTTTTTTTTTTTCATTTCGTATGCTATGGGTGTGATGTATATGGGTCAAGCACTCCCAAAAATATAATGTACAGTCGTATGAAAAATGAAAATTATACAAATTATAGGTATACAATATATTCTGGTGTCCAGGGACTCATCCCTACTTTCTCTTAACCACTATGTTGAATATAATTGTCTAGCATTAGCCAAGTAAAATATTTAAAGTGGTATACCCATAGTGAAAGGGTTAATAAGATACAGTATTTTTGAAGGAGAACAATTTACTTGAGAACAAACCTACTCTGTATATGGAACTGAACCTTGTGGTACTTGGTGTACCACATCCGTACTCCAGCTTGTAATCTCTCAATGACTTTCTGAAGGTACTGTAGTATATATTTGTTGATATTTCGAGATCCACCTTTTAACAAACCCAAGTCAACGACGTACTCTCTGCTTACATTCCCTATCTAATATACTGTACCTTGCAAACCTTGATACTGTACAGTATTTATATTGTACTTTCAGCTCGCAAGGAATCTGAATTGGAGAAACAACGAAGGGAGGAAAAGCGACTCTTAGAAGCTGTTGCAGAGAAGCGAGCACTCATGGGTGTGTCTGAATTAGCTCGTGGTGTACAGTACGAGGATCCTGTAGTTACGGCATGGAATCCTCCAAAGCGCATTCTGGCAATGGACAACAAACGCCATGAAAGGGTCCGCAGGAAATACAAGTAGGATTTTTTTTACTATTATTCAACCATTATAGAGCATTTACAGTAGCTTAACTGTATGCAACCATGCAACTGTGATGTTACAAAACTCTCTGATTTTTAATTTAGTTGAAATTTTTTGTCTTTTTTTACACAAAAGTGGCCCTGAAATAGGTACATTTTCGATGCAACATCATTTAAACCACTCGTACACAAACTTATCAAGGTTGTCTCGCGATAGTTAGGGCAATGCGCTTTTTCTTTACATCACTGTTTAGCACTGTAATTTGGATGCTACTAATATGGGCAAAACTTATGAAAAATCATAGAGAATAAGAGAGGAAATGACAGAGCCTTACTGCAATGCATTCAGACAAAAAGAACAGTGACATGGGCTTGATAAACTGAGCAGCCAACAGGAAACTCATGCTTCAAGATGGCAGTACCTAATCTCAGAAGCATAGCTAGTAATTTTTGGTGGGGGAGGGGAGGCAAAGCCCCAAATTTCCTAACAAATGGTTGTGACAAAGGTACTGTTTATCAGTCATCCATTTCATCAAGCATAACAATTTATAGCCAATACAATCAATCTATTAAGTGTAAGGAACATATATTTGATAATGCACCTGCATGAATGCTGTTATACAAAGGCAGGATAAATATATAGTACTGTACCATTAAATGAAAGAAAACAATTCACAAGAGAAAACACACAATGCATTGTGTGTAACAATGAAATAGAAAATTTGGAACATTTTATATTATACTGCCCAGCATAGCAGAATGTTATAGCTCCAACAACTATGTATTGAAAACATGTTTGAATTAATTGGAAATCTTCTTTTCAGGGCAAACACAAATAAAATACAAAAGAAGTGTTGTTCAAATTTTGGAAAATAAGGAATACACGGTAAAAAATTTAAGTAAATTGTAGTTGTGTACTATTTATCATTACTGTAGTTAGGTTGGGTTTTTTCTTGTTTGTGAACCAATTTAGTGTTTTGGGGGTATGAAATTGGGGTATTTTTGTCATTGGTGAGCCGAACCCTATTTTTCCGTAATGTTGATCTATTTGTGATACGTAAATTCACCTAACGAATGTCTTTTTGGGGACCTAGCCCATTCGTATTTCAAGGGATTATCTGCATCCTGTACTTGTTATACTGTATTAACTTGATCTCGTATAGCTTTGGGAAGGACATTTTGTATTGCTGTTGGTTAGATGGGAGAAAAAACATGTAGGGCTGTTACCTTGAACAGAAGTCTATAGTGTAATCTACATCTTATATGGAATGTGCTCTTACTTCTGCAAAGTCACAAAAATAGGCTTCACAGGTTCATAAATTTGACTTCTTCAGGATCTTGGTGGAAGGAGAAGATGTTCCTCCCCCACTTAAATCATTTGCCGACATGAAATTTCCACGGTGTATTATTAAGGCTCTTCAGAAGAAGGGAATAGAGAAGCCTTCTCCAATCCAGGTATGGTTATAAACTCAATTGGATAATTGTACCCTTAAACTCTCATCTGTTTTGCCATTTCCTGCCTTGTACAATCTTCCCTAGTCAATCTCCTATGATTTGATGATTTCAACTTCTTTTACTTCATGTTTACTTTTCTGCTCTTTTTTCTTTATAAGACTTCAGGTTTCCCTTTTTGAAATCATATACAGTATGTAGCCCATATCCAGTGAGCACATATAACTGAAGCCTCTGAATAGTGTTATTTTTTTGCTTTGCCAGATGCAAGGTATTCCAGCAACCTTAAAAGGACGAGATATGATTGGCATTGCCTTCACTGGCAGTGGGAAGAGCATGGTGTTTATATTGCCCATTGTTATGTTCTGTCTTGAACAAGAGAAAAAGCTTCCATTTATGAGCAATGAGGGGCCATATGGTGAGTTCTTATATAGTACTTTTCTTTTCACATCATAAGGCAGCTTTCCTTCATTTCAGAGTTTGTAGTTTTTCAATGCATGCAAATGATGACTGCTTAAGTAACATGTGTATCAGCTAATTTAATGAGGAGGATTCTTCAACGGTATTTACGCTACCCAGACTTACAGATTTGGAACTAAGTCTAAGATACCATGATAGCTTTTAGACAAAGACAAAAGATACTAGCCCAATCACCCATATTTTTGCTAAATTTCGAGTACTGTACAGTATTGTATTCTGTTCTGAATATCCACAGAAATTTTTGTTGTTAGATTATGCTTAGGACTCCATAGTTGGATGAGTAAGCCTTTATCAGAACAGGATTGCATCTTTTCCAGCATAAGTAAAAATCTTCTGAACTTATGGTAGGAGAGTTTGGAGAAGATGTGTGGGAAAGTAAAATGGCAACACAGTGATCCCATGAATTTTTCTCTCTCTGAATGTAGTCGTGCAACATTTTAGTGATTCCATTGTTAACCAAGAAGGATACTTTACTTGCCTAACATTTTGAGAGTTGATGTGAACGCTCAGTTTGTGATTAAACATTTAGCATCTCTCTTTTAAGAATATCGTAGATTCTTTATATGAAATGCATTTCAGTTAGGCGGATGATGTTATACTTCAAAGGGTGTGAAAATTAGAGTTATTTAGAGTGCAGCTGTAGAAAAGCAGAACTTTAGGGAATTGATGGTAATTTCCATGATACTGTAACAACACAAGATTATCCTGACCTTCAAGGCCAGATGTACAGTATTGTAGGTTGGAGAGCTTTTGGACAGATACACTTGAGAACTCCTCCCATATCTCATTAAGTTTGTTGATCAAGTTATGCCCTGTTAGTAGATTAAAAATGCCAGGAATTGTTTCCTGCCTTGCTTAAGGTTGTATAGAAGCTAACATTGAAATAAGCTAGAGAGACTGATAGGTAAAATTGTGAAACTAATAGCAGTTCATATATTAACAGGTCTCATCATTGTGCCATCTCGTGAGTTGGCCAAACAAATAAAAGACAACATTGATTATCTCTGCAAGTTCATTGAAGCTGATAATTTACCTGAATTAAAAACTTGTCTTGCCATTGGTGGAGAGCCAGTAGCAACAGCACTTCAGATCATTCGAAAGTATGTTCAAACTTGATTTTTTTGTCCTGTATCAGATATTCTCATCATGTTACTCAGTAGTATTAAACTATTTTGCTGTTTTTATATTGGAATTAACAGCAGAATGTTTACACGGTGTCATCATCACAGTGGTGGCAGCAATGTACTATATTCAAAATAGGTTTCATCGATAGTAGGGAACAACGGGGCAAGAAAGAATTTTGAAACAACAATACCTCTTTTTTATATTTGTGAACTCCTCAAGCAGCAGCCTGAAAAAAAATTTCCCTTTTACAGAAATTGCATGTTTGAAATATTGTGGCTTCAATCAATTTTATTGTAATTAATTGTGTAATTACTATTTTTTAAGGTGGGAGTCATATTCTTATGACTGTTTTTTGATATGATACCAGGTGCATTTTGTGTTTCTTGGTACGGATATGATTAATAGGCAAGGCACACTAATTCATTTGCCTGTTTGTGATTCCACTGTACATAGCTACTTTAATTAGAAATGTTTTACAAATAATGTAAGAAGTAATTTACACTATAATAGTGCACTCTTGCATTTTTGCAGGGGCGTTCACATCATGGTGTGCACACCAGGTCGGCTGATTGATATGCTGGACAAGAAGATGGTACGTCTTGATGTGTGCAGGTAAGTGTGTATGAAGGTAATAATAGCAAGCAAACAATGATATAATGTATTTACCTATTTACAAGTACAGTAAACCCTTCATAACTCGGCATTTGATATCTCAGAAAGTATATTTCAGTGGATTCGGCCAAAAATTATATTTTGTTGAAAATCTCAGTACGTATAGGTACTCCTGAGCAAGCTGATTCCGAATCTATGGACCACGATTCGATTGCGGGGTAATTAGTGGTCGCAATGATGTTTGGAATATTTTAATTATATTTTTCAATACTAATTACTCACCAATTATGGGTTTCCAAGGTGCAATTTAGGTGTTTTTGTGTTATTCTGGAAGTACTATCTGGGTAATTAGTTACGTGTTTATTTACATACTTAGACTTGAATTATATGTAGTGAAAATTGTTTTTGTTAAAATTTATTCTTTATTTTGTATAAGTGACCAAATTACAGTACTGTAGTATACATAAGTGCTGCAGTTTACTGTTTTGTAGCGTTTCCCCTCCATCACCTGCGTCACCTACCATGTCTGTGTCATCTACCATGTCTCTGTGTCACCTACCATGTCTATGTGTCATCTACCATGCCTCTGCAGTGATGGTGTTATTTTTTTTTAATTATTAATTACATGTACTGTACTACACATATATGGGCCGATAATTTTTTATCATATTTTGTGTGTGGGGGTGGGGGGGGGGGTGCCTCGAAAAATTGGAATTTGGGATAATTCGGCAAGGCCAGAGCCGCATACGTACCAAGTTATCAAGGTTTTACTGTACAAAAGTAAATAAATAAAATTTATGCATGGACACACATGTATGCAAATGGACAAATATATTTTTATGATGACTTTCATTTTTCACACTGCCTGTATCTACAACTGTATACACTATACCCTCGTTAATTCGACAAAAAAGGACTCTGGGTCACTCGAATTACCGAAAAATCTGAATTATCTGACTTCATAATATTTTGACATTATTCGACAATTTCCAATTTTTTTTTCAATTGTTGCACCTTACGCGGATTGTTCCTCATTATTCCAACCAATAAACATACTAAGTTACCATGCCTTGGCTGCCACAAATTATTACTGTATACAGTATGTAGAATATTTAGAAAGTCAATTACGCTGTGCCCGTAAGTTGTAAATCACCTTTATATACATTTCCTTAAAGATATAGACTTTCTTTACGATATAAACACGTTAGTTTTCACTTTCCCCGAAATTGTCGCATGACGTCAAAAATACGCTAAACATTATTAATACTGTACCTTGCCTTTCGGCACTTAGGGACACACCATCGATTTTGTTCAAATTTCATACAAAGGTACAGTACAACTTTATATGCTGATTAACGATCTGGGTTCACAGTTTAAAAATTGAGTAATTAGTGCTAATTAATGACCTTTGAAATAATTAAATAAACTGTATGTGTATTACCTACTGTGCAAACTAATATTTTTTAAATCTACATAAAACAATAAAGTACGCTAATAAATAAATGTAACACATTGCAAAGTGAACTGATAATACCGTATGTAGATAATATTCCAAATGTGTAATGGTAACACTGGTATATGCAGTAAAAACCCACTTTGAAGAAACAAAATACGAAATCTTGGAGCTGGTACACTAGGACCCTCTTCAGCCAACTGACGCAACAAAACAAGGGAGAAAGACATAGAACAAAGGAATCAGGTCGCATAACCTGTCTCCTGAGTTGAAGTAGGGCGGGGATTAGGGATAATCTTGATGACTGTATTCAGGATCAGGTCTGGGGTCCACTGAACTCTGGACCTCATCATGAGTACTTTCATCAAGAAGATTAAGGAGACAGGTTGGGAGATACATCAGCCAATTATAGGCATCCCATGGAATCACATGACAGTAGTAGCTAATCACAATGCATGAGCACTCTCAACCTATGACCCACGTTTGCCATGCAGCTAGCCCACCCATGTGATCGACAAAACGTTGGCGCATGTTGCAATCTCTCGGAAATTCATTCAAATGCCCGGAACAGAGACAACAGAATATTTGCATAAACTAACCTTCCCTCACATTGTATATACTGGTATTTTATACCGGTATATCTACATATTCTCAATTTTTAGATATCTGGTGATGGACGAGGCTGACAGAATGATTGATATGGGCTTTGAAGAGGATGTTCGTACTATTTATTCCTACTTTAAAGCCCAAAGACAGACTCTTCTCTTCTCAGCCACAATGCCTAAGAAGATCCAGAACTTTGCCCGATCTGCCCTAGTGAAGCCCGTAACAGTAAATGTTGGCAGAGCTGGAGCCGCCTCCATGCAGGTCATCCAAGAGGTGGAGTATGTAAAGCAGGTGAGAGAACAGAAGTCAAGTTACTGGTACAGTACTTTGACATATCTATGATTCTTTTTTTCATTAATGTAGATAGGTGCCAACTGCTTTCCAGTGTTCTTTAGAGACAGCTGGACAAGTACTGAACATATCACAATATGTAGTGTGTAATTAAAGAGCTCCAAATCCATCCAGAATGCACCTGAGGTAACATAAGTGTTACAAGTTTTGGGATAACAACACCACAGTGTAAAATGTTCCAGCAAAACATTTCAAGTTTTATGACAAATTTAATACTTACGAGTGTGAAGATTTTAGTGGCTTAGATACTTAGAGAAGATGGATTAAGAGGAAATTAGAAGCAACAGGTATGATAGATTTCAGATTAGTACGAGAGGTAAATGGAATGTAGAGAATACAAAGTAGAGAAGTGGAGGTGAAAGTGTCTAACAGAGAATATTTCAGCTTCTACTCGGGGGTATGGACATGTTGGGAAAATGGAAAGTGAAGGGCTTTTAAAAAAAAGATTGTATAATTCAGAGGTGGATAGTAACGATGGAGGGGAAGACCAAGATGATGGATGGATAGGGTGTAGAATGCAGCAAAAAAGTAAATGGGATGGACATCCTTGAAATAGCAGTGTGCATAAGTGAATGAGGATTGTAGTTTTAAATGATTTGGGGGCAAAGATAAGATGCGACCGTGTGTGAAGCAACAGTATTAATCCAAGTTTGGTAAAATTTTTAGAAGGTGAGTACAGCTCTTACAGTAGTAACAATGAATGAATGACAACAAATGAAGGAAGAATGTTAATTTATGTATTGTATTCGCTCTTCTAACTGGCCATCTTGTAGTAAATAGGAAAACAAAATTAGGGCAGGGGACTTTCATTTCAATTGAAATTCCATGTAAGTAAATCAGTTATACTGTCTGTTCGTAGTGAGTTTGGTTTCAGGTTCGTAAGCTTCCATAGATTTAGTGGGCCGAGTATAATTTTGGTGTGAAATTTTATTGTCAGTTAATGTTTAAGGTTTTGTGTTTGTTGTTAGTCCAGGCAATAGGGGTCAGGTATCTAGTGAGTTAATCACCTTTCCAAAGAGTAATTAATCCTTAAACAGTGGCTAAGGAGTGTCTGCTCTGCCCCATCTGTGCAAAAATGGAATGTAAGGAACATGAAAAGTCCACTGATGATGGCGGCTGTCCCTAAAGCTAACTTCCTTTGATGATGGCTGTTGTTTAAAGGTTAACCCCAGGGATGTAGGACTGGTAACCTCAACCCCATTATTGTTTTAAAATGAGAAAATGCAAAGCAGACTTTGTGAGCCTGTGTTTCTAGAGATTCCAACTGCTTTGCATTGTAATGAAAAAGATTTTGCAAAAGTGGAAAACAAATTTGTAATTAATATTTTCAGGAAGCCAAAGTGACCCACATTTTGACTTGCCTCAACAAAACATCTCCTCCAGTTCTTATCTTTGCTGAGAAGAAGCAGGATGTTGACCTTATACAGGAATACCTGTTGCTGAAAGGTGTCACAGCTGCAGCTATACATGGAGGCAAAGACCAAGAGGAGAGATCGGCTGCTGTTCAAGCCTATCAGGTAATGTATTTGTCTCAGGATAATGTGCTAATATTATTATTGTTCACCTTGAAACTTTTTGTAGTCCAATTTTTTATCATGGACTATACTGTACATGTTGAGAGCCTTTTATCCGAAATTCCCCTAACCGAAAAACTGAAGAAAATTCTAGAAGGCACAGGTGATATTGGTCACCCAGTTCTGGACCTGAACTGATCTGAGCGTGCCCGACCATTGCCTCGGTTTGCCAAGGAAACTTGGTTGGTTGTCAAAACAGTTTACGGCCAGACACCCTATATTGATGTGTGTGTTTATTTCAAAGTTTTGAGCTATTATTTTACTGTGAAAATGTAAAAAATAGCAGCAGATACCCCTATGAGAAACAGAAAAAAGAAAAGAAAAGAAGGCATCACTCGTCATCTATAGCAAAGAAGTGGAGATGCTTTCAACGGAATATTTTACCTGTGAACATAAGTAATAATAACACACTTATGAAGATATACTGTACAATTTTTAACAAGAGTTTCTGTTAAATCTGGACGATTACTCTGCTGTTTACATATGATACTTTATATAATGACCATATCTGACTGATAACATCTTATATTGAGCACCATTAAGAAGTACAGTAATCCCCGATTATTTGGATATTTTGTATTTGTACCTTCGACAATTTGTGGATGTCAATAAAATACTGGATCTGCTAGCAGATGATGTGCTTGCTTGTGCTGTCATCTACTGTATTGAAGGCAGGGAAATTGTCAGTCAATTTCCATCAATTTATTGAATGTCTTAACCCTTAAAGGTCTGACAAATCTTGGGAAGTCTCCCTTCAGAAACTGAATAGTAGACTAAAAAATGAAAATCATAAAATGAATGTTCTAATCTTATGAAATGTTAGACATACTGTACATGTTAGTCAATAGGAAATAACATAATTATTACTGTACTCACCACCTATGGTTATTGGCAAGTCAGAGAGACATCTTACCTCAGCAACCCTCTAGCAGTTATTGCACATCTGGGAGCGAGAAAGGTGGTGCACTACCAACTCATTCCATGTTCTTACAACTTCACAAAACCTTCACATGGTTCCTTATTATTGCACTATATACAGTACTGTACATTCACCACTCTGTGGCTTGGTGTGGCAGGGCTTGGGAGTTGGAGTTCCAAGTGGGTAATCCAGAGAGTTAGAAGCACGACCTTCCTCCATGGTGACAACTGCTAAACTGAGTTATTGCCACAATAATAGTCATGCTACTCACACAGGAAAATTAAACAAATGAAGTGCAAGACTGACAACATCAGACCAGACCCTCCCTACTATGTTGGGCACTCTGGGACGACATCAGACCTTTAAGGGTTAATTTTATATTTATTTCTTAAACCTTTAAAAACTTATTTAAACATACAGTATTAAAAATATTTAATGCTTCTCTAAGAAATGAAACATTAGTTATTCGGTGTCTAATTAAGTATGTACTTGAAATTTTATTCAGATATACATTTTTTTTTCTTCACTATATGCTGTATTTTATTGAGATGTTCATATTTTACCCTTTTTAGAGAGGGGACAAGGATGTTCTGGTTGCCACTGATGTGGCCTCAAAGGGTTTAGACTTCCCTGGCATCCAACATGTGATCAACTATGACATGCCAGATGACATTGAAAACTATGTCCATCGAATTGGCCGTACTGGTCGATCAGGGCAACACGGTGTGGCCACTACATTCATCAATAAAGCCAATGATGAATCAGTGTTGTTGGATCTTAAACATTTGCTGATTGAGGCCAAACAAAAGGTAAATAAAAAATAACTTCCCATCCAAGACATTTCAGTTTTTTTAAGATATAGAGAATGTATGTAGTACTGTACTAGTTATCTATAAATGAGTCAAAATTTGGAAGGGGTATACTGCTTAGCTAAATATTTCAAGGAATAAACAATTCTTAAGTATTTCTAGAATGAGCAAAAGTTATACTAATTTGAATCACTATTTATACAACTTTCATGCAAGTAATACACCACATGGCACTTTTATTTAGGTTCCTCCATTCTTGACAATGGCTGGGGGATGTGATGAAGAACTTATGGATTCCCTTGAGGCTGGTGGAGGAGACGAGCGTGGATGTTCGTACTGTGGTGGTCTGGGTCATCGCATCACTTCCTGTCCTCGCTTGGAAGCGATGCAGAATAAACAAGCCGCAGGAATTGGCCGTAAAGATTATCTGGCAGCAAATGCCGCTGACTATTAATCAGGAATTGTGTTTAAGGGATGATGCATTATTCCCTTTGCTAGTTTAGCAGTTTGATCTTAATACAATAAATATGTACTGCACTCCTTGACCATTGAAACAAGAAATTTTGGTGTTCCTCACTGCCTGTAAATTTTTTAAGATTTGTTATAACTCTGGAGTTGATGAACTACCGGGTAATTACGAATTTCAATAATTATTTCTAAGACAACAAAGTGTTTTCAAGCCACCCCTTTACTATTTTTGGTAGATTTTTGTATTAAATTTGCACAATACTGTATATTTACAGTAGTAATATCTCCGTTAGCCGGAACCCCTCAAACCCAGAACTCTTCGATTGCCGGAACTGAAATTTTCCCAGAAAATTATGACTTTGGGAACGATTTTCCGGAAAATTTTGAGAAAATTTTCCCGATACCCTCGAAAATTCCGGGGATGGGTGATATTTTTCCGGGTTCGAGAGATGATGTAATGGGCAAATTCTGGAACAAATGGGAACATTTTTCCGTTGCCCAGAATATTTCGGGGATGACGGATTTTTTTACGGCTTTGAGAGAGTCGCCTCGTTACCCGGAAATCTCTCATTCCCGGAAGTGGTCGGCACCAATTGTTCCAGCTAACGGAGATATCACTGTATATATAAATACAGTGTACTAGTCAAATTTTCTAATTCTTTAGAAAAAGTAATTAAAAAAAAATATATATATACAGTGGGGTATGCTATAACGAATCTAATTGGTTCTAGAACCTTGTTCGTTATAGCATTCGTTCGTTATAGGATTAATCCGTTCCAGGCCCCCAAATACAACCACTTAACACTGAAAAATATAATATAAAATTGTAAAAATTGTAAAAAAGTGCATAAATATGCATCTAAACCCCTGAAATAAAGAATATCATTAATATTTGTAATAAAAAAACAATAAATTAGAAAAAAAAAAAAAATTAAACAATGTTCATTGTACGAGTTTCGTTCGTTATAGCATTCTCAATTTTATAGGTAAAACCGTTCGTTATAGGAATATTCGTAGTAGGATCCGTTCGTTATAGCATACCCCACTCTCTGTGTGTGTGTGTTGATAAAATCACACGGGAAAATGTAAACAACGGAGCACCTTAGCTTTCGTCTTTATTCAATACATCTTCAGTTGCCTCTGAAGATGTCTTGAATAAAGACGAAAGCTAAGGTGCTCCGTTGTTTCCATTTTCCCGTGTGATTTTATCAAGATTTATCTTATCCACGTTTTCATTGTGGATTTACATGATATATATATATATATATATATATATATATATATATATATATATATATATATATATATATATATATATGCACAAGGAAAGAAAGAAACACGAAGTTCCTTGTGGTTATCAGCGTTATACCTATCCAGCGCACCTACAGTGATTTACTTGCATATATATATATATATATATATATATATATATATATATATATATATATATATATATATATATATATATATATATATATATATATATATATATATATATATATATATATATATATATATATAATGCGCTTACAGAACAAATTCTATATTTCGAAAATAGAAGTTATAAAGGGTGATTCTCTAAACTCATTTATAAATTGTATGGTATATTCTTGAGATAATTAGAAGGGAAAATGTCAAAATCTCCCATAGTTTCAGTGCTTGAAATATGTCTTGATAATGTTGGTGAGAATGGAGTGAAACAGCCTTAGATAGGTGCTTAAATTTAGGTACATAATATTTCAGTGAGATACATTTGCATTATTATACAGTAAATGTTCAAAATTCCTTCCCTCTTCATTTTGCACCATTGATTGTCCGATGCACTCCAACATATCTGGAGTATTTCCAATCCTTCTGTGACAATTGCACGAGGGTTGGAAATACTCAAGGTACTGTATGTTGGAGTGCATCGGACAATCAATGGTGCAAAATGAAGAGGGAACGAATTTTGAACATTTACTGTATAATAATGCAAATGTATCTCACTGTAATATTATGTACATAAATTTATACACATCTAAGGCTGTTTCGCTCTACTCACCAACATTAACTTGACATCTTTCAATTGATTTAACTAGGAAAATATGGAAGTTTTGACAATTTTCCTTAAAATTGTCTCAACAATACACTCTACAATTTATGGAAAACTTATAGAATCACCCTGTAGAAGTGACATCACTGTCTCCCCATATTTAAACTACCGTAGGGTGGATGAGAATTTAAGAATTAATATTTACTAGAAATTTTAATATCATAAAATCATTATTACACCAAATTTTTCTTTCCCTGTTTTTTACTTTTATACCGACAAGCTGCTGCTTTCTTCCTCTTCTCTCTAACTTGTCTCATGTGTTCACGTTCTTCAATATCTTCTTGGAATTTCTTTCTACGTTCTGCACTGGCAATTTCTTCCTTTTCCATTTTATGCTCCATCATTGTCTTCAGTCTCTTCATGAAGTTATCCATCTGACAAGAAACAAGACAATTACATTCTGGAAGTTCAGCTCTCCTCCCTTCCCTTTCCAGTCACATTAAAAATCATTTGGTCCAATAAACAGCATTTACTATACCTGAATTTCCTTGGAATCCTTAACAACAAGAACACGCTGCGCTTTCTTTGCCGTTGGAATGACCTTGGGCTTTTCACTGTAAGGTAATGCTTTCTGGAGTTCCCTTGGAATTTTCAATGGCAGAGGAATATACTCACGACGGTTGGTAATGGGCTGTAAGAGAATAAAAAATGTGGCTCATATAAAAAACCCAAGACATCATATCCCAAGTAATTACACAAACTCTCATGAATGTAAATTTATTTTACTTGTTTACTTCACTTAAATTACAAATGACACTGTCTTACCGTATACAAAGAGTCTGGGTTGACCAAAGTTCTGATACCCTTATCCTTTTTAATCTGAGCCACTGTTCTCATGCCTTGCCAGGCAGCCTTCTCACTTGGGGGCAGTAGAAGGGAGTAAACAGAGAAGCAAAACTGAGTCATCTCCACTGGTACCCAGGTTTTAAGGATCACCACATCTGAAGATTGAAAATACAATAAATTTACTTAAAAGACAATCAATGTACAGTAGCATTGGTTATTTTGTAATTTTTCACTGCTTTATATGTGTATATACACACACACATTATATATATATATATATATATATATATATATATATATATATATATATATATATATATATATATATATATATATATATATATATATATACTGTATACATACAGTCATGCGCCGGTTAACGTCCTAGATACGTTCTTGGAAACGTGATGTTAACTGAAATGGACGTTGTGCGAAATTACATAAACCTATGGGATTTATTCTAATGGGGGTTCCAGGCACCCAACCCCAAGTTTCCCATTTTACGACCATTTAGACCCACTAAATATATATATATAATGTTATGGTAAATATCATAAACACACATAGGCATGGCTAGGTTTATTACAAAGTGATGAAAAGGATACTGTAAAGTGGGTAGTCCACAAAACATGTACTTGGTATGTCTCTCTTTATTTGAGTGCCCCGTCAAAGGAGTCCGTTTTCTCTCACTTCAGGACGCCTGAGTCGTCCGCTTTCTCTTAATCTTAGAGTGCAGTGCACCAGACTTCGTTATTCCTTAGTAGTGACACAGAATTTGATATTGCAGCTGGGGTTGCAATTGTTGAGGCAACTTAGATATGTCTGATTACAGTTGGAATATTCAAGATCCATTGTGAGTGATGTTTAAAGCTTCAACTATCTTTATGGTTGGTAAAACTTGTCAAGTCTGTCAGTCTGAGTGGCATGTGTGAGGCCTTGTGTTTGTACAACCGCTAAATATATACCGTATATACTCGTCTATAACCCCCCTTCGTATATAGGTCGACCCCGATTTTATGACCAAGAAATCGTTAATTTATGATATTCCTCGTTTATAGGTCGACCCAAGTTTTTGAGGGTAAAGGAACAACAAAACCTTCAGAGAAACACTACGTCCTATAAACTTGTTTACCATTTATTATCACGACACTTTACACTGAAACGCGGGTAGTTTCAACAAAAATATTGTATATTTCCATTCAAGTATTTATTCAAGTCAATTAGGAGGGAATATTATTGTAATACAACAGTTTTTTAACTAAACCATTCGAAAAGTGATTACGGTAACATCTTTTGAACGAAAGAAAGCCAAAGTCTTTGTTTTCATCACGATTTTAACCCACTTTCCACTGTAATACGTACGTCATTTCAGCAAAAAATATTACATTTCCGTGAATGTATTATATCAAGCACAGTATAAATAGAATATCATTGTAATATAACAGAATTTTAACCGAAAACTATTAAAAAAACGAATAACATCTCGAGAACATCGGAAGCTTAGGTAAAGTCTTTTGTTTTCGACATGTATTTTATCCTATTTTACATTGAAATACATCACGTTTCAGCAAAACTACTATTTATTTCCGAGAATATATTTATTCAGGCGCAGTTTAGGTAAAATATACGTGTGATGTAACAGTTTTTTAACTGAAAACGATTCGAAAAACACGTGTACCCTCTAGCCCTGTTCAAGGAGAGGACTGGGAGAAGCTGTTTGGTGCTGCAGACGATGACAAAGAAAATGATTTTGGTGGATTTTAATTAAAATATTCAGAAATATGGTATCGTAATATTTATTCAAGTCAATTAGGATATTATTGTAATACAATACAACAGTTTTTTAACTAAACCATTCGAAAAGTGATTACGGTAACATCTTTTGAACGAAACAAAGCGAAAGTCATTGTTTTCATCACAATTTTATCCCACTTTCCACTGTAATACGTATGTCATTTCAGCAAAAAATATTACATTTCCGTGAAGGTATTATATCAACCACAGTATGAATAGAATATCACTAATATAACAGTATTTTAACCGAAAACTATTAAAAATACGAGTAACATCTCTTGAACATCGGAAGGTTAGGTAAAGTCTTTTGTTTTCTGCATGTAGTCTATCCTAATTTACATTGAAATACATCACGTTTCAGCAAAACTACTATTTATTTCTGAGAATATGGAAATGTAATATTTTTGCTGAAATGACGTACGTATTATAGTGGAAAGTGGGATAAAATCGTGACAGAAACAATGACTCGCTTTCTTTCGTTCAAAAGATGTTACCGTAATCGCTTTTCGAATGGTTTTCAGTTAAAAACTGTTATATTACAATAATATTCTATCCTAATTCACTTGTGATGTAAAAGTTTTTTAACTGAAAACGATTCGAAAAACACGTGTACCGTCTAGCTGATACGGCAGAGCTCTGGTCGCGAAGGCTTTGTGTTTGCATCGGCCCTTCTTAAGCAGCTTTTAATTTTAGCGTACGTTGAAATTGTGTTTACCGGTGTATTCTTATTTTCTTGCTTCTTATTTTCCAGAAATATGACAAGTTTTTATATAATACAATGTTACGGTACTTTTAATTTACAAGTATTCATTTTAAAAATACAGAAGACACCAAACAAATACTAGTACGGATATTTGCGTGACTCTCCCGCCAAAAAAGACCAAACAGCTGGTACTCTCTCCCTCAGCCCTACCAAAAATAGCCCAACATCTTTCTTGTTTATTCTCTTCCAATTTCTCACTTTAACTGGTATTTTTTACTTCATATTGCCTACATCAGATAAACTACAGTAATTGAGGTTAGATATTGTTATAAATTTGATTACCGGGTCCTGGCAGGTACCGTTAGAACCACCTGACCCTACCAACAGTGTTGCAAGTCAGACAGCATTTTTTTTTTTTACATTTTTGGTGTCTCCATTTGTTAATTTTTTTTCTGTGGGGTTTGCACAATAGTATACTGTTTTACCTACAGTATTGTAAGACGATTTGGGAAAAGAAATACTCGGTAACTTAAAATTTTAAAAGGAAAATTTTGAAACTGGCAACTGTGTGTAGATGACCTGACTCATCATATTGATGTTTCAAATTTAATTAACAAAAATTTATGTATCTATAAATAAACTTTTAAAAATGAATACTTTATGTTCTACATACTCCTGTGCATACCATACCATGCATTTGGCTACTTTGGGCTTGCTATGATGACGCAAGAGATCTGCCCTGGCAACTGTACCGACACTCACAGCGGGTGGTGCGTTGGTGCATCGTTTCCATTGTTTACTGGTAAATATTTTTCAACCTAACGAAACTATTACTCGTATAGAGGTCGACCCCCAACTTTTTGCCCAAAAATTTGGTCTTAAGAACTCATGCTATACACGGGTATATACGGTAAATATATAATGTTATGGTAATTATCAGAAACACACATCGGCATGACTAGGTTTATTGCAAAGTGATGAAAATTATACGATCAATACTGTACAGTGGGTAGTCTACAAAACATGTAGCCATGTCTCTTTAGTTGAGTGCCCCGTCATAGGAGTCCGTTTTCTCTCACTTCAGGATGCCTGAGTCGTCCGTTTTCTCTTAATCTTAGAGTGCAGTGCACCAGAGACTTCGTTATTCCTTAGTAATGACACAGAATTTGAAATTGCAACTGGAGTTGCAATTGTTGAGGCAACTACATATGTCTGATTACAGCAAATGTGTTATTGTCAATTTGTAGGTGAAAGATTTTATCCTCAATAGATGTAGGTTAACATTACACCTGGAGGCAAATGCCTCAGGAAGGAAGGATATTCCTTTAACACATAATATCTGGCCAGTATGGGGAGGATCATCGTGTCTCCGTCAGGGTGTCGTGGAGTGATGGTCCAACAGGCCTCACGGAAGTTTGGGGGGCGGCCATGGACGTATATGCGATCAGACGTTGTTCGGTTGGACGTTAATCGCATGACTGTATATACATATACACTTGCACCAAAAAGTATCGGTGCAGGGTGAGATCGACAAGTTCCGAAACAATACGTATATACTGTGATATGTCGGGAAGGTTGGTAAGTGTATCCTCATAACCCCCCCCCCCCTCCACTAGGTGTTGCCATATGGCTGACAATCAGGGCTGCCAACATACAGCTGGAACAACGGGCCTTTCCCAATTCCTATCATTACTGGTCTCAAATTGTTCACACTACAGTATGCACCAATACTTTTTGTTGCGAGTGTATCCCAGGTGGGGCACACTACCGCCTGCACTACACACGGAGGTGTAAAAGTGAGCGAGACACCAGTGGTACTGGTGTTTCACAAGGAACCCGTTCACCCCACTTCACCTCGGTGTGGCTGACACACATTAAACACAGTAAACTCCCACTAATCTGGACTAATTGGGGGAACCTGAGAACACACCAAGAAATCAAAGTACTGTACTTGTTCGTGGTACAGGTAACCTGGACCCTTCCCTCACAAAATGTGTTCTACTAAGGTGTTCCCTTGCCATAACAATGCCCTAAGATATCAATGTGTCCTTCCCACTTCATTCTACATCCCAACACCACACATATCTCTTAAAACCACTGGACACCATGGTTTCTAAAGAACCTTTGTGAATCTATAAGGCAATAATTGCATACTTAAGGGAAAAGTGAATAAACACCATAAATGACTGCATACATAAAATTATAATGTACTGTGTTTGCTGTATACATTTACTGTAGTGCTTGCTGTATACATTTACTGTACAGTGTTTGCTGTATACATTTACTGTACACACTTACCGCTCATTTTAATGCTATCCTCAAATGTAGCACGGAACAATCCTTTCTGGCCCTTGGATTTTTTAATGATGCCACGGATTCCAGATTGTGTCTGAATCTTGGCTCCCTCAAACTTTGCAATTTCTGTCTCTGAATGAAACATGTCCTGAAATAGTAAGATTTATATAAGCTGGGTGTTGGTCACACTCGACACTGTAAATTTTAACTGTAGTGAGAGGTCAAGTAATTCTTTTGTTTTATTTCATATACTGTATACGTATAGTATTAGTTTTTCATCTGTTGTGTTTCATGGTCTACTTGGAACTGTATATAATCCAATAATATTTGGTTAGTTGGGTATGGCTTGTATACAAAACTATCTTATGTACAGTACTGGGTTTTGTAGCCTCAGGATAATCCTAATAGCCAGTTTTATTCCCCCCCTTCCGTTGACGGGGGTCGTCGTGTCGACAACCACAGTTTTGAACGCTAAGGACCCCGCACTGCAGCGCTCAATGAAGAGGGGCAGTGGAAAAATGAACTTATAATATTAGAATTTGAATAGGTGGATAGCAGCTGTTCTTCGTCACCACCACTGTAATTTTTTGTTTATTTTATTGGATCTTTTTAATAAATATGATTAATGAACAATGAGAAATATATAGTAATTTGATAAATCTTTTTTTTATGTTAATGTTTTCTGGTCTCATTGGGATCACCATCCACTTGTGACAACCAGTCACTGTTCACCAGCAGCCAACCAGGCATCATGGAAGGCCCTCTTAAGTGGCACATTATTGAATTGCCTATATAAACTTGGCGGTATACTTAATAATACAGTCAACCCTCACTTTACGCGGTCCCACATTCCGCATTTCCACGTTTACGCGGTGCCCTGCCAGAACCCAGGATGCTCACATTCCTTGGTGGGTGTACCCCTTTACACGCTTTACACGGGTGACGTATAATTTTTTTATTTAGCTCATAAAATTCATACAAATTATCCGGCCAGAATATAATTTACATTGCTGAAATTCTTACAATTTGATGATCATTTTGAATATAAACATCATATATTTTGCATTAGACATAAAATTTTTAGATATAATGTTTAGTCTGAGTAAATATGTTATCTTTTGTGCAAAATATATGACATTTATATTCAAAATATTCCTGGTCTTACAAGGAATCCAGCAATGTCAATTATATTATCCTAACTTTAGTCTGATTTATTATTTATTACTAAAAAGGTAAACAGTCTGGTATTCCCACACATTTATCTAGTAGGGACTGTTGGTGGGGGGTGGGAGGGACCAGCGACCAACCATCTGTTACCCCGTGAAGAATATTTTTTTTTTTATTAACTGAAGATTTTTATTTTAGCTCATAAAATTCATACAAATTACCCGGCCAGAATATAATTTACATTGCTGGAATTCTTACAATTTGATGATCATTTTGAATATAAACATCATATATTTTGCATTAGACATAAAATTTTTAGATATAATGTTTAGTCTGAGTAAATATGTTATCTTTTGTGCAAAATATATGACATTTATATTCAAAATATTCCTGGTCTTACAAGGAATCCAGCAATGTCAATTATATTATCCTAACTTTAATCTGAGGTATTATTAAATACTAAATGTTAAAATCTAGTTTTTTCACCCACTCTTTCTCTTGAAGGGAGGGTTGGTGGGAGGTGGGGGGGAGGGTTGGGACGGACTGACCATCTGGCTGGTTGGAAGAGGGGGGAGGCAAGGTGGGGTACTTTGATTGACAGATAGTGTCGTGAAGAATATTTTTTTTTTATCAACTGAAGATATTTGTTTTAGCACATAAAATTCATACAAATTACCCGGCCAGAATATAATTTACATTGCTGGAATTCTTACAATTTGATGATCATTTTGAATATAAACATCATAGATTTTGCATTAGACATACAAATTTTAGATGTAATGTTTACTCTTGAGTAAATATGGTATCTTTTGTGAAAAATATATGACATTTATATTCAAAATATTCCTGGTCTTACAAGGAATCCAGCAATGTCAATTATATTATCCTAACTTTAGTTTGAGGTATTATTTATTACTATACCTGGTTTTCCCCCCAAAATTTCTCAGAGGGAAGAGCCAGCAGTGTAGTGTGAGAAGAGGGGGAGGGAGTTGAGTCCATTATTTGAATGGACATTAGCTTGGCGACTGTATTTCTCTATTTCTCTTAAGTATTAATTGTGTGCATGTACCATCATAAAATTAAGATGTTATTTTTACTAGAACATAGGTATTGTGTTGGAAAAAGTGGAGTTTGGGGGTCAGCTGGTCTCTATTTCATTTAATCCCATATGTTATGTTATTCACTTTACGCTATTCTCACTTTCCGCGGTACCCTGTGGGTTACATTAACCGCGTAAAGTGAGGGTTGACTGTAGTAACAATATTAATAAAATCATTATACAAATTTACAATTGGTTTGACATATATATAGACAAAACAAGTACTGTACATAAGTCATTTTGTACATAGACAGTGCTGCATCATTTGGATCTTTACCTGACACTAAAACACAACTGTGAATTCAAGCATTAAGCCATGTTGAAAGATTTTTTAGCTGTAAGTGATTTTTTTCTGAAAAGTATAAGCTGGTGAGTTTCTGGGATACAATTCTTAAAATGGATAAAGCCAGAATCCACGCTTTATGTGGCACTTATTTATAAAGTAAGCATATTTAAGATACTTTAATCAGCCCATAATGCTTCAGCGAAGGGGACAGGCTAAATAACCTTATCCTTGACAGTACTGCACAGAGGGGAAGAATTTGGGGCGATTAAAACCACTGCTTGAAGGAATAACTCCTACCTGTGAGTTCTTCATGAGAATGTTGTGTATGACACCTCAGGCTATCCAAAACAAAGGGAGTTGGGTGTTGTATTTGATGCAATATCTCCTGGTAATTTGGGTGTTGTACTAATATAATGGCTATTGACTTATGTTTTTCTATTAGTGTAATAGCTGCTGGTTCTGATGTGGTTATAAATAATAAGTGTTGAATTATACAATTACTTCTGCAATCTGTTTTTTATTTAATAATGCATTATTACCTCTCTACAGCATATACCAAAATTTGCTATCGAACCCCACCTCAAATATCTCAAATAAGTGTTTTGACTCGGTAATAAGTTTCCCTCTCCACTACTGGAGGCTCTGTCACACTCATGGCCCCAATAAATGACACTTTGCAATTTTGCCCCTTTAGGTTTACTTGGTGCTGGATTAATAAAACATTGCTGTTAAATAATCAACAATCCCCATAGATTCGTTATTTTTTTCAAACTCGCTTTTTCCGGACTGGGGTCTTCTTCAATTAGTCTGGTGTATCGAGGTCCTACTGTATGTATGTAATACAAGTACAGTACAATTACTTCTAGTTTGTAATAGCCTCTGGAATCTCCTGTATTTGCACAATGTGGCACATCTACACTGATTGGATTAATAGAGGAGCATTTACAGTATAGGAATACCTTGCTATTTGCAACCCTGCTTGTTCCCAATTGATATTTTAACACCCATATTCGACAATCGCAGCACATACCCCACTTATTCACAAAGAGAATTAGAAAAAAAATATCCATGGAGATTGCATGTTGCTATAAAAAAAAATGAAGAGCATGGATGTGTATGTGTGACATGAACATATCCTGTATCTTGATAAAATCACACAGGAAAAAGGGAAACAATGGAGCTCCATTGTTTCCCTTTTTCCTGTGTGATTTTATCAAGATTTATCTTATCCACATTTTCATTGTGGATCTTCATGAAATATACTGTATGTGGACTTGACATGTATAATACCAATAAGTATTTGGAAGTTTTATGTACTTTATTAGCAGTTTAATTGCTAGGTATTGTATTAATGCAATAGTGATTAGTAAAATGAGTGTTAAATTGTGAAAATAACTAGTGGTATCTTGGATATTGTATTAAATAGAATAACCCATGGTATACTGAAATGTGTATTCAATGAACTGTCATCTGGGGAACTGTGTTGTATTAATATAGTAGCATCTGACTTTTGGTGTTGCATTAATAACTTATGGTTCCTTTTATGCTGTAATTATATAATACTTTTTGCTTCTTACTTCTCATTGTTTGTCAATATTATCACTTTTTTATATGAATGACACTGTATGAGGCAACCATAAGCTTCATACCAAACATGACATAAGTAGTTAAAAATACCTTGATGAAGGCTGTTTTTTTCATAATTTTCTCTGGGTAGCCTAATAACTTGAGTTTCTTCACTATCTTACAGCTCTGGTCAGTTTCCATAACCACACCGTTAGCAGCAATGCGGAACTCAGGCTGCAAGAAAAAATAGATTATAAAAATTTCATCATACTTTTTTCTTTTTTTGTGGGATTAGCCCACCAAACCACAGGTCAATGACCCACATCAGGGCCTGGGGGCGAAAATATAATTAAAATAATAATAATAATAATAATAATAATAATAAATAAATAAATTAAAAAAGATCAATAGTGAAAAACGATGTATGCACAGTATGTTGTGTTGTCAATAGTAAGAGAAACAATTGAGACCCTGCAATTGTGTGTAAATGAGCCAGAAAGTCAAATCAACAACCTGGGACTTGGTCACAATTTTTGTGATGCTATGGCAGCATACAAGGTACCTTTTGAGATAAAAAAATAAATATATTTTCTAGATGACAGCGAACTTGACATTTTAATCCAAAACTTAAGAAGCTTCTGTGTAACCCTACAGGCAACTCAATACAGTAGTAAATAACAATGAAAAAATTAGGAGAAAAATAATCTAGTGTATGGAACCAGAATGCTGATACAAACAACTGTACTGTATATCATTACAGAATGCAGTTCACACAAAGCAGCATAAAAATAATATGCAGAATCATGTGTACATTAATACAAAATTATGTGAATAACTAACAAATACTTGGTGAACTGTAAAGCCATAGACTAAAAAAAAATATAGATAAATTTTGAACTTGACATGAAATTTGGAGCTTTATTGGGAAAATTCTTTCTAGATAAAAACTGATCCAGATATAACAGGATACATGAATGTGTCCATACAAGTCTTCAGTTAGACTAGATATTTCTTTTAGAAATCTATAAAGGACACGGCACTTGATCATGTTAATGGAATCATCAACTGAACTTCTTGAGAGGCTTAAGGCATATTCCGAGTCTCATATCAAGGTTAAGGTACTGTACCATTATTATGATACTCACCCATTCTGTGATATTTGATTAAATTAATCTTCATGCTTTACCTCCTAAGTACTAGCTCCTGCTGGGTGCATTAACAACTTAAAACTTTATTCTCTTTCAGATTTTTGAGAGATTAGAATGCTTCAATAGTATTCCATAAATTTTAATAGGTCATCATTAATATCCAATCTTTGTATAATCAAGGGTTATCAAGGGTTGGTCATAAAGTGTAAGCCCAGACCAAGCAAATTATTTGATTGGTAAGGAATGTCATCCAGTTTTATGGTGGCTATACTAATTGAAATTTGTAAAGTTTATTATTAGAAAATAGTTATCAGTCTTACCACACGATCTGTGATGTTTTGTAGAGCAACAAATCCTGTGTTAACGAGAGTTATTGGTCCCCAGAACATTGCCTCTATATGTAGGTACTTCCTGGCATACTTCAATGACCGCATCCGGAAGTTGTCCTCCCTCTTGGCGTAGTACATTAAAGTCTGGAAGCGTCGCCAGCCCAGTGAGAGGATGAGAGGGTCTCGATTTTTAAGAATTTTAGGATACCAGCGATGAACCTTGATACGAACCTGTGGAAATGTACCAAAAAGTATATCAGAAGAGAATCTTTACAAGCTAAGAATTTTATTTTCAAAGGTGACAGAATAATTGAACAAAATAAATGGTGCTGTGAGACTTGCACAAGAACAAGCATCTGATGGGTGATGCTGGCCTGTGTGATGTGAAAGGTGTAAACTAAATTTTAGGGGCCTTGTTGTGAAAAAGGTGTAATAAAAGAATATACAGTAAAGTAACCTCTCCGTTTGCTGGAATCTTTGATCCCCAGGACTCAACAATGTATAGTACTGTAAAGAGTGGACAGTGTATGCCTACTGTAGCGTAGTGTGTAAAGGGTCTTTGTACAGTATACAGTGTGTCCAATCCCTCCTTCATGGAGGAGATGGTACAGGACAAAGGCAGACCAGCCTGTATCATCATATCAGCTTTTTTTCTTTCTCCAATACTGGATTTACATTCTGAGTTCTATAATAAATGTAACAGGAAAAATTCTGGCCAAAAAAATCATGTCATGAAGTGGTGTCTTCATAGCCTATTCATATGACTGTAATGATATGTTGAAATAGGCAGCATTTATAAACAACAAATTATGGTGTTGCCTCTAGTCCTGACAATGTACCTCCTTTATGCTTTTAACAAAATGGATGAACAAACTTACCCTGACAAATCCCATGTTGTTTTCATTATCAAGCAAACCTCCAACAATGACTGGGTAGCTGGGATCAAAGTTAGTGATAAATTCACATGGGAAATGGCTAAACTCCATGCGAACATACAAGCCCGGTCGGTAACCTTCATATTGTACCCTCAATTCATCATCCAGTCCTTCAAATTCCTGACGATTTAGCTGTAGGAAAAATATCTTACTGCATACATGAACAAAAGACAAAACAATGAAGTACTTTCCTTCAAGAATATAATTTTCTTTTGATGCTGAATCAATTTATTAGTTCATAGACTTCAATATTTTTCATCTAATATTCAAAATTCCTTAAGTCAAGGATATTTCTCTCCATGTATTTATTTGAGGTATCTATTGATGTGGATATTTCTTTTTTATACACACTTTTGAGACAAGTCTGCCACACTGACATTACTGTATGTATGTATGTATGTATCTACACTTACCTGGGCCTGCTGATTCATTTCTGCCTTGAGAGAATCAAAGTGCTCTCCGCTGCCATTATCATCATACTCGGCATCAAACATCTGCTTCAGGCGTAGCTTCTTTTCAATAAGCTTTTCTTTTGCAGATTTTTCTTTTTTGACTTCTGGACCACTATCTGAAAGGTAGAATGCCTTATTTATATTGTACAATGATGTTCATATAATACAGTTTCAAAGCTTTTATTCATAATTTTTACTAAGGGAAGGGGGAATGAGCTGGGGGTCTAGGCCCTAGGCCCTAGGGACTACTCAGGTCCCCAACAGGAGTCAAGGAGAACTTTTACATTCTTATACTTCGAAAGATAAAAATCATAAATTCCTTATCGCAAATTCCCCGATGAGATCTAATTTGGCAGATAGAATACTCATTTACACACATCCAGGATGAGCTAACACAGGATCCACTAAATGAGTGAGCAAAATACAAGACTCTTACCTTACACCAAATTATATACAAGTATCCCTCTTTTAGCATTAATTTGCTTTAGCGATTTTTTTTGGACACTTTCTCACTTAACGTTAGATCAAAATTTGGTATAACGATAGCTTGACTCTGGGAGAAGGAGAACTAGAGATTCTGTGCTCTAAGTACATCTCTACCGTCATTTGTCCATGTTTACTCTATCCGAATTCCACCATCCACGCTGTGTACTCGGTGTTTGCAGCCCTGCCCCCGAAGACCGAATTTCCATGTTATTTATCCCTCGTTTAGCGATAATTTAGCCAACAAAGTTTTTCAAGAACGTTCCAGTTAAACTCGGGATACCTGTAGTGCTAAAGAATTTGCAGGAAGAGTAAATTACCTGGATATGCATGTTAATTTAAAAATGAAGCATGCTTTTCTAGCTGACAATTAGAAATTATCTAATTGGATAAAAATGTCATGTTGACTTGGAAATATAAAGATTACACAAGGCCTGTATGATTCTTCCACTTGTATGTTGTGAAGAGAGTTATGTTAAATAAAAATAATGCTATTAAAGAGGTGCAAGAAGGTAGGACACAAGAATAAGTTATCATCTATGACAGCCCCCAAGAAAGTGATGACTTATTACTGTAGTTAGTCATTTTGGATGATGTTGCAAAATAAAATGATAGGCACGGGACGGATAGGATTTTTCACAAATGACTCGAGTTTGAATAAAATCAATATTTTGTCCATCAGAGACATGGCTTCTGATGAATGAAATAGGATGTGAAATTAACTAAAAAACAGAGACCCCAAAGCATTAGCCAGCTAATCATTGGTTGGAAACTATTACTAATCTCCTCAGGTACAGCCGAACAGATATATCAAGTTCACCCTCAGTCACTTCCTCATTTTCTTTTCCTTCAGTATTTGCACTGAATTTCTTTCCAGTCTCTAGATCTTCAAAGTCTCCATAGATGTCTTCTTCATCCATCTTGAGAAGTGTCTGAGCATCCTTATCATCTGACCAGTCCCCAGTCATGAAGCAGTCACGAATACTGTGCTGGAGCTGGATAAATACACAAGAACATATTGGATACATCTTAAAGTACAATCAATTTACTTAAAAATGTCAGGCACTTTTTTTTTAACTTTTGACAACTGTAACTTAAATAATAAAGAAAATGTCATTAATTTACCTGTCCCTCCTACTTATCTACCACACAACCTTCTAACCCAAAACCATTCACAATCTCCTTTCTTACGTGCTGTATATGCAAATGAACTGTAGTTTGAGCTTTTCCCCATCTAGTTATTATATGTCTTATTTGTGTCACTTATGTTACTTGTATATTATTTGTAATTCGAAACCCATTCCCCAAATATGTAACTGTATATTTTCAGCCTTCTGGCTGCCAAGCTCTTTCAATAAACCATTAATTATTATTATTATTATTATTATCATGAACAGCACAGAATCTATCTCACTAATTCTTTCAAGATGCTACGCTAGATGTGCTCTACTATGGCATCCCCCTCAGACAAACACAATATGTCCAAATGGTTTATCCCGGCCACTTTATACAACTCGGCAACATACACACTAATAATTATCATGCTTTTAATTCCAAATATTTTAAGACACTTTGGCATTAAGTAACCTTCATAATTTCTGCCCTTTTTCTTAAGATATAACTGACTGCTAAGACATAACTTATTCCTCCACAATTGCACATCCAATCTCATAAAAAAAAAGCTATAATTTACGTAAGGTTAAGCATAATACTCGTGTCTTAATGTTTGTTGCATATTATAAGGAAATATAATATTTTTAGGTATGTAAAGTATTGTTGATACCAAGTGTTTGATGAGAAAGTTCATAGCCACATTGTACGCCCTTATAAATCAACCTCACTGGCATCACCTACAGGCTAAAATAGGGCATGTAAATCTCTCTCTGTCAAAATATTTGTGAAGCAGTTGGTTTCTAACAGAAAGTTAATGGAGTATTAACCATAAACTGCCTCATCATTTAAGACTAAACCAAAGCACCAATGGATTGTCAGTCCAATACTATAACCCACATGCCAATATTTATGCTGAAGATCCAACTCCACTGCTTGCAATATTTAATATGTAATCTCATTAATTGTTAAGATAACTACTAGAATGATACTGTGCTCAATTCCTTAAGAGATTCAGACACTGGGGTACAAAATTAACATTACCTCTTCTACACTCCAGTCTCTAAGAATCGAAGGGACATAACGGCTTGTGTCCACTTCATCAATGAGAGCACGAGGCACTGGTTCTCCACCACTTGACTTTGGTCGTGTAGGTCGCTTAAACAGCCCACCAACTTCATCATTTTCATCAGCATTTCTCTCCTCCTCTTTAACTGTTTACAAAGACAATAAGGGATGTTAGGATGAATGAAAAACTTGGGATGAATGCGTCTAGTCTATACATGGGTAACATTCATTCTGTTAATATTAATAACTTTTAATTATACTCGTACCTAAATACATAAGACCTCAAGTGATAAAAACAAACACATTGTATTTGCGTTAGTATGGAGGAAAGAAGTTGACAGCAACTAATTTGGATACAGTGCTCAACTCATGTCCAAATGGTCATTGGTTCAATCCCAGCCCACCCTGCTGTAAATGGGGTACCTAACTTTACAGTAGAGGAAGAGAAGGAGGTAGAATGCAATACCAGCCATGATGCCTCTTAGTGTACTGAAGGCTTAGTACAGTATATAGTGCTGTATCCAAGCTGTCCTTAACATGCTGTCAATACTGAGACACATTTTCATGGTGTAAAGCAGATGGCTGTGTATTCAAGTATATGTTGATGACAATTTGAATGGACTACCCTGCTAAGTGGGAAAACACATGTGAAACTAACTCGAAAGGGTTGAATGCTACAAATATACACAATACAAAATACTTACCATCACCATAAATATATTTTCTTAAATATGAAACAGTGCTTTGATTCCTATAAAAATTTTGTGTAGCTTGCTTGAACATGCTACTACGGTATTCTAGTCTGCCGTCTTCTTCTTCACTGTCTGAATCATCTTGATCACTATCACTTCCTTCTTCAATTTTCTTTTCAACTGAATTCATATTAACATTGTTATTTTGAGAAAGACCATCACCTTCATCCATTACATCATCTTCACTATCATTTTCCTCATTACTGAAACCACTATCACCACCACTTATGGGTTTTATCTTGGGTTTCTGATCAGAGGACTTGGTTATCTTTTCTAGTAGGCCTTGAATCTTAACAGTCACATCAGAGTCTTTGTTATTTTTCAGATATGGAGTTCGCCTCTGTGACAGTGATCCCATAGAATGACTTGTACCACCATCATGATTTTGTAAACAACGGACATCCTGTAAATCAGCATCTAAATCATAATCATCAGAATCACTGTCTGAGTTAGGTTCCCTTTCTCTCGTCTCACAAGATGGTTGACTCTGAAATGAGATGAAAAGTCATATTTTTACCCAAAGTCTTAATATAGGGAAGACTGGGATAAAATTACACTTCTTTTAATGGTATAAACAAAACACTAAAACACAAAATCAACAATGTATAATAAAACAACATATATATCCTAGCATGATACATAATAAGCCTCCACAGTATTATAAATAATCTACGACCTTCAACTTTGACCTTTAATAGACTTAAATCTGGTGTTCCATACTTTGTCTAATGATGAAACACATTCCTATGGTGTTTTACAAGAGTTTGGCTCCATACAAGGAACAGTTTACAGATACTCAAACAAAAGACAAAGTCACATCATTAAAAAGTTTGCTTTAAATGGATGCATCACAATGGTCTGACCTCTCTATTATCCAACATGTTACATTATTCTTATATGAAAGATTTGGGAAACACAACAGTACCTCTCTCTGGAAAACAAACTCATCACCCCCAGTCTGGTAATCTTTCACGGTTGCTAAATTCCCATTACCAGCCTTTTTTTTCTTCAATATCAAACCGACTGATAAGACAAATATCTCATCAAAATTACAGCTGAGACAGAACTTCTTTTAAATTGAACACCAAAAAAAAAAAAGGTATAAATTATTTCAAGCCTCCAGAAAACATTCATGTCTTCACTCACCTTCGACTTTTTTCTTGGAGGGGCCATTTCATTTACCTCCTCTTGATCACTCTCTTCATCACTTTCATCATCATCCTCATCATCACTACTGTCATCATTGTCCTCAACCTCTAAGTTATCTGTGAAAATTGCCCGTCTTCTGACTCTGCCGGTGCTGTCACTCACTGTTTCATAAGCAGGAAGTTTGTCTCCTGCTTTCCTATGGGCATGGGAAAGATCTGATCAATTGGAACTAATCTTAATGAGAAATGGAGTTATATTTTAAAAACCTAATATAAAAAGCCCCCCAAAATAATGTGAGTGCTGCCCAAGTTAAAGAAGGCTTGTGAAAAGACCTTTAAATTTAAAAGGGTATGAATAAAGGTTATATATGAACTGGTTGATAATAATTTATGCACTTGGTGGAAAGATTTACTGTAGCTGCACAAGTAGGAATTGCATATACAATACTGTACTGTATAGGCATGTCTGAAATCTCTGCTGATTGCAATTGTTCTTCCACAGTCTTCTAGTACAGTGCCTTCCTTGTGAACAGTACATATGTATATTAAAACTCATACAAGGGGAAGTGTAATGTATATATGGTACTCAAACTACTACTACTACTACATAATAATAATAATAATAATAATAATAATAATAATGATAATAATGATAATAATAATAAAGTGGGCATCTAATACCCTGTACACGATAATCTCCATTACTTACGAATAATTAATTTCATCTTTTCTGACGTCTTCCTCCTCCTCCTCATCATCATCGTCGTCATCCTCAAGAACATCACTTGAAATAAACTGAGACCGAGAAAAAAGTTGTATCTGACTCTGAGCCTGTTTTTCATCTGCAGTTTTCTGGAGGCCCAACAGTGGTTCAAGAACACTATCTTCCTCTTCACTCTCTTCATCTTTAACCTAAAGAAAAAATCACAAACTATTAGAGTCAACCCAAGCATATGCAGTTTACTATTACAAAATGAAAAACTCCTTTTTTAATAAAACAGGTAACTCATTTACACACTCCTGTAAATCAATATGGAGGCAAAAAATTTACTTTGCATTCCGTATAAACAGGTTGAAAATGTGAGCATGTGTGTGCTGTGTAATTCTACTTGTCTTGAACTTCTCTTTCCAATATACAAGTTGCCAATCTTTGAGATTTTTGTATCTTGTGATCTATCTCGTAGAAAAATGAGAGGGAGTAAATATAATCTACATAGATGTAATTTAGACCTTTACTACAAAATTATATAAAAATTATTCCAAATAACAATATCTAATGACATACAGTACAGTATATGCAAACATTCTAGTTGTGATATTGTACATTCAATTTACTGTGCCACACCACCATACAAAACCTGGGAGAGAATTAGGGGAAGGAAGTAGTGTACAATGCCTTTGATATCACCCAGACAAGCTAACAAGAAAGAAGGCTAAAAAACCAACAAAGTAACCAGAGTTCCCCCAATTTTGGAATTTATATCCTCGGGACACTGGTTTTAAGTGTCGCCTGCAGATGGAATGAGTGGGTGAGTGGGTATTTTAATAAAGGAATCTCTAAAAACGTGAAGTGGTTCAATGTGATTCATCATTCGGTTAAAATGAGTGAAGGTGTTTATAAAATATATATGAAGAAGAATATAAATTACCAAGTAAAATATAAAATTTACATTTGTACCTTGACTTTGTTTCCATGATGTGAGCCTCCAAGATCTATATAGACCGCATCCTTGTCATAAACTATCCCACCTACTCCTGACATTGGTGCATATGTCAGTCTCTCCTTGGCATTCAGTGACCTCTTCTTCAAATGCTCTGGAAGTGGACATGGGTCTGGAAGGAAGCTGAGGTCCTTTATCTTAAAGTCTCCACAACCTGGGAAAATAATAGCAGGTAAATCAAACACCTAACTTCAACATAGTCATATTCCACACTAAATAACAAATGAAATCTAATAATACCGAGAGCAAATAATTTTCTGAATAAATGAGCAAGAGAGAGAATGGTAAGTGTGTATGAATTGTGATGATGCCATAGTAACTGGGACTGAAAAAAAGGAACCTAGTACCAGAATTAACTTAATTTGCTTCCCAAATAAATATGCAGGCAAGTGTAACTCCAAACCATCAACTCTATTCTGATCAACTACATGAGAAATGCACCATAAAACATTTGTATTATACTGTGGCTTGTAGAAAAACCTTCTTTAACTACTTCTTATATGTTTTTCTCTGTTACACAGCTGGTGGCCAGTATCATGAGCTAACATGGATTTTCTCCTGATTCCCTCCTTCCCTTGTAACAGTTGTGGTATATCCATACACACCTTAGACAAGTGAAAATGATGCCCAACAATTATCAAATTGATCCAAACAATATTGTAAGACCAGTTTCACTGACAAGTCTCGGGTTAGTGCACACACAGACAGACATATGGCATGAATGACAACTAAACCTCACTCCTGACCGTCGCTAACCAAGAAGTAAAATTGAAAAATCATCAACAGAAAAATGAACCTTAAAAAAAGTGTTTCTCCAAGGAAATATGTTCCCTGATCACCTTATCACAGCTCTGTGCTCAGGCACTTCCACTACTTACACACTAGTGTACTAACCTTTGAAATAACCAATATAAAACATAAAAAAGAAATACAAATGGATAAATAGTGTATTCATTTATATACAATATTGTACACACATGCAAATGTGAACACAAACAATTCTAAAACTTACCTGGAATGTGGACCGACTGGGTCTTCTGGAAGGGTACGCCTCGCACATAGCCATAAAGAACAACATCTCGGTCGCACTTGGGGTTAGTTCTGATGCTCTCAGGATTGGTGATATCCTCGTACCTATCAACTGGATAAACACAGATGAGTTCTTCCTGGATCTTACAGTAAAGTGTTCCCTGCAATGCGTCATGACACAACACAGCCAATCTATAGTTCCACACATTCAATATCATGCACACAGCACAGTATACAACCAATGTAAGGACAGCAGCCTCATCAAACACCACAAGGTCAGACAGTTAGGTAGTGATCCAAGACAAATGAAGAAAATGGTAACAAAGGGTTGAGCTGTTTTAGCACCATTATGAATGTATAAAAGAGCCCCAATATACTACTCAATAGCCCCTCATGCACAGCAAGGAAGATGTAAGTGTTATGAGAAACTTGCTGACATATGGTAAAAATACTGCACTACAGTATACACAAATGGGTGCACAGTATCGTAAAGCTATCAGTTGCATATAGACTCTCCCTCTGTTGCTGTCAATCATTAACATACATGACACAAAATAGTTTTCATTATCGTAATATAATTAATTATTTTACCCACTCCAAATACTTCTTGAACCATACTTACCGACAACAAAAGGATGTGTAGTACGCCAAGTCAAGGGACGGAACTTCATCACAGAAATGAAGCGTCCAAGGTTTTTCACCTCATTTTTCAGGTACTCCTCATGAACCAGACCTGACAAGGAAACACAACTGAGTGAATCATTCAACAAGAAACAAAAGCCTATCTATCAAACTTCAAATCTATCCATTATCTTTACTCACCGCCTTTTGTGTAGGATGGAGTAAGAGGAATGGAAACCTCAACACAATGGGGAAACTGATACACAACAAGTATAGAAAGCAACTGGGCAGAGCTAAGACATGAAGTAGTAATACAGGACACATATGATATGAGTGACTTATACATTCTAAAGTAACAGTGCTCAAATATTTGATGATATATATACTGTGCTGTACAATATTTCCAGTAACTGTTCAGGTACCGCATATGGATACTGAACACTCTCCTCAGTCCACTGTGAAATACGTGGATTAAATCATTATAAATGAAAAGTAAAGCAAAAATAATGAAAAGTAAAGCAAAAATAATGAAAAGTAAAACAAAAATAAACTCTTTTTTCATGCAAAGGTTATAACCACATGACAGACACCCTCTAAACACTATTAAAATAAAGTTCTAGCTGGGAAATTCCACATAGAATAGTGCAGACAGATACAATTTTGAAACTACCAGAATGAATAAATAACAAGTGAATTTAAGTATTAAAAATGCTTGTAGAAACCAGATCGTGAAGAAAATCATTATCACAATACTGTACTAAAATTGTTTTTACTAATTTTGCAACTTTAATATTTTCACTGTCTTTAAAACTTACCTTTCTCAGTACATAATTCCAACACAAAACTGTCTACCCATGAATGGATCCTTCCCTTATAGCTGATGACTTAAAAAAGATTATGAAAATTACTGCAAATACATTACTGCTGTAAATAGAACTATTCTGATACAGTAGTTTAAAGTACATTTATTCATGAAAAATCATAAAATATGTTAAAATGTCTGATTTTGTGTTCTAAGCATGGCGTAGAAGTGACCAGTGTTGTTACAATGAAATACCATAAATTAAAGTTAAACTAAAACAACCTTACAACTGAATGTGAATACAATACAATATCCTACCTGACCTCTTGACTCCTGTAAAACTTAACATAAGTCAGTATCTTGTTATCCTCTGTTCTTAGGAGACATTTTAAAGATTCTACCCGTTCACATTATTTCTCATTAAACAAAAATTTTCACTTCATATTCAGGTCACAGACTCAGAGATGACTTGAACAGCTCAAGGACCATGGAGTCAGCAAATTATCAATGCAAGTCATTAAAAAGACAACAAACCCAGTTACTTGGAGCAATGTAATGAGGAAAATACACTGACAGACTAATCAAGGTTAGATTTACAATTTTCATATTAACAAACCAATAAAGATTATGCTCCAGTGATATTATGAAATGGCTCAATCATCAGTTGAAGAGATCAACTTGGCCAGTCATCGGTTCAAAATGGAAGTCCTGGAATATGTGGTAAAATTCTAAAACATGATTATCTTACCAGATAGGTAGAACAACTTGGCCCCAGGATAGAGCTCCACTTGGAATCTGTGTTTAAGAGCTTTCTTCTTCTTCTTTAAGGCCTTATTATCCTTCAGCATGTCCAAGTGATTCAATACCTGAGCAAAAATGTTACAACAGATAAATAGCCAAGTACAGTACTTTAGTTTAGTATTCAATCCATCACAACTCATTACCTTGCTAACATAAAATTAATAGGAAGAATATGAGTTTAGTGTATAGGCACAACAAGCCTCAAAAATGAGCATATGTTAATCTATATAAACTATATAGTATATGTACTGCCTTAAAGGAGTTACATGTACTGCATATTTCCTGTTTGAATTCAATGTATTCGTCTAATATCATTCTGATACAAAAGTATTAACGTAAGCTACGAAATTCATGATAAGGGAGTGACAACCATAACAAAATACAGAGGCATGGCACGGAAAAGTGTATTATTCCAAGCATGTTTAAAGAAAATTACTCAACTCACCCCCATGATGCGTGGCGTGCCATGAGCTCGGCATATCTCCAGGAACTCGAAGACTTCCATTTCAATGCCAAATGTTGCATCAATGAGCATAAGGACAATATCAGCAACTTTGGCAATGTCAATCATGCAGTTGATGTCATTGTTCACCTCTATGAATGTTAGTCTTCGTTTTTTACCTGATAAAAAAATGAAGCATATCAGGATTACTGTAATATAAAAGTGAGGATGAGTTGACATAAGTACCTTTACCTGAGCCTTTTCCTGTTGTTTTCTATACTGTTTACAAAAGTCTTCCCTATAACTTGCCCTCTGTACCCTTTGATCCAACCTACACAAAAGTGGGATAAGAATAAAACTAATAAAAGACATTTATTTAACACTTCATACTCTGTAAAACCCTCCTTGGGGACCCAGCGGTGATAAAAAAGCTTTAAGCCATTCCATCTAAAAATGCATCTCAAGCCTGTTCCATTACCCTCACACAAAACACCACTCTCAGCCCCTCTTCTTGGTCCTTACAGGGCTTTGGTTTCTTTCCCATCACTGCCTTTTCCCTTTGTAATATGTTGGGTGATTCATTTCACTCTAGACTCTTTACCTTACTCCCATATTTCCTCCAATTTCAGTACATTACTACGGTAAGTGTAAATAACTACGTTAAGCAGCTCTCAAGTTACACTTCTATTCACACGTAAGTTAGGCACCAACTTAATAGTACTGTCACAACATAGGACGTATTGTATTTGTCCTTTATACCTAAATTTGTTCTTGTATTGACAGATCAATTACATCTAAGCTAAAGCACCAACTTTATGTTACTGTAACCACCAGTAATTATTCTACCTTTAACTAAATCTCAACCTGTACTATACAGTACTTATATTTCTAAATCTGAATAATCTATGTTCCCCTCCACACTGAAAACATTTAAGACCCTCACTGTGACTCCACACCTCACATCTTAAGCACTATCAGTCTTCCCATATTATTTTCAAACTCTAAAAGATGTAAGATGATAATTAGTTTTTATAAAACAAAAGAAAGAAAAAGAAAAAAGATGCTATGCAATTATGAATGAATCACAATCACTATTATGTATATTTATACAGTACAGTACCATGGTAGCCCTCTGTTGGAGAATGTAGTCAAAATAGTCATTTGAAACCCAAGGAGGAATTTTTTATTCCACCACATCCCTGGACAAGAGGAAATTTTATACATATCCCTTCCACCTATTGCTATTTGTACTAACTAGTGTATAACACACCTGTACAGTATTACATAAGATAGGTATTTTACCAGCAACAATGGTGACAGGTCCATTGATCTCAGAAAACCTCTGGTTGGTGTAATTTTTGATCAGACATCGCAGTAAAGTTGATTTCCCAACCTTGGGTCCACCCACGACTGCCACAATCACAGGAGGCGGCTCCAAAGGTGTACGATCAACAACAGGTATGTGGTGCTTCTTGGATTTAATATCTTGGGTCCTGCAAGCAAGATTCAACAGTAACTTATATCTTGAAATTAAGATTCAACATTCAAATATAATATCTTTGGACATTCAATTAGAAATCAACATTAGGTAATAAACGTGACCATTCAATAAAAAAAGTATATGGCTACAGGGCATGTGTGGAATTTCCCAACTAAGAACCAAGTTAAACAGAACTAAACTACTAGTTCATATGAGTCAGTAAGATCCCAATCTTTAACACAACAACTAATGTACAGTTTATACTTATGATTAGAAAAGATCCCAAGCTTTAACACAACAAGTTATGTATAAATATGCCTATGATTAGAAAAGATCCTCAGCTTTAACATTAATATTTCTTGTAATACCTACCATATATATCTGCTTTTATTGTACCATCAAAACCGTTTTACTGGAAATTATCATGTAAACAGATAAGAAATTACCATTGCAATAAATATATTTGCCCACTAAACATAATCCAGATAGCTCTGTCCTCTTGTTCAGCCTTAATACTGTACAACCCATGTTGTACTGCTTCCCCATAATATTTGTTTTACAAATCCAATATAATTTACATATATACACTTATAATATAAATAAAAAAATATAAATAAATAAATAAAATACCTGGTAAATAAATATTGAAGTGATAACCGTGGTAACATTCTGAGATGTTCTTATTACCACCATGCTATTGTACTATTCCAGATGATACTAAATGTTACATAGTACTTCCTTGAGATAAATGTACAGTGATCCCTCGGTTAACGAGATTTTGGTTAACGATTTACCTTCCATAAGATTCTTAACTTCGGTTATCGAGCAATCCCTCAATTAACGAGTTTTTTACGAGCCGACCTCAACATGTTTTCGCTTGCATTTGGCGGTCCACCAGCTGTAGTATTAGTCCGCCAATACAGTAATCGGTTCTAGGGCTTAAATTCCTTACTATTTTAGTAAATATCAAGAAGTTTATACTATTCAATAATTTTAAAAGTTTATATTAACTTTTTTAGTCATTTTAACAATTATTGAACATAATTGAAGGTAAAGAAACTAGTTTCTGGCGTGCCATCCAGCCTGTTAACACACCAGACAGGAGTTAGTCTCTCTCTGTTTTTTCACTGGAGGTAACATCTTGCTTGAGACTCTCTTCAACTAAATGCTTTTTTTGTGTTTCCAAGCAAATTATTGGTCATTTTGAAATTATATTTTACATATTGACAATATATAATGCAGTGCAGTGTTGATTTAAAGAAAATAATCTTGAATTACACCAAGAGAACTAAAATTTTATGGGTGAAATGGTGCCATGGGGTGACTTCTCTTCCACCCCAATGCCTTCTCTTCTCCTTCTCCTCCACCCCCATTCTAATTCCCATCATCATCATCATCCAGGAGCCTTCTACATACACACCTCAAAGTAAGTGTACTTTTCTACCTTTTTTGTTGAATTTAGGCAATTTTCGGTGAGCTGGAACCAATTACCCAAAAACCCATTGAAACAATGGTTTCGGTTAACGAGTTTTTCGGTTAACGAGCAACCTGCTGGAACGGATTGTGCTCGTTAACCGAGGGACCACTGTATAGTATATATCCAGTGCTTACAGGAGAGCTCAGGTTCTCAACTGGCTCAGCCATGTTAATATTGTTATTATTATCAACTCTGTATCTGTGTTTTTCTGGCTAAATAAACTGTTTAATTCAATTCAATTCAACAACCATGGTTTTCAAAAAATTTATCACCTTGATAAGAATAGTTCCCAAACTATAAACCCGTACATACATCTTCAGGCAAACATCAACAAAAAGTGATTGTGTGCCAACTTTTAATGACCAAGACCAAAGAACACAACATGTAACATTTATTGGCAGACTCGACATTATTTTGGCTATCATAAAAGTCACTTGTTTGCAATTGAAGATACAATTAACAACCAAAGGATGAGAATCATGCCAGCAAAAATGAGGAAGTTAGGGGAAAGCAAAGCTGAATGGTAAAGGAACGGAAAGACAAAGTGGATAGATGGGTATTGCTCTCTCTTTCTCGGTTTCTTGAGAAAATCTTTGCATTTCTTTTGTCACAATTAATTGGTCTTACCCCACGGTTGAGAAGTTCACAGGCAGAGATAAAAGCTTCACTTCTTGCTTGTTCATACATTCAGGTATATATTTACTTGCCTCAAATTTTAAACAAAATTTTACAGATCTTGTCCCTTTTGCAACACATTTACTTTGTTATCTGACTTTATCCATTGTGTTTTCCAACTAAATACTCTAATAACTATAGTTAGCGGAAGGCTGAACTGCAAGCTGAGACTGAATTAAGAAAAATATTTGCATGAGAAATTTCATTTTTTTTAAATTGAATGATTAATATCCAAGGAAGAAAGATATAGGAAAACAATAATGATATAAATTTAATTTGTTCTTTGAAATACTGAGAAAACCCATTTAAGAGGATTTTAAACATCAATAACACGGAGTCTTTTATCAGTGAAAAATGATGAATGCTGCCCAAATCACGTGGGTATCAATAACCCAATTTTAGATTAAATGGTATAAATTACTATATCAATCCATTTAACAAGCAACCCATCTCACCTTACAAATCTCCTCTGGGCTTTAACTGCAGAGTTAAAAGCAAAGGCCTTGGGATTACGTTGCTTATCTGTCAATTCCTGAACATGTTCGTTCTTAGCAGACTTTTTCTCAGCCTTACGTCCAGCATGGCGGTGGCTGTGTCCCTTCTTTTTATCAAAATCAGTCTCTTCCCCCATCTTGACAACTCAGAATTCTCTGAAACAAAATAGAATAAGGTATGAGGAAACAAGAATCTACCTTCAATTAACAACAGTAACAATCTCTCTTTTAGCCGGAATCTTCGATCCTCGAACGTCTCCAATAGCTAGAACTTTTTTGAGCATACAGAGTAATTCTGGGAAAACCTCTCCATTCTGTGTACCTGAACAAATTTTAGAGATTGCATTATGTTTCTAACGTAGGGATGCGTGCCAAGAGCGTGAGTGGGTGGGCTCAGAGTGCTTGTGAGCTACGATTGACCATTACTGTCATGTGACTGCATGGGATGACTATGATTGCATGAACTATGTACAGTATACATGGAGGGAGAGGAGAGTGACAGTTAGCAGCACCTGCTACAGGAGATGGTACATGTACTGGACAAAGGCAGGCCATCCTGTAACATCATATCACCATTTGGCCTGTCTACATTACAAGCTCAAGACAACAGCATCTGCTGGTAAGTAGACTACAGTATATACTGTACAGTTAAAAAGTAGTACAGTATATCTTGTTTATTTATAATACAGTATACTGTACATGTACTGTGGTGTTTGCATAAATAAATACAGCTCTGTGTCTGATCAACTGCTGTTAAGTAGCTAAATGAAAATATTCCAGGGATGAAAGAAATTTGTCTCCATACCCGGAACAGCTCTACACCAAATATTTTGGCAAATGGGGAGAGATAACTGTACTTGTACAGTATACAGTATCCATTATGGTCTTACAGTAAAAAACTGATAGATTACTAAATCTCAATGAAATAGTTTTCCTGACAACCTAACCTAACAAATGAACAGTAGGCCTTGTTTAGTTAGGGCAGGTTAAGTCTTATTAAAAATAAGGGCTAACATACGACTCAGGACTGTCAGCAGTTTGGTAATTATGAAGGTGTTTTTAGACAGTTTTGTACACTGATTACTTTCAGTTCAATTAATTTTCTCGTGTAAATGCTTATTTTTCTAGATATAAGTTAGGTAAGGTTAGGACACGATTTCAGCCATTTTTTTTCCCAACATAATACAGTATCGTTTTATAAAATAAGTGAAAATTGGGTATTTTTAAACCCAATTCCAAAGAAAAACAGCGTATGGTCACAATTCGAATAATTAAAAAAAAAAGGAACCTCGGAGGTTTTTTTAGACTAATATCAGAAGCAGTTAATAGATTTGGACGAAAGATTTTGGAATCGTTATTTACAATCTATAGAACAGCTAAATGAAAGCAAGAATGCACATATCCTATTAGAGCATGTCCTAACCAACCTAACCTACAGCAATCTACCTAACTTACCATAAAAACCATTTAATACATACCTAACGACACTGAATGGTTTCCCGCTTGCATTTACAGGGTATCTATTAATAAACTGCAATTAAAGTTTCCACACAATTTTGTCTAATTCTATCAACTCTTCTGGTGCGTAAGACGTTGTCGAATTGATTTTATTAATTAATATCATCCAAAGAACAACTGTGGAAAATTAGAACGATATATATAAACACGTTTGGGTGCTTACCGTCTCCTATACCTTTACCAGACATCTACCGGTTAGGAAGTTAGATTCGATTAGGTAGGTTAGGTTAGGTTCTGTGCATTTTTGTATATTTTTTTTTTTATAGCTATTGTACCATGCAATTAAAATCTCCGGATAATTTGTTCCAATTCCATAAGTTCTGTGGTTCTACTCTACTGAATCTTCACCTAAATGATAAATTAAAACTAAATTTAAATAACCACTTCCTATTATTGAATACATTTACGTTGCTTGTAGGTATAGGCTATTGTACACAGATTTATCAAATATAAACAACACAAGCAATAGTTTACTTCTTTTGATAATCTCGACACTTTATGGTAATTTCCTTTAATAAACTTAAAACTTTTCACAATTTCACTAACAAATTATTACACAAATGATGGAACTTTACCTTGTTAATTCAGTTTCTTTCTCTTACAAATACAGGTCACATGGTACTCGCTCTTTAAATGTGGACTTTTCTCGTTCCTTCTATGCCTGTGGTCGTAAATATATTAACTGTATCTGTCGTCGGCAGCATCACGCGTCCGCCAGCCTGTTTTGTTTAGGTCGTCGGGGCTCAGGGTTACCAAACTTATGACATTTACGATAATATCCACATTGAATGGTATAAACGATCTATTTATAATATATTTGTATAATATTAAATAGATTTATTAAATTTTTCATTGATATTATCTAGTTTAATTAATTAGAAGTACAACAGAGTAATATTACCGTGGAAATTCTCTGGTATAGTAATGAACTGTACACACGAATAGAATAATTTTACTTTTATCTATATATAAAATAATTAATCAAGGTTTCATGAGAATATTATAGATAAACAATATTAAACCAATATAAAGCAGCTTTACTTAAATCCCATTTCGTCGCACTTTCCTATTTACCAAGGAGTGTTACACCCATGAAGCAGCATTAATCTACTCAAGTGAAGCTTTTCAGTTTTCCTCACTTATTTTTATTTATAATATGGGGGTAAAGCCTCAATTAAGAATAACGCTCCAATTAATGTCAGAAAAATATAGTAACCAATTTTTTTTTAAATATGAACATATGCCAACAGATGAAATTTAATGTGGAAAATGTAAACTTCAAAGGGTAAGGATTAGAAACGGGAACTATTAGCTGAACAACGAACTTAGTTATCCTTTAACTGTATCTCGTGCATGTGATTTTGATTTTTACTTATTTTTTATTTTTATCCTCTTCGCCACTGATCGGCTCGTTAGCCGCTTGGGCGGTCTGTCACGTCTATGTTACGTACTGTTGGCAAGTACTGGGCATGAACTGGCTCCAGGATGTATTTGTACCTGCGCCAGTGTTGGTCAAGTCTGTTCTAGCCCCTATCAATCAGTATTATATATATATGGGCTAAGGACATATATTCATTATATACAGTCTATCACCCAGACTATTGAGCATAAAGCTACATAAGCATTTGTTCCGTCACACCTCCTAGGGTGGACAGCACACATAAACATTTGTAGTTTCACACAGATTCAGGTTACAACCCATAAATATATGTCCCCAGGCCTCCGTGAGAGTAGGCCTGTGGAGTGTAGCCTCTTATCTCTGTGTTGACGTATAGATTACATACCCCCTTACAAGCAGACAGAGAGAGGTTCGCCTAGTTCACAGTTTCACACAGTTCACCAGTTCACAGCCAGACACCGTACCAAAGAGACGTGTGTGAGCATAGCTCCCAAGGCTGTATCTCTCTCTAATTCTATCAGCTAATTACAAGCTAATAGCTAATGCTCAGTAATCTGTCAACAAACAATTCTGTAACTACCAGAGCATCCAATATAACTAGAAAATCACCACGTGTGTTTACATTAAACCAAGGAACCACAAATGAAGATAACAGAACCTGTGTACAGATGTGTATACTTACAAGCTAAGATAATTACAAGTGTAACCCAGGTGGGCTTGGACGACTCAACGACTCAACTCAACGACTCAAAACTACGACTGTATCAAAGGTGACACGCCGTGAGACTACCTATTATCTCACCCAGCTTCATCAAAGGTACCAGCGACTACTCTACACTCATTCAGGCAAGTGTTAACAAGTGAGATCGTTTGATATCAAACCCCGGCCCAAACAAGTCTGGTCTTGAAGGAGCTCACACTCGGTGCCGTCACAACACTCTCGGGCAGATTGTTCCAAGAGCGGGGGATCGGTGGTAGATGCGGTACCGTTCTTGCCTCGCAAGCGAGATGTCACGGGTTCGATTCCCGGGCCGGTGGAAGTTGTTTGGACTTACTTCCTTGGCCCCACTAGTCCCTGTTCACCTAGCAGTAAAGTAGGTACCTGGTGTAAATCGAAAATTGCGAATTCGTATTCAGGGAAAGTTGTTGGAGCTTCCAATAACTTCATGACATAAAACCACTGACTCTTCAGGCTTCTACGCCCTTGACTCTTCAGGCTTCTACGCCCTTAACTCGTGAGACATAAAGGCAAGCATGAACTTAGCATGCTTCCCTGTTGGGCGCTGTAAACGCTTCTGCGCTTCACCTTACACAAGGATGTAAGGGGGTGCCCAATAAATAATAATAATAAAAAAAAAAAAAAAATTGTTCCAAGAGTTCACAATTCTCACTCCAAAAAAAGTTTGCCCTCGCAATTTTCTGGACTTGTGGCTTCTTCAACCTTGAGCTGTGAGTGACGGTGTAACCTCTAGTGAGGTAGGCGTCCTCCAGCTCCGAGTATGGACACTCCCTGAGTAGTGCCCTCTGAGATGTTTGTACACTTCAGTTAAGTCACCCCTCGCCCGTTTGTAGTATAAGCTAGGGGGTTGTAGACGCTCTAATCTCTCTGGATAACTGAGGTGTAGCGGCCCTCCTTTGGACATTTTCAATCAACGGGGTCTTATAACACCTACTAGCTTAGTTATTGTACACACACACACACTACTACAGCAACAAAGCCAGCCACAACAACAGGAAAGTCAATTACAACCACAACCACAATAACAGAAAAGTCAATAACAACCACAACACGGGCCATAACAGCAATTTCTGTCATAGTGGCAGACGGGACTGTCACCCTAACAGACAGGGAAAGGGAAGAGCACACAAGCCAATGGTGCCCGACCGGGAAAAAAATATGGACTGTGTCGAAGTGAATTTGGGGACTTGGGTAGTAAGTGAACTTGGCGTGGTGAGGGCAGAGATAAGGGTTTATGGATGCACAGACATACACACACACGTACCAACAAGTCATTAGGAAAAGATTTGTACTTCCGGGTTAAGAAAAAGTGCCCAGGCGTGTTACATTTATATACAAGGTGGATAGAGGTCTTATATACGGGTGTTTTTAACAGAACCTTATGTGGTGGCGGGGGGTGGGGGGGAGGAGGAAGGGGGATGGAGAGAGGGAGATGGTGAGAAATTTCCTCTCTGGCACACACACACACACACACACACACACACACACACACACACGACAGCCTTTACACAGCTTCACCACGTACAGACAGTTTATCGGAGAAAACATATTCCTTTATGTGTGTGTGTGTTGACACGTGTGTGTGTGTGTGTGTGTCACCATCACAGAAGCTAACAATAATAATACCAACCCAACATCACTATTTTAGACCTTTCATAATTCTTGATTAAATCTTGAGAGATGAATCGAATCACTTGTGAGAAAATTATTTGTGTTTTTTTTCGTCATAATATTAATAGTGATATATAATACGCCTAATGGGGTATTAGAATAAGCTGCTGGCTAATTACTCCTCATTACAGTCTTACTTGGGTATTTTTAGCTCTTTTCTGCGGTAAATTTTCGCCAGGTAATTCATCAAGATTTTTCGTAAATGTTTAAAAAAAATTATCACACATACACACATATATATATATATACACACACACACACACACACACACACACACACACACACACACACACTTAAAAAAGCTCACACTAACACCAAACACCACTAAACACACTCACACACTTCTTTGACACTCACTAACTCACTCACTCACTCATTCACTCACTCACTCACTCACTGGAAGACGACCCAAGCATCCCCCATTACACACCACTAATGCACCTCTCTTGGGCAACACAGTCAAAATTACGAGGCAGAAATGAGGATGGCGTGACGCAATACGGCCCCGCGTCATGCATGGCCCCGACCCTGCAGTTAAAACGTTGACGCCCCCCCCCCCTCCACCCCTCCACACTACCACCACCATCATTATCATCATCAATTCCTTACACTTTGATGACCTCATTTAAGTCTTGGTGTTTTGAAGGAGGTTGATGTGAAGTGAACTGGTTTATTTCTGGGGCTTTCACCTATGTATTCATCAATGACCACCACTTTTGTCTAGGTGTCAATGGCAGGTAAAATCAGTTCCATTTATACTGACGTGTGGAGCTCTAAATGCAGGGAGCAAACTATTATCCCATTCAAGTTGGTCTTCGTTAAAATGAATCTAAACCTAAGAACCACATTTCCCGCCACAAGCTACGAGTGTTAGTGGACTATTAGTACGGTCAGGTTGCTAGGTTGATTAAGATGTGCCATATGCGTTCACTCATGTACCTAGAACACAGAAATGTATTGGTTCTCGTGTACTGTAATATAGCAAGAAACTACTGGAATGAGACTTACGTTAAACAAAAACAACAACAACTACTAAATAGAAAATCAAGAACAACAATAAGATGATGAAGGAGAGGGAAAAAGGACTCAAAATATAGTAGGTGTTTACTTGAGAAATAAAACCTTCAAATTTCTTGGGTTTACAGAAATTGGAGACGAAAAACAAAACACGAACGTTATTTATTTCTTTTTAAGCCAGTGGGAGGGATGTTTGGTTATGTTATTAACTATACTTGTGAGTCTGGGTGAGTTGAGGCAGGAACTGAAGAGAGAGATCCTCCTCTTCCTTCATCTCCATCCTCCCTTCCCGGTCTCTCCCCCGCCTCGACCTCACCCCCCCACTCTCTCTCTGACTACCTCTAGCTGGGAAACAAAACTTAATCTTCCCGTTAGTGCTGCCCCATAGTGTTCGGCAAAGCCTCAGTGTATGGGAAAAGAGACAGCCAGATTGCACTACTTGCACTACAACAAAAATTTAAATCCTTTCGTTTTACTTTGGCGAAGCTTAATTACTACTTAATGTCAGGGCTTCATATTAACCAACATTCGGATACGATTTATTTTGTATTTATTTCCTGTGTCCTAGAGTTATTGTTGTCTTAATGTACTTAGATATTTTAGGGGTCTTCAAGCACTATTCACCAATCCCTAAACATGCACCACACAACAATAATTTGATTAAACTAAATAAAAAGGACACTGTGTTTCAAGTTTGTCAGAGTCGTCAGAGTATGAAGGTAGAATGAACCCAGAAAAAGGTAGATGATTTAGAAATGAATTGAATTGACCCCATCTCCCCTACCCTCCCCACCATCACCCAACACCCCCTACCCACCCCACCATCACTCCAACACCCTACCATCACTCCAACACCCCAACCTTCCCCTACCATCACTCCAACACCCCCTACCATCACTCCAACACCCCTTCCAACC